GAACTCAAAAAGAAAATCACCTCGTCATCTAAGAGAACGGATGAATTAGTTGGGGAGATCGACACACTAAAAGTGCAAACCAACAATAACCAAAAGACAGAAATGTCGACTGTTGTTCTGGCTGACCAAATAGACCAGCTTCAGGCAAAAGCTGCTTCCTCCGAAGAAGCAATACGGAAATTGAATAGAGAGTGGGAACTTTGGATGCAAGTCGATGATGTCAGCGAGGCCGTCGGTTCGATACAAGGCCCTAATACACAGGTCGCGGGCGTCTGTTTGGAGGTTGAGTCGGCCGAGAACATCGCAAATACGAAGACTGGCGATTTGGATACATTGAAACATGACCCCCAGGAGCCAAACAATCGAACTGATGAAATCCAAGAGAAACTCAGAACCCACGAAGCAGCGGTTCAACGATTGTCTGATGAATTGGAGGCGTTAAGGAACGACAAACAGGACCCGATCAATCAGTTCGAACTGCTCCAGAATAAAATCGGGACATGCGAGGAAGCTACGAATACGCTGGTCAGGGATTTTGAAAAATTTAAAAATACCACCCTGGAGTCAAAAAGCCAGGGCGGCGAACTTCGAGGGAAGCTGAACTCCCATGAAGAGATTCTCCAGCGACTATCTAACGACTTGAGAGAGTTGAACAATAAGAAGGGCTCTAACAATGAGTTCAAGGAGCTCGTGGAGAAAATAAGATCGTGTGATGCGGCTATAGAAGGGTTGACTAAGGAACTAGAAACTAAAAAAAAGGACCAACAAGGCAGCCAGCCTGCAACAGAAACAGACGCGAAAATTGCGAAGCTAAAGTCAATCCTTAACCAGGTAGATACAATCGCCCTGACGACTCGATGTGATGTGGATCGAATCACCACTCAGATCAAGGAATTTGACGTGTCAACACAAACATGCCGTACCTTGCTCACTCAGCAGGGTATTGAGATTTTCAAAATCCGTGAAAAGTTAGGCATCACTACACCTCTAACAAGCCCACTCGATATCGAGAGTGGGACGTTCCAAAAAGATGTCGCAAAGTCGACAGCCATGTCTACCCAAGTATCAAGCGGGGAAAAATCTACCAAAGACAACCGAAATGAACCTCCCCAGACATCCACTGTTCCTGGGGATGATAAACCAAGCACATCCACATTAACATCGGCAACGCAATTGAAAGAGAAGCTTAGTTGGAGAGATGCGACCTCTCCTAGTGAGGGAACTACTTCCAAAGAGTCAGCAAAACCATCTACTCAGTCTACTGCATCGACACCATTAGCATCCGCACCCGTGGCTTCGACTCCAGGACCGAAACGACAGGCACCGAAACAGCGAGATAAAAATATCAGTCGCTGGGATCCGGCGTACGTGGAATCTGATGACATACCAGAAGTCGAAGAAAAAATGTCTCAAGCGGCTCCCGGAGCTAATCCAGGACTGAAGGGAACCAGCACCAAGGAATCAGGCGACCCTTCGAAGCAAATCACTTCGTCATCCAAATCTTCAGCTTATCCACCAAGTTCGGACCCCTCTTCGAAACAGCCAGATAAAAATATGAGCCGCTGGGATCCTGCATATGTGGGACCAGAGGGTGCACTCTCACACAACAAGAAAGTGACGAAGAAGAAAACATTTAGGAAGTGAAATAGTCTTAAGGATCACTTGGTGGGTTCGCCGCCTGTTCTTTTTGTGTCTTGATTCTTCGCTACAGGATACATCTGTTTGGTCCAAGGCCCAATCATCACCATTGTGTACAAACCAGACACTAGGCTCTCTCAAACACAACCCCTCCTACTACTTGCTAACTTCCAAAGATAAGGGACGAGAACGTTGTTTTGAGATTTGGTGCCGTAAGCGAGGTCGCCTACCAGAGCCTCCAAAACAACCCTTTCTCGTAAAATGTAACATTCCTCATAAATAAAATGTGCGTTAAGAATATTTATATACTTACGATTTCATGTCTTCCGTTATTGCGAGCGTTTCTGGCCCCGGGAATTGATTGGTTAAGAAAAAAAAAAATAGGATATAGATTCTCGCAATTGAGATGCTGGAACTTGAAGTCTGGGTGGTGTTTCGGATATTGAATTGTTTTCCCACATATGTAATGTATGTACTGTACTATACCTAGAAGGCTGTAAAGGTTCGAGAATACTAGGAATATTTAAAATGTTATGAAAGATACATATATCTGTATGAATCAGAATTGCGTGGTTTCGTACTCAGCATGATCATAGGGGAAGGTATCAAAATCTAAAAAGTCTCAAGGTGTACGTCAAGTACGCCAAAGACTAAGGTGTGTAAGTGAGGTGGGGAGAGATCGAGACAGCTCAAATAAAAATTCCAAGCGGGACTCCAAAATTTGGCGGTCATTTTAATGTTTTTATTTTAAGTTGTTGCCGTAACAGAATACTGCAAGCATGCGTGCGTAGTGAAGAATGGTCACAGACCACGCTCTTCAAAAATATATTTCCTACATGCAGCCTTAAGAATATCAATCCTCTGCTGCGTATGCACGAAAACCTCACGATACATCTGCAAGCTCTCATTCACCACTTCCGTCTTCGACTTTGTACCGACGCAAATTTCTCGCATCCGCAATTCCATTTCCTTTCGTAGAAATGGTTTGCTCAGGCTCGGACTGTCGGGCAAGCCATTCACGACATTATCATAGCCCTCAACGAGAGCAACACCAAGCTGAGTGGGGATAAATTCTTGTACGGCATTATTACCCCTCCCACCACCACGAGGTCGAGTGGCTACATATTCTCGCTCCTTTATCCTTGCAATATGATCTGCCATCGTAGCGTCAGTTCCGATTCCATTAGCATCCATAAGACCAATAAGCTCAGGCTCCGTTAGATAACCTGGTGCAACGGTCTTGCCATCCATGATTTTAGCTTCCGTGGGTTCGAACACCTCGCCAAGCGTGAAAGGGGGGATCTCTTGACTACTTTCCCATTTATCGTATACGTAAACATCTAAGTAATTCCTCTCCAGGACGAGAAGACCATGTGTGTGGAAGATCTCATCACCGTACTTTATTTCCACTTCGGTGGACTCGCCTTTTGCATCTTCAGAGCAGCAGGCGAGAAAACGTCGGGTGACGAATTCGTAGACAAGACGTTCATCGTTGGAAAGGACGGTTGGTGCTGCAAATATGACTGGGTGAATGGGAGGGTGGGCCTTGTCGTTGTGATGACCAGCTCGTGGTTGGGTGAAGGAACCGTTAATGAGACTAGGGAAATGGTCAATAAGGTCAAATTTATACCTGGACGGCACTAGACAAGGCAACAAACCGCTGCGCATACTGGCCCCAATTTTCACTCGGTATTTGCTTTTCGATCAACTTTTTCAGATCAATTCCTTTGTCGAACTGATCCGTTTCCGTGCGTGGATAACTGATGAACCCTTTTGTGTATAGAGTTTCTGCGATCTAAATCCTATCAGCAAGACTTTGTGGCGTGGGGGAGCATATACCAACCTTCATGACTTTCTGGCTATCCATTCGCAGATACCTACTTCCCATCATTTGGAGATCCACAGTAGTCAAAGGCAGTGGGCGCCATTTGCGTGTTGGCTTCTTGTGCACTTTCGTAACCTTAGCGGTTTTTGAAGTCAAGCACCGCTCAAACAGTATTACGACAGCAGCCCTATCGTAAAGGTGGACCCTCCGCCACAAAAAGTTGACAGTTTTCCCATCACGGACATGTGAAACCTTGATGGTCCAGAATTTTTCTGGCTTGAAGTTTTTGACCCGGAAATATCTGTCGACCACAAATCCCAATGTCGGGAACTGGCAGGACCCTGAAACTGTTAAAGGCTCTGTGGAATTTGAAAAGTGGAAATTTGATATAAATACCGTAGCTGATAACTCTGTCCTCTAGGACACCTCCCAATGATTTGAGTTGGAGGGTTTGTAGCCTAGTAAAAGCTGCCCCGATCCTTAAATCCAGCTCGATCCGTGCAGCAACTGCATTAGCCTGACTGTCATCCAAGTCTATTGGATTGGTCGCGGCCTGTAATATATGCCTAGAAAATGTCAGTACCAGGATTCAGGCATGGTTGTCTCCGTAGGCTAACTGACGCTCGTTCCGTATTACTGAACCTCGCCCGTTTAATCTCGATTCTTGGATTTGATTTTCTCGCCTGGTACCGTACTTCTGTCCCAATATGCTCTCCTTCACGGTCACAGTCAGTCCAAATAAATAGAGCCTTGGAATTTCTGGCCAATGTTCGAATATTTTCAGCGATAGTCAAGTTGTTCTGGGCCGTAGGTTAGGTCCCGTTCGTAGTAGTGTGCGGAGTGTAGGAACTAACTTTGGCAACGGAATCTACCACAGGTGCGTCAAACAGCCGGCCAGGCGGACAGGAATTCCAGCCTCTGTACTGCGAGTCAAACTCCAAGCTCGTCAAGTGGCCAATGACACTTGTCATGATCACCGAACATTGGCCCCATGGTGGAGCGAATGTGAAATCAAACTCGTAGTTTTTCACAAACACATTACCCCGAATCGATACCTACAATATCGCCTTGGGTATTAATTATTTTGATTCTTGAAGTCCCCTGGATCTTAATCTTACCACGCGGCTTGAACCTCCAGAGAGATGCTGCGCTACCACTCTAGCAATTGCAGGTTTTTCTGCGACACATAAAATTTTGCGGGCCATTCGCAAGCGGTGATATTCGAATTTGAAACTTGTGTCTGTGTCATACCCTTCGATTATGCCCCATGGCCATTTTTGACGTAAGGTAGCGGAAGGGAACTACCCAGATAACACCATCACAGAGGTTGCAAAATGGCTGAGGAGTGTGTTTGCTATGAGGCTCTTATCAAGTTGTCAAAACTGAGCCGCGTTGACGCGTTAAGCTTAAATCTGTCCCGAGCTTCTCGTCACGCACGGACCAAGGCCACTTCTTGAATCAACAACCTGGACCAATTTAATCTCGCGACAACTGCACAGTTAATGAAATATTCCGACTATTCCGCCATCGGTCTAAGATGGCTTTACCAACTGTACGGACGTTTGCGGATTGCGCCGAGTTTCCTCTCATTGTCTCCCCTTTCATATCCCTTCCAACAAGGTTGATTGATAGCGGAACTGATATTCAAGCTCTCCAACATATCTATGTCACCACAAACCCTTTCATCACAGCCATTGCTTTCGCGATATTTCTGGCCCCAGTCTTCCTGATTGCATCTGAAGTAACCAGAAACTATTCTCAAGTTGACCGCAGCTGGAGCATCCTTCCGATCGTCTACAACGTTCACTACTCCGTTTGGTCTCGCTTGAACGGATTGCCAACTGGAATAATCGATACTATTTGCGGAATCACCATCATTTGGGGTGTAAGGCTTACCTTCTCTGCTTATCATCCTGATGTTTCCCGATGTAGCGCGAATCATGGAGCTAAGCCAGTGAACTAACTCATTACATGCCCACTTTAGCTTCGACTCACTTTTAACTACTGGAGAAGAGGCGGGTACAGCGTCGGATCAGAAGACTACCGTTGGGCCATTGTGCGGAGGAAAATAAACAACCATTTTTTGTTTTTCTTATTCAACCTCACTTTCATTTCTCTCGCGCAACCAGTTCTACTAGCCCTCATCACCGCTCCAACGTATGTGTTTGTGTTACTGAGCAGTGTCTCAGAAGGGTCCAAACACGAACTCTCCGATTCTCTCTTCTCACGGATTATCCTCTTCTTCGTCTTCATCGAAGCACTGGCAGACCAACAACAATGGAGATTTCAAAAAGCCAAGAAGGAGTACAATGAAATCGCTCGGATTCCATCTCGATATAAGGGGATATACACAAACGACGACCTGAGCCGTGGCTTTGTTGTGTCAGGTCTCTGGGCCTGGTGTCGACACCCAAATTTTGTGGCTGAGCAAGCGGTTTGGCTAGCATTGTACCAGTGGTCCTGTGTCAAGACTGACCAATTGTACAACTGGACTGGCATTGGGTCCCTATGTTATGTTGCCCTCTTCCAGGGAAGTACGTATCTTACGGAAAAGATTACCGCGTCGAAATACCCTGATTATAAGCAGTACCAATTGCGTGTGGGGAAGTTCATCCCACGATTAGGTGTCCAGGCGCGTGGCGAAATTCCGGAAGACAATGCTCTTTCGGCTTCGGTATCCGCATCTAAAGACCCCAATCAGCCACAGAAGCCACAGCTATCAAAAACGAAGACAACTAAGAAGCTGAGGTAGACAACCCCTTTTCTCTTTGGATTGGAATTTCCATCACGCATTCGTCATATCTTGGACTGATATATACCATTTTACATATGCTTGAGATCTTCTCCGTTTTCTAATCATTGATAATACTATGTTTCCATATACCCTCCATATGTTTGAAATCAACCCAACCCCCTATTTTAATCCAGTTCATCTACCCACAATATTCTGTTTGATGGCGGTATTATTGAGTCTGATTGAACCACAGCACCCATAATTCATAGAGGGATCCGGCATGAGGAAACTCTCACTTGGAAAAGTAACATTCTCAGAAATTTTCTATTTTAATCTTCCATTTTCCTTCTTTCCCTGTTCCAAGGTGTTCATTTGACATACCTTTCTATGCCCTATACCTGATATGCAAACGAAAAGCTGGAGCTTTAGTATACAAGGGAGAAAATAAAGTTACAAATTATAAACCAGAGTGTGGAGATTTCCAATAGGGAGAAGATGTCTGCTTTGGCGGCCGGATTGCGATTAAACAGGGAGTAGGGGTAAGGCCAATTGATAGTAAAAAATAATACCCATATAAGTGTGCGGCGCATGAACACGAACACCTGGACATTTCAACCAACATGGAATTTAGTAACAAGTCGAATAGAGTACAGCAAAAGGGAGAATGAAAGAAAGGAACAAATGAGCAACATAGGAAAAAGGTGTGTCATAAATGAAACAATAAGCAAAGGAAAAGAGGAGATGCTTCATGTTTAAAAACAAAATAAGTGAAATATTGAAAAGGAAAAAAAAATCGATATATTCCTTTATGCTGAATGCGACGGTGCGGGACCTTCGTTCTCCTCTAATCGACTTGTCTCTGGTTTTTCCGCGAGAGCCTCTGTCGGTGGAGGAGGTGGTGCTATCGTCCCTCTGCCGTGCCCACCGTCGAAATACTTTGCAAATTCGCCAGATTCAGGGAATGGCCGTGGGCCAAGCAGACGGACCAAATCATCACGGCTAAGTACTTCCTTGCTCAGAAGCTCCTCAGCTACAATGCCGATTTCGGCTTTCTTCTCCGTTAGGAGTTTACGGCACTTGTCGTAAGCTTCATTGACAATCCGTCGAACTTCCATGTCGATGTCCCGCGCAGTGTCTTCTGAGAAGGGTTTTTGAAATTGTTGTTGTTCTTCATCATAGTACAAATAGCCAATTTTTTGAGACATCCCGAATTTTGTGACCATGGCGCTGGCCATGCGGGTGACTTTGTTGAAGTCATCACTTGCACCACTCGTCACAGTGTCGAAATGAAGCTCCTCGCTAACACGGCCACCAAGGGTCATCGCCATTCGATCCATGAGCTGGTTGAAATTCATCAAGTAGGTATCACCCTGGGCCGGTAGGTACTGGGCATAGCCTAGGGCACCTTGGCCACGGGGAATTATGGATACTTTCAGTAATGGATCAGCATACTTGAAGTACCAGCCACATATAGCATGGCCAGCCTCGTGATACGCCACTGTTTTCTTTTCCTCAGGAGATAGAACCAACGATTTCTTTTCTAGACCACCAATAACACGCTCAATCGCTTGCTCGAAATGGGCCATGGTTACCTCATCGGCACGGTAGCGGGCGGCTGGACGAAAGGTTAGCATATAAAGAGTATTTCCAGATGGAATTTTGCTTACCAACTAGTGCAGCCTCGTTGACACAGTTGGCAATATCTGCTCCAGAGAAACCAGGTGTCAAGGCAGCCAATCTACCAGTCAAGTAGTCCAAATCAACTTTAGTGACAATCTTCTTTAAGTGAACGCGGAAAATCTGTTTACGGCCATCCATTGTTGGCCTATCAATGGCGATATGCCTGTCAAATCGGCCAGGTCGTAACAGTGCCTTATCAAGGATATCGACTCGATTAGTTCCGGCCAATACGACAACTTGGTCGGAAGTATTGAAACCATCCATTTCAGTGAGAATCTGATTCAGTGTGCTTTCCCGTTCGTCATTACCACCGCCGTAGGCATTTTTGGATCTCGACTTTCCAATCGCATCAATCTCATCAATGAATATAATACAAGGAGTGTTTTTCCGCGCCGTTGCAAATAGATCACGAACTCGCGAAGGCCCAACGCCGACAAACATTTCGACGAATTCAGAACCGCTCACGCTGTAAAATGGGACACCAGACTCGCCAGCGGTAGCTTTTGCCAGTAGTGTCTTACCAGTACCGGGTGGCCCGGAAAGGATGGCACCTCTGGGGATCTTCGCACCAAGTCGTTGGAACTGTTCAGGTTTCTTCAGAAAGCTAACGAATTCCATAATTTCAACTTTGGCCTCGTCCATACCGGCCACGTCAGAGAACTTTGTCTTGACATCAGTCTCGTGATTGAATCTCTTCGCCCTGCTTTTTCCCATGCCAAATATGCCACTCTGGCCACCTCCACCTGTAGCGCGTCTCGAAAGCCAGATTCCGGTGCCTATAAGGACGAGCGTTGGGGCAAAACTAAGTAACGTACCCCCCCAGGAAACTTCATCTTGATAATCCACCGGGATACGATCAGAAGTTGGTATACCGAGCTCCACCTGAGCCTGATCAATTTTCCTTTCAAATCCCTCAACGGATCCGATTGCGAAGACATAGTAGAAATTTGGTTGTGTCGCGGGCGATTCAGGATATACGTTTGCAACAGCTTCACGGTGAAGCTCAACCCGCACCTTCTTGCCGTTTCGTACCGTCAATTTGGACACGAGGCCTTTATCCAAAAACGTGTTTCTGAATTCCTGCCATGTAATATCCTTATTGACCTCGCCGGGAATAACGCTCCGATACAAGTAGTAAGAGAGAAAGGTAGCGACCAGAAAGGAAGCCGGGTCAAGTTTGAATTTGAAATCAAAAGGTGTGTTGGCGTTAAAATTCGGTCCCTTGGGACCGTTTTTCTGATCCCGCTGTTTTTGCTCCTGCTTTTGTTCCTGATGCGATCCTCCAGTTTCATCCTTCGACTTGCTCTCATCCTGTCCAGTCTGTTTCTCGTTCCATTTCTCGGATTTCTCGGAGGAATATAGGCGTTGATGACGGGAATCCCTGTCTGCCATCTTCGCCGCAACCACTGGGCCATGTCGAGTCCATATCCGAAATATCTGGGTTGCGTGTGCAAGGGTAAATTGATTGGATTCCTTGACTTGTTTGATAAGTTGCTTGACATCGTCCGGAACACCTTCTTCTTTGAATACTTCTGCCATCTCTTCCACAAATTTTTTCTGCGACGCAGGAAGCTTGTTCCTCACCATTCCCAGCACATAATCAAGCTCTTCGATCTCTTGCTGACTTGCCCGGTACTTTGGCTTCTCGGGTTCCTTGCCGTTTGATCCTCCGGAAGGCGGTTTTCCGGAGGGAAATGGCTGACCCGAATCTTCATCGTTAACAGATGGAGGAGGTTTCCCGCTCTCCCTGCCAAGATTTGGAAATCGCCGGAACTGGGTGATATACGAGCGGGACTGGCGAGCTTTTGCTACAGCCGGGAAAAGATATGATTGCCGCGATGAAGGGAGAAAGTATCGGAGGTATATAGGGCGCCCCGCCGCTGTCCCCGAAGATCGAGCAAGATTGCCAGGCCGTCGAATAAAACTGGCCATTGTCGCGGCAGGATGGAGGTGGAGCGTGCGGAAGGCGACAAGAGGTTTGGTAGACGCTCAATAGTAACTAAGGAGTGAAGAACCCATAGGAGCGTCACTTCGCTAGTATATATAAGGGGAATTAAAGTAAACAAAAGGGAGGACGATCAATAATCCCAGATAAATTCTTGCGTTCGTTGGAGAGCGAATGTGAAGATTGCCTGGGCTGAAGGCGATGCGGCGGGAATTGTTGAAATTCCGTTTCCGAATTTTTGCAGTGGCTGACTCATCCACCGGTCCCACGGAACCATCCAGCATCCATCTCAGGGGCAAGATCCTCCCGCATGGCTGTTATTTACAAAGCTAAAAGTATGTCGTGAAAGAAGGAAAGACAAAGCCGTGTATTGCTCAATGATGCAAGTGGATATTTAGCTACATATTATACATTTACAGAGATTCCGAATAAAGCGCCAGTTTCTACAACCATCTCAGAAAATTTGAATCCATCACCAGAACATACGCAGCGGAGTGGTCCCCCAAACGCCAAATAGCTTCCGTATCAGAGATATCTCATGAAGAATGCAGTATAAAAGTCAGTCCCGTTTTCTACGTTTTCCATCTTTTCAAAAGTCAATCCTCTCCGCTTTGTTTCCATTCCCCCACAGCCTCAACAACAGCTTTTTTCCAATATGAAGGTGGCCTAAGTTGACCAAACTGGGTCAACTATGCCTGGTGCTCGTCTCCGTTTGCGAATGGGAAGTTACTGGGCACGTCCGCCCAGTCCCACTCTAATGTCATTGGCATCTGCCAGAGTTCCTGGGGCACAAATGGTTGTTGAAATGACGAGAAATCTATGGGCATTGGACTCGGGCTGGAGAATGACGGGCCGCCGCTAGTGAACGCACTGGGATTCACCTGGTTAGGGGTCAACATTGCTGAAGAAAAATTCTCCTCGTATCCGTGTCCGAAATGGGCTCCAGACGTGACTGATGCCGTTGTCACTGTTGCCGCGGTTGTCGCCGCTGGTGTTGATGATTCTGGCCCCATACGCGCAGGTTGGTTAAAGTAAACATTTCCATTGCTTTGGCTTGTTGGCTGGATACCTGAATTTGTTTGTTGGAAAGTTTGCGTAGGTAAAGATTCTTTAGGTGTGACATCTTCCGGTTGGATATCCGGCGCGGAGCTAGGCGGTTGGACAGGTCCTTCATCATTATTGCTGTCGTCATCACCCCCAGCCCGACGCTTCCGTTTTGTCTGAGATTCCTTTTCAGCCCTCTCCAGCACAACCTTTGCTATTCTCTCGAATTCAGAGCAGACGCCCAGCATTCGTCTAACACTCCCGTTCGATTCATCGGCGACGAGCATCGAAAGAAAATTTACGACAAGTCCCATTAATTTGACATCAGATCGTGCACGGGCATCTTGTGGGTTTTGAAGTATATTTGCAAACAGCGTGACCAATGCGGAAATAGGAAAGTAAAGAATCAACCTGGACATACAGAAGTAAGCCTCGCATATCCACACTATAAGACTATAGAGTTTTGAGGCTACTTACCAAACACAGGCAAAGTCGCCTTGGGGTATATATTTGATCAAATGTATGGAGGCGCGTGCAGCAGAAACACAAAGAACAGCAGAAGAAAACACACGAGGATTCAAAGGCCTCGCGTTCAAACCTTGGATTGCATAATTCGATAATCGGCTAGTCCAATATCCATGATGAACAGACATTCGGTGAATTGTGGTCAGACAGTTATAGTAGGCAAAGTGTAACACTACTATATGAAGAATTAACGGACGGTGCGTAGCTTTGATCTCATGTTCAGGCCGGAAATCAAGTGGTATACTGTCTTTCCATTCTTCAAGCTCTCGATCAAGTTCTCCAATCGTATTGAGAAGCTCACCATCTGATTGTCGTGCCGCTTTGGTGGAATAGAGCTGTTTATATACTTTACTTTCGATTGACGCAAATATGCACATCAATCGGAAAAGATTTATTTTTCCTTTACCATCAGAGAGTGGTACGTTTCCAATATTATCTGGAGGATCTTCACTAGGAAGCTCGACATTCATATCGTCGTCATCCTGTACCGGGGGCCGCCCGGATCGAAGACATAGACTAAAATAAAATAGTGTTAGTTATTTGTGGGAAGCATATTATTAGGGAAGTCTACAAAAAACACAGGCAGTAATACATACTCTTTGTCTAGTATGTATGCGATCCAAAAAACTCGCTTTCGCTGCTCAAGCTCAACAGGGTTCAAACCAAATCCAGACCCGCGTTTGTGCAGACCTATACTATGCGAGAGGCGGATCGCTGCAGCGACTAGGAAAAATGTTGGTTGTGGGTTAGGAGTTCCCTGTAGGAAAAGTGACTGGGAAGTGTTAGCTACCGTAGCATACTCCAGTGTAGTTGGTGGTGGGTCCGGTTATTAGCACTATTGAATCAAACTTACCATTCCAATAAGTGCTTGCACACTCAGGAGATCAGTATTTCGCATCGTCAATTCAGTCAAAACACCCATCGCATTCTTCAGATACAACCAGGCTTTTTTATCTTCCTCTTGCGGCACCAAATTACTCATAATTCGTAGCCGATGAGATATAGCTAACACCACATTGATGCTGGCCCACCATCCAGAGCCTTCGTAAGGGTCGCGGGAGTACTGTCGTTCGACCAGGTGCATAAATGTGGGTTCGTGAAAGAGAGGGAAGACGCAATTAAAGTTCTCAAAATAATCTTTAAAGAGGGATAGAGCTTCCTCTCGGGGGGGTAACGGTTTGAAAACACGACGAGCGAATATGTCACTGAAAACCTCTGGCTTCCAATATATCCATTTATTGTCATCTACATATGCGGATGATATCATATCCTGAAACGATGAATCTCCCGTTTTCTCGTTGACCCATTGGATGCCCTTTGGTGAGAATATTGAGAAGCCAGATGATGATCCTGCAATATGTTAACTCGAGTCTTAACAGGATAACTAGAGATTGGGTCGTTACCAATATATCGAGTCTCCCCGCAATTGTTGGTGACCAAGGAACACATCATATCTGATAGAGAATCTAACTCAGCCTCCGTCTCCTTTTGAGAGTCTGGCGAAGTAGCCGCGGTCCTTGGGCTGGTGTGAGAATCTGCATGTGGTGTAGAAGTTATGGGGGATGGTTGGCTGGTTTGATTAAAGCCAAAGGATGCGGTTGACGGCTTGGACGACAAGCCAACGGGTTGGCTTGACTTATCTGCTAACCGTTTCTCAAGAGCACTAAGATCGGTTTTACCAGCGTCCGCTTCCGTTAACAATCCGGATAGTCGTAGTAAGGATTCCATGCGGCCCAATCGATTTTCCAGTCCTTCTATGTATTTGGCTCTGTTGGACAGTATTAGCGAGTGTGGAAGATTTTCAGATGCAATCGACCGTACCCTTTCGGTGGATTCCGCTTCTTTTCCACCTGAGTGAAGATACACTCGGTTTTATAGTTTATACAGTGCGAGCATTTTGGCATCTTCCCGTCGCACTTAATCTTCTTTTTTCGGCACATATCACATGCCTAAAACCATCAATCAGCATAAAACCTTAGGAAACGAAAACTGACACTACCCCTTCAGACATACTCTTGCAATTCTCCGCCTCTTCGCATCGTTACTCTCCTCCATACTGCCACTTAGGTGGTCTTCGGGAAACACTGGTCCTGGAAGAGATGGTGTTATGGGCGAACCATCAGGATTGTACGCCCCGAATATCTGCGGGGGTTGGTTGACCACCATGTTCATATCGAATCCCATGCTATCTGCATCTACTCCACCGAGATTATCCATTTTTCTAAGCAAGGGGTCGATGGCAGTAGCGCAATAAGGAGCGTGGCTGTATTGATATCTCTGAGTTCAGAACAGAAAGGGCATAAAGGAGACCTGTCCAGAGGAAGAGGGACAACAAGCTATGTCCGCGAGCAACTAACAGTTAACACGGGTGACCAAAACAGCGCTCACGATGAACGGCGTATGTAAAAGGGCACTCGACGCAGGAGTTCGTATGACGCCGTGACGAGGATTAGCAAGCGCGGACAGCCAAAGTCGAAGATGGCGGAGAGAATAAGGTGATGCTTGATGATGAAATACGTCAATGTATGGGCCCCTCGTTTGTCAGCATATGAACAGTGGCATATGGGATTCGGAGTGGACCTTGGGATGTTATTTCGGTACTCGTATAAACCGAAGCTCAAGTCAGTAATGTGGTCGAGAGCAGGGAGATTCTTCCTCCCGATTCATATGCCCAGAGAACAGAACATGAAGAAAACAACAAGAAACAGTGTTCACAAAGCTAAGATGAATCTCGCAGACTTCTTTGCTTTTTTTCCCGCTAGGTCTTGAAGCCGTAATCGGATTAACAAAAAGTAGCCGAGAAGATTAGCTGGCCCAAACAGGCTAGGTCCAAAGTCAACTCAGCACCGGCCATTTGTCAACCCCGACCCGACACCAACCTCCCACATAACCTTCCCGTCAACCACAGGAGTGGCATTGATTTGTCCTTGGATGGGCGTGCTCGATGTTGGTTGGGGAGCAGCTGGTATCGTGAATTTAATTGGGCTCGCCCCAATGGAAAAGGCCCGAAACACTCATATCGTGATACTTTGACAGCGCATGCATCCTGACGATGTGGCTGACAGAAATAACGAGCAGTTGCAGTGGCTGATATTACTTCCAGTGCGCCCAGACCTCTCCACAAACACTAATACCTCCCATCGCCCTTGTGAAATGCAATATTTCTTGACTGAACTTCTCTACGCATTACGGTTAAACAAGTCTGCTGGTGAACCGCAAGAAAGGGATCATATATGGGCTGTGAAGAAAGTTCACTCCGAGAACATCTTCAACTAGCCAACGCGGAGATGTCTTGATCTTCCCACCTTTGCGTCAATTTCAAACAGTTGGAAATACATGGCCGGAATACAGGGTGCGACTTCACTGTTTCAGTAACTTACCTCCACCTCCACTCAAGGTGTAAAATTTCATGTCAGCAAGACCTCGGTCTTTGCCTGTTCTTAAATACTCAGGCATGATGATTAAGCCCTAAATGAAGAAATCTACAGTTTAGCCACCTACAGAGGCCAAGGAATTGACGAAACGGGCAACTTCGAAATCTTGACAAAGAGTAACTTCTGACCTGGAGGGGTAAAGTATCCGAAGTCGACCACGATCTCATTGCGATTTTGCAGTGTCTCCTGCGTAGCAGCCGGGATGGTGCGTAAGCTCAACTGAGTTCAAGGTTGTTCGAGCTTTCATTCTGGCTAAACAACATCGATGTCAGGCTGGGGGGCATCAAGGGGAATCACGGCAAAGGCTCAAAAACATCACTTTGTTCACACCGTCCACATCTGTGACTCATATTTACGAATCTCCTTGCACCAGCTAGAATGAGCTCAAGAGCCACGAGGGACTAGATCGCGCCTCCATCAAGCTTACGGAGTTCATTTGGCAAATGGGCGCTACTGGAAGCTCAGCCGAATTGAATGGTTTACGGAATATAAGTTTGAACATGGTTCTAGCGATACAACTCCTTGATCTTTTTATTTTTATTATCTATGGATCTCTTACAGATCTGTACAGTTATGAATGAAAAATCAGTTGCTGGCCTATTTCTTCCAGAGACGAGTGAAAGGGTTTTGATCAAAAGCGGCTGTATAGGCACTGTACCAATAGCTCCAGCAACCTCTAGACAAGGAGCATCTCTAGCCATCCAAAGTTTCCAGGTCTCTGGGACCATATTCCCCTTAAGTCGGCCTCCTTTCGTTGCACGGAATGGCACTGATCCTTTTCACTCTCAGTTCTCATGAAACCTTAACATTGCTTAAATCAACCGAGGAAGCTCTCTTTATTCCATCTCTGACCACCACCGCTGATTCAACAGACTATCGCAACAGCTTTTCATTACCACCCATCACCCAAAGAACTCAGAATCCATTTGCTATCCTCACCCGGCTTGTCTTCAGCTCAATCATTGCTTTCTATCAGAGCTGACAGTGACACACCGACCGAAACGGACAGAACAGTAATATAACGTTACACAACCTGATACTCATATCAATCAGTTGATCATTATTTGTGTGTTGCTTATTTGGAAGAGGGTTTTGTGGAAACCAAAACCCCCAATGTCATCTCACTCTCATCACCAGTCGTGGATGGACCAGATGGGAATCACACCATTCCCAAGTCTGGTGTTGGTCTTCATTCCAATTCTACACAGGGTCTCTCCAGCGCAACCCTGCTGGCTTGGCCACCCAAGAGGATATACACTACTGCTTATGATGCCAAAAGAGCTGATTTAACCTTCACCAACATACCAATAGCCCAAGCCCATGGTGATGGGGGTTAGCTCGTTTTCTTGGCCACATTCATGCTGACTCGAAATCACGATGGTGCTAACATCATTCCTTTCACCTTCTACGATGAAGGATTCCCACTCCTCTCACCATGAACAGCACTCACCACGGAAGCCAGAGTCATGGCCTGAGGCCGATGGAAATTTCCAAATCCATAACCCCGCCATCTAGCCGCTAGCCTTCAGAAGCCAAAGCCACTAGCACTTGGCGTGAGCGATCCTGAACTTGGCGCATCCACTTGGGACAAAAGAACCTTGGAAAAGATGCATACTCCACTGAGAATGCCAGTTAGCCCCTTAGGCAGCAGCATTATTCTCTTGAGATTTTCCTTTCCATTTTCTTCCATTTTCATCCATTTTCATCCTCCTGCTGACACATCTTGATATCAAGGCAGGAACTGAAAGAGGCAACCCAAGCCTCGTCGCGAGCAAAGCCAAGATCTCTTGATCTTTTCAATTGGTCATCTTTTACGATTCTCTTTGCTGGCTTCAATAACTTCCTTGACTCTCCTGCAGATTATGGTCAATCAAACTCATGTTAGAATCCAGGATTGAAGCAGATTTCCGCTCCTCCGAAATTCGGTCGAAACCTTTAGGTATTCTGGCCTAGACCACAAAATTCCGTGGGATAATCAATCGACCATGTGGTTTTACGATGCTCACAATCGCTTCAAGGTTCCTCTGGTGAGAACGTGGGGCTCTGTGCGATCCCAATAAATGGCCTTTGGTCAACTGATCCAAGTGTCCTGACGCGACCGTCGATCCGATCCTGTTGTATCCTTCCTGTTGGAAAGAACCAGGCGGGGAATAGGATGTTAAATGCAGCGTCGCGCAAATTGTCCTATAATTTAATAGCCGTTCCCGATCGACAGTAGATCTGATCGAGGTACTTTTGGCTCAATGGCACTAGCCTAAAGAGTCAATGTACCCAGAATCGAGCATATCTGCTGGAATCGCGAGCTGCACTGACGAACTATCCAAACAGAGGATAGAAGACTAGACAAGCCGCTCCACCATGACAGTGTCCATGGAAGACTGTTTAGGAGATCAAAATGGCTGTTGATAGTTTTTTTTTTTTTTGGGTGGGGGGGGATAGAAGCACCATTTATTGTAAGGCGAAGGCCGCATTCAGATGCACATTCTTCGATGGTCACATTAAGGCAGGTTTTCCTCCAACACCTCGAAGGCCTCGATATAGGTTCAGCTGTTCTCAATCACTTTGGGCGGTCGGCCCTATCAATGGTCGACACCAACAATGACCTCATGGAAGCGTTATGCCAAATCTCTCTCGCCAACATAATCATAGAAATATGGAGGAGTAAACTACTCATGTTGCCGCCGCAGTCAACTCCGCATGCATCCACGTCCTGACTAAGATGAATTTCTACATGTTGGGAATTTCACTGCAATTGACGCACTTGACCGCGAGAAGCACATTACAACTTCATGATTTCCAGCGGAAGGGAGCTGGCTCATCCTGGCTCAGCTAATTGCTCGAATACTAGAGACTGACTCTACACATCCATCCCCTTTCTATGACAGTATTTATTTTTCTCTGGATCGGGCCCTCTGTCAATTTTTTTTTTCTTTTTTTTTCATTTATACTCTTCTCGTTACTAATTGTTAAAAGCTGGAACGGGCTGACCCCTCTCCCGAAAATGGCATTAAAAATAATCTCTCACATAGAGATTTCAATTGATTTCGTCTTTCGTACTACGTAACGTCTATCTAGAGTTCGTTCACAAGTCGGCGCTCCTTACGAAGAGCACGTAGCTTGGCTCGAGCTTCCTCTAAGGGAACAAGACTTCCTTTAGCTTGAGAGCTAGGATCATCACGGTTGCGGATGTTCACCGTGCGGGTCGACTTCTCTTCGGCACCGACAACTACATTATTGGAAAAACATTGCGATTAGCATAATAACAATAGTTCAGTGCTCGGTGAGAGGCTAGCGAAACATCATTAAACGGGAGGATTGGGGAAGAAAATCATAGTTTACCGAAGATAAAATTATATTGCGCGATCTGGCCGGTGCGGATTTTCTTCTGCATCGTATTTCCGCTGATATCAATGTCGACGTTTAATTTATCTTCTTTGAGAATCCGCTGCAGCTCCTCAACGTAGTCGTTAACAGCAGGCATGACGGGCACAATCAAGATTTGACGCGGGCTAAGCCAGAACGGCCACTTTCCGCCGAAATGCTCGATGATGATACCAAAAAACCGCTCGAAGCTGCCAATTATAGCTCTATGAATAACAACTGGGCGAGCGCGGCCTGGACCTGGCTCGTCGCTATTTGTGGGAGGAACATCTGGTTTGGCGGCATCTCCTGCTGGCTTGTCTGCCGTCTTCGCTGCGGGTGCTCCGGCTGATTTCTCTTCAGGCTTCGCTTTGGCTCCCGTCTCACCAGTCATATATTCCAATTTAAAGTTCACAGGCATTTGATAATCCAGTTGGATGGTAGCACACTGAAACTCTCTCTTTAATGCGTCTTGGATCGTGACATCAATTTTAGGTCCATAGAAGGCGCCATCCCCCTCGTCAACCTCCCAGTCATTACCCTTAAATTTAGTCATAGCAGCACGTAGTTGATCCTCGGCATTATTCCAAGTCTCTAGCTTTCCCATGTACTTCTCTGGCCTTGTGGATAATTTTAGTTTGAAGCTAAAGCCGAATAATCCGTAGATAGCACGAAGGAAATCGAAAAGGCCATCAATCTCTTGCATAATCTATGCCAGGAATTAGTCAAATAACTAGGATAAAAAGTGAAGAAGTATAGTTTTCACCTGATCTTCAGCACAGAATATGTGAGTGTCATCTTGCTGGAACTTCCGCACCCTCGTGAGCCCGTGAAGGGCGCCAGATGCTTCATTTCGATGCAGCACTCCGAAATCCGCAATCCGAAGAGGTAGTTCTCGATAGCTTCGTTCTCTGTGCCCAAACATGATCGCATGTCCTGGGCAATTCATTGGTTTCAATGCCCAGGTTCTCTTCTCGATATCTAGCTTGAACATGTCGTCCTTATAATGTTGCCAATGCCCGGATTGGCGCCAGATACCGACATCGTACATGTTTGGTGATTGAACCTCCTGGTAGCCGCGCTTACGATACTCAGATCGCAGAAGTGCCTGCAAGGCATTGAAAATTTTCGTTCCATTAGGAAGCAAAAATGGGCATCCTGGGGAAACCTCGTCGAAGAAAAACAAATCCTGATCCTTTCCAATTCTAAGGTGGTTCCGCTTTTCAGCTTCTTCGAGGAATTTCAAATGCTCTTGCATTTGCTTCTTATCGGGGAACGCAACACCACGTATCCGTTGTAGAGCATCATTAGATTGATCACCCAGGAAATACGCAGCGGAATTCTTGAGGAGGTATTAGCTTTAAGCCGTGAAACCAGATGGCATTGTTCGCACCTGCATAATCTTCATGATCTTAATTTTTCCTGTATTTTGGATATGAGGCCCCCTGCAAAGGTCAACCAGGGTACCACATCGATAGACTGTGCTACTCTCTCCTTCAACAAGGTTATTGATGTAGTGCAATTTATATTTGCTATAGGCGAACATTTTCTTCAGATCCGATTTCGAAACTTCCAGTCTGTCAAAAGGCTGTTTTTCTTTGAAAATACGGGCTGCTTTTGTGTCAAGCGCTGGCCAATCGCTTTCCTTCACAACATGACTATAATTCCACATCAGTGAAAGCCGTCAAAAATGGGCGACAACAAGGGGAGCAGAGACCTACCCCGGCTCTAAGGCCATGTCATAGAAAAACCCTTGAGGCGTCGGCGGGCCATGGGAGAGTAGACACCCGTAATAGCACTCGCAAGCCTCACCCAGCACGTGAGCACTAGAATGCCAGAAAACCTCCCTTCCCTCAATCGAGTCAAACGGCAGGAAGGTCACCCTACAATCCCTCTCCAATGGTCTATCTAGATCCCAAAGTTCCTTCCCATCTAGCTTGGCAATCACCACAGTAGAACTAATCTCCTTGGGTATATCACGTAAAAACGAACCTGGTGTGGTTTCCCATGCCTTACCAATGATGGTGGAGGGGTTCGAGTCTCCAATGTCAATCGTAATGTTGATATCAAAGCGGGATTTATGTTTTAATTCTTCATCATGTTTCTGTTTAAGTTCTTCGAAAAGTTTATTCCGCTCTATAATGAAATCTGGAAGCGGCGCTTCTGCTGTAGGCTCAGGCTTTTTCGGTTTCGTTTTTGCAGCTTTTTGCGGAGGCGGGGCATTGGGGTCGGAGGGGTGGGCGTCCATAGCTGGTCTGTGAGGGAGGCTTTCTTCCTCGTTCGCGGGAATTGAAGCGTTGGCGGAATCTCCACCCATTATGGTTCTCAATATGACGTTTGACGACTGAATTCTTCAATAGTAGCTGCCCGTCTGTTGTGGTGACTTTTAGTTGTCCATGCCCCGATATCAACTTGAGCTGCAAAAAAAGTGAACTATCCGAAGGCGGTGAGTCACGTGAACATAATTTTATTCCCACGAGTTTTGTCGGCAAAATCAGAAGCTGTGCACAAGGCCCTGCTGCTTTTCTCCCAACATCAATTCAAACACTCACAACAATGTCATTCAGAGGAAGCAGTCGAGGTCGCGGTGGCTCTGCAACCGGTGCCAATCGAGGCGGCTCGGGCTTTGGTGGACGTGGTGGTAGGTCAACTTGTGCAAGCCTCAGCGGACCTCGAAAATAGATTAATCTAACTTTTTACTCCGCAGGTCGAGGAGGAGGCTTCCAGCCTTCATTCGGCCCTCCAGCTTCGGTATTGGGTGGGTGTCATATCTGGCATTATGTTCCATATTACGTCGTAAACTGATCTGTGTGCAGAAATGGGTTCTTTCTTGCATGCGTGCGAAGGCGAGATGGTTTGCGAGTCCATCAACCCCAAAATTCCGTACTTCAATGCACCGATATATTTGGAGAATAAGGTACGCATAAAGTGACAGGCCCAGTATTGTCTGCTGAAATGCTAAAAATAAAATTGGGTATTTGCCTGTGCGTTAGACTCCCGTCGGAAAAGTTGATGAAGTCCTAGGCCCTATCAACCAGGTCTACTTTACCATAAAGCCCCAAGAAGGAATCGTCGCAACTTCGTTCAAATCGGGGGATAAGTTTTACATTGGAGGAGATAAGTTGTTACCACTAGAGAAGTATGTGGCATGTCCTATTCCATCAATACTCTGACATTATACTATGAGCGCATGTCAACTAATACTAATATATTCTTTCCAGGTTCTTGCCTAAACCAAAACCACCTCCAGGTAAACCCACTCAGTCCTGTGCATACATTCTTCTACATTCGAAGTAGTGTCTCACTCTATATAGGTGCCCCAAAACCAAAAAAGGTCGGAGGTGCTGGACGAGGCGCCGCTCGCGGTGGACGTGGTGGGCGCGGAGCTTCCCGCGGAGGTAGAGGTGCACCACGAGGCCGGGGCGGAGCTCCAGGAAGAGGGGCCCCTCGCGGTGGAAGAGGAGGGTTTACAGCCCGCGGTGGCTCAAGGGGCGGATTTCGCGGTGCTTCTGGCGGACGGAGGTTCTGAATGATTTCTTATTTTTTCCATTGGCGTTTTGGGGGCTCTCAACGGCGGTTATTAATTTACCAAGCTGTTTCTCTATTTTGCATTATATAAAAAGAGAATACTTCTTTATTTTCTACTTCTTGAAGGAATTGTGGTATTTTATTGTAAGAATTGATGTTCGTTTCTGAAATGTCACTATTCTCACCATAATTAATTCAAATGAACTGAATAGTCAGGGAATAACCCCTACGGTAGCAGGGATGAAAACCTTTCAAGTTCACCACTACCATTTTTTCCATATTCAAGGGTGTGTATGACAATGACGGGGTTTTTAAGTGCTGCTGTGGTGCTTGTTCAGGTATTTGGGTTTGGGCATAACAAGCTTGCGGTGAGATGACTCTCATCAATACATATGACGAAATATCCCTGTACTTGGTTTCGAACCTCAACAACGCTTGTCTGCATAATATTTATTCTTCCTCCCTCTCCCCTCGTCCTCGCACTCTCGACTGTCAACCGCGTTGATATTACTTTCTTGCTATCTTGGGTAGTTTTATTATTTCTAATACTAAAATCTATAATACCCCTCTTATGTCGAGAAGAAGTTCCGTCACCCCCAGCCCAGCTGGCCCTGAAATCGCCAACACCGACACAAACATAAAGGACCGTGGTAAGAGCTTATATTATATCCTCTGCAAGTTCCATTCGTTGGGAGCACGTAGCTAATGTACTTATCCAGTACGAGACAAGCAGAAAATGCTGCTCTCGGCTGATTCAGGCCATTTCAGCTTGATCAGGTCAGTTCCATACCCGCAATAACAGTATTTTGCCCGTCCGTTCCCGAAATAAAAACAAAAGTTATTGATGGGATTATTTTTCCCATATATATTAGGGCATTACACCTGGCGGACCTTGTAACTGAATTGAATGGTAAGTTGTCTCCGTGTGTTTTCCAGTTTCTCTCGTTGCTCATCTTCTGACGAGTTTTACTCCTCTAGGATTTTGCGGAGGCAAGTCAATATTCCGATTTGAACACACAAACAAATGCATACGTCCTCACCTAACAGCTCTACTCCTAATAGTCATGTCTATCTTCTCGTCGATGCGATATTGTCTAGGCGACTTGACAGAATATAGGGATTTATGGATAGCTCTATCATTTATGCCTTTCGGCCTCTTCTTCGACTTCATGGACGGCAAAATCGCCCGATGGCGGAGAAAGTCGTCATTGATGGGTCAAGAGCTCGATTCGCTAGCCGATCTGGTAATAAAAACCGTCGCTAAACCCGCAATGTCTACATGTAACGTGATAACTGATTCATTCGTTTTTCTTATCAATTCCCAGATCTCCTTCGGTGTCGCACCAGCATCCGCCGCCTTCGCAATCGGCATGCGCACTCCGGTCGATCATTTATTCCTCACATTTTTCGTGCTGTGTGGCCTTACGCGGCTTGCTCGCTTCAACGTGACCGTGGCCACACTCCCGAAGGACGGATCAGGAAAAGCACAATACTTCGAAGGAACACCGATCCCGACAACTCTGGGGATTGTGGCGCTGATGGCGTATTGGGTGTCGCAGGGTTGGATTTTGGATGAAATACCGTTCGGCGTAATAGGCACAGGAACTGTGCTAGAATGCCACCCAATCGTTGCCTTGTTTGCAGCACATGGCTGTTTGATGGTGAGCAGGACCATACATATTCCGAAGCCTTGAAAAGGGTCAATGAGGGAAATAAATACGATAAATGAAAGAGAGAGCGGCACAGGGAAGGAAATGGGATGAGTGGGAGAATGAGGCGAACGCGACTACAGTGAAGAGATTGCCAAAAGCCATCTCTGTTAACTGTTTTTTACCTCTTCCATTTTTACTTAATAGAGACAGAACTAGTGGGATGGATATGTTGGCATCTTGTTTTTTGTATTTACTTCTTTCTTGCTTTATATCGAATACCTAAATGCTGCCTATATTATATTATGTTTGTTTGCTACTAAGATGCCTTAGGACATTGTAATAACAAACTGGATAAATATATCAAGTACGATCTAAGCTATAGAGACAAAATTACTCGGTTACTCCTTTATTTATGCTGAAGGTCCCTCTACTCCTACCGATTAATCAAACCTAATAATTGCTATTTATTAGCCTAACTATTAAAAATATGCTCTTTTTAATTCCCTCCTCGCAGGGAATCAAAGGCAGACACTAAACTTCTGTTGGAAACGTCGATGTGTATACATACATGGTCAGGCTAGAGCAATATCTTATCTCATTCACCTCATCCTTGAAGGTATCTAGGTAAAGTCACATATGCTGAGGCTATGACCGTTTACACCTGCGAAGACGATTCTAATTTTCCTACTACCACTATTAAAATATCCTCTCTAATACTCCACCCGGTCTGTTGCCCTCTGGATACAAGAGGTACGCATCCATGGATGAATGATGCTGACATGTGACTTTCTAGGGCAAGTCGATTCCATCTCCAGATGGTGGCACGCCCAGCATGATATTCCCCATCCTTTTCAGTGATCACCAGGAGTGTCATGCGTATGCTTCACAGGTGGCTGATTTGGACATACTTGGTGACTCTTGAGGAAAATGGATGGAAATCATCATCATTCGACGGTTGTAAGTCCATAGGTCAGAAGCAAACAACCTCATATGACATGCACTCCACACATCATTCCTTCTCACCACAGCTTACCACCTGCCACCACTTTAGAAATTCGGCATGGGAGCTCGGGGCTGCTATGGCATCTCGGCAATCAGCATTTACTGTCAAGCGCCGGAGGGCTTGAAGTATCAGTTAAGGCATATCATATCTTTTCGCAATTCATATAATGATATCGCCGTTTTGAAAGCTTGCTTCCGCCATAAATTCACATCATCACTCTCAATTATGAGTTTAAGGAAATTTTCATAGAAACCAATTCCCAGTTATGCAATCCGTTTTGATCGCGTGTCGGCGGCCCTGTGCCAGTATCAGTGTTCTTGCATATTGCTACACATGCAATGGAATTAATTTAAGTTGATTGGTTGAATCGAAGAGTCCGACGGGGGGATGATTCAACTGTAGGTGACTGCATGAGCATAAAATATCGCGTGCTCTCAGAGCTCGAGATTTTCCACCCAGAACCTGCACTTGTTTCAAAACACCTGGAAAATGGCATGGAGTGCCTAGTGAGTAGGGCTTCATATTTCCCTCCCTCCCAACCTACTCTTTTTTCTTCACAATGGAGCGATGCTGCTTGCTCGACAATCAGAAATAACAAATAATAGCTTAGAAACAATGCAGCTAGAATCTCCGTAGTTTAACTCGTCGCTTGAAAAAACAGGATAAAATGTGCCTCCTTACATTCCAGACAGTCTTGCTTGCGTTGAGAATAAACATTGTCTTTGACAATGTACTTGCTGCTTTAACTCTGGGAGATATGCTAAATCCACAATCTCCTGATATGCTCGTGAACGCCGTCTCCTTACTCCTGGTGGCGCTGCCCTGCACCCATCTGCCACCGCTTCATGTTGGAGGCGAGTCTCTTTCAGAGCCGCAGCAGGTAAGCTTTTATGTGTTCCAGCATTTATTGAATGTCTGTTGCCTCATTAACATGATTCATTACACCCCCCCCCCCCCCCCAAAAGTTTCTGGAGCTGGGAATTGTCATGTTTGTAGAACTGAAGATTCGATCCACATTGAATTAGAGGTTGGGCCATGTAGTTGAGACTTGGTATTTGTGATTGCGTGTGTAGACTTCTATGTTCCACAACCAAGTAATGCAATTATAAAGTTCTCAATGACTGCACCTAGGTCTTGAGCACAGCCATAATCAACCTGACTTTTTCACCTTCAGCTTCCACGACGAAGAAGAAATCTTCTGAACGGCGAAAGATAAGTCGTAAAGTCCCAATCATAGGGATATGGTAGGGCATTCATTTGACGCAGAGGTTTGACTCCGAATCTGTGGTTTTGAGGGCTCCGGGAGATTATATCAACAAACCACTGTCACCATGACTTAGATTGGTTAGTAGCAAACAGTAAGCATCTGACTCTTGGTCCCAACAAGGGAATAGGGAGCATAAGAAGGCAAAAAGAATAGAAGCAAGGGTCCGAGTCTTGGTGGCGCGGTTCAGGTAATTAACAAGGCTGGCCGACAAGACTTCGCGAATTGATGCCACTGATTTCCATGCAGTGGGAATGGGTTGAAGGAATGATTGGCCGTAGGATTTGCAGCCAATTTTATGCTGCTAGGCTGTAAATGGTAGTATGCGCTTGGTATACTCCATATGTGCTGTTGAACTCCAAAATGCTCAAGGCTTTGGATACCCCCAGAAGGGCAAACATGCTGTCATTGTACGTATATATGTCTTAAGATGGGTGACGCCACCTTAAAAAAAATTTGATCCTTTGGGTGCAGCAGTTAACACCAGGCACTGAAAAGTTTTGACAGATACAGCGTCCTTCCAACGCATTTCACGATGGGAAAGCAGTATAATTGGCGGAGTTGTCGGGCGGTTAGCATGGGGTTGACAAGTGACACACACCTGGCTCACCTCTGTGCATCCTGAATTCCCGCCTGGCAGACGATGTTGCCGTTAGCGAATTGGCGCCTCACACCGTTTAGAACCAACTAACTTGTTGAGTACCATTCAACGCGCTTGGGATTGTCCCTGCGGTTTCTCAACTTATCAACAGCAGCCCATTATCGTCTCTTCCCCCTATTGCTGTTGGGATCCTACCTCGGATGAGAATGGCGGAGCCAAATAGAGAGACATTTGACATGCGGGCTAAGCGCTCGACTCGGAGATATTAATCATTGACTCCAATCACGGCCAATCATGTTATCCTTTTATCAGCAAAAGATTCTGCAGCTCTGGGATACCCCAGAGCGGGATCGACATGTCGTCTGCTGTGTGCCACTCCAGGAACAATTGAACAGCAATGAAATGATGTTCGCATTGGGATAACGTTCCAAGCTACCTCATCACAAAGCATCACAATCTCTCTACAGCTGTTTGGGAATATATGTTGCCAGCTTTCAACAGATCTTACACAAGGTTTTGTGTTTGATATTGAGACAATATTGACCTGTTCACAACAGATATTGCACCACCAGCCGAAGAACGCGAGCAATGAATAAATTATTCAACCCTGGGATTCAAACCTTAGTGCTGCGTATCATTCACTTTGATGTGCTGGTGATACCTATAGAGCTACTGCTGAGTTTGTAGCGTAGCTTGAGAAAACAAATTCATGTCTCCTGTGATGGCCGCAAGAAGTGCTGAGCCTGTATAAGGGACACGGCGTTTAAGAGACATAGAAATAGCGTACTGTCGTAGCAAAAGTAGACACGCTAAGGTTTTTGAGGAGACCCGAGGTGTGAATGTGAAAATGGAGGGGTGTGAAGAGCTTTGCATGACACAGCTGTTCTCTCATCATACACTTCTAATCTTAAGAGTGCTGGACAGCTAAACGGACCATATCAAAATCGAGTCGAGGATTGCTGCTGCACATTAATGTCCGCTAGCATTCCTATGGCCTGCGGATGGTGTTGAAGAGCGTTCTCAAGAACATGCTGAGAATTGTTCTAACAATCCCGGTGGGCAGCTGCTCATGGCGCACTGCTGCTTGTTGAGTCAAAGAGGGACACTAAATACGGTTAGCATTCATCGTTGACAGACACGCAATATCAGGCAGATTGGCAACCTTCGTGAAACCCGCAGGTCTCTCAACAGACTGTAACTGTACAACATATCATTTGTCATATATTACCTTTTGAACGGGCTCCGTACAATCAGCTCTTATACTTACTCCTCCTTTATTATAGACACTTCCCTGTCGCCAAGAGGCCCTAGATATCAGAGGATACCAGGCGTCTCAGCCACCGCCGCGCGAGATGGAGGTGAATACGGCCCCGTGGCAATGCTCAAAGATCTTCCGGTTCTGCGTATAAGCTGGCCTCCTCAATTGTCTTTCCCGGGGTTTCAAGCACCATCGCCGTGACAGGGCGTTTGATCCTTGGAACCAGTGGAAATCAAGCAGATATCCCACCAGCGCCATCTCCATGCCTTCAAATCCTTTAAGGTAACTGGTCTCCCTCTTTGGGTCCGCTGGTACTTCCCTCCTATCCTGCTTCCAACGATCCTTTGATCCTTGTCCACCTTCCCATGTAGACCACAGCTTCCTGGCCATCCATGACAATGACTGTGGCGGCGGAAGAACCTCAAGAAATATATACTACCTGAGCCGTTTTGGACCAAAGGGAGGAAACCCAGCAACGATATCTCCCCAGGGAATACTAAATAGCCGCCCACTCAAAGAGGAAACTCAAGCGCCAGTGGGCCGGATGACCTTGCACCATGCCGAACCCGCGCATACGGAATCAAAATGCATACACCGTACTACACCCAGCGGTTCCATGGCAGCCAGAGCTTGTGTACCGCAAGACGCGCACCCGATCTCTCTCCCACGTGAGCCCTCGGCGGCTTGCGCTCCCTATGGCCGTGACTGTTGGGTGGATTGGTGTGTGGTGGACTAGACTTTGATATCTTTGATCTGGGTTTTGTTGGAGAGAGGAGGAATGGAAGGAAACGCTCCTCCACTCCACTCCATGCATTCATTCATATATGGATCGATCCATCGGGTCGCGTAGCCCTCACGTGGAATATTTTGGGCTTTCGTTCCGTTCAGCCCTCTTCTCCTTCGAGGCCCTTTTTTTTCTTTCTTTCTTTTTTTTTTTTTTTTTATAAACAACAAAACCAGTTCGCAGACTACGAACAGATGCCCCTGCAACAAAATGATTTGTCGCACGCTAAGCATTTGCACTGAAATATTCTTTTACTAGTGTACCGAATCTTATGCCTGCACTGCCTGGGATTTTTGGCAGTAAGCTTGGGGGAAGCCTCAGGGCATTGAACCTCTATTTTCCCCCCTGAGAGTCCCTATTCTCTTAATTGAGAGATGGAACTCCAACACTTAAATGCCGGTCTCAATACTTCAGTTTAAATTCTTTTTCGTGAGTCAAGACTTTTTCGCAGGAGCATCTCTCTGTTCTGGAGCTTGGAGATTCCAGATTTCATTGCCACATCAGTCAGGGGAGGGAAGCCAGCACACCCTTCCCAAAAATGGGCGGCGCCAAGCCGAAAGGGGAGCAGGAGGAACAAACACTAGACCGCATCCATCTACACTTCTCTTGTATGGCTCGGGAACGTCGGCTGGCAGAGCCAGATATTGGGACGTCTGCGCAAAGAGCTTGAGAGGATTGAAATCCTGCTCGGTTTCTTGATATATTAATTTTTATTTCTTTTTTTTTTTTTAATTATTATTTTTAATTTAGAAACTGTGACTTGGGCAACGGTTAAGCAACATTGGAAGTCATACCATGGGTTTGGAAATACACAATATAATGCCAATACGATTTTAATTTTACAAGCAAATAACCATCCGTGGCCTTGGTGTTTTTTTTTTTTTTATGATGATTGATTGCCTGCCGCAGATATCCGTGTGGAGAATAAGTAACTTCTGTGGTAATTTCCCCCGTACAGAAGCCAGATTATACCTACGTACATTTCTCCAATGTTCATGACCCTGGTACTACGGAAATAATTTAAGGAAGATTTTTCCAGATCTTTCGGAGTTCCTGCGAAGAAAATTAGCAATCCCTATCAAGGGGGGAGGTGGCCCCAACTGTGGCGGTGCTTGATGTTTCAGAGAAATTTGGTTTGCGCATCCTTCATTGGCTGCATTCCTGTGGATCGGTTGCATCATCAAACATGGTCAACTGCCAGCCTGGGCCTGTTTGGGTTTAGAGCCGAGCACAAGCTGGGGATAAAGTAGGTTAGTGGGAAGCTTATGAGTTCGTCCGTTTTGCGGTAAGAGGGGGGGGGAAGCCAGGGGCTTTCAATATATGCGATCCGGCGAACGGAAAGCCAAGTCGTCAAAAAAAGTTGTTTCCCGCAGCGTCATACATACATACATACACAGGAAAGCCCACCGCCCGAAATCCGATGACTGAAATCTGACCCCCAAAAATGTTGTGGCGTTTTTTTGCCCTGTGTTGTTGTTGTTTGTTGTTATTTTCTCTTTTATTTTTGGTGTTGTCACACATCACTAACTACGTGTTCTGCCTGAATAATACGTTTCCTGACGTGGGCGTGGAGCAAGGTCGGGGATATATCTATCTACTCCGTATTATTTGATACTCGTGTGCCTGCGTTCTTCAGTCAGTTTAATGCTGTATGAATATCTTTTGCTTGAGATGAAGATATAGCAATACTTAGGTGTGCGATTCTTGACGATGGCGTTCCAAATCAGTAATCATCTCTTTCTGCAGCCTTTGTCACGTAGCTTTGCAGCTGGACGATGGCAATCATCGATGAGCATGGCATCATCCACCAGTAGGCCTTAGCTCATTCGTGTGTCCGGGTAGGTAGGTAGCGTTCCTGCATTTTTCATGAAGTCATTGTTTGAGCCTGTGGTTGGGTGTTTTGAAAATGTGAAGGAGCTTCGTCTCGAAAGGAATGGTGGCACCAATCACTTGAATTTTCTCTTGTTAATTTGTTTTTCAGTTAATTATTTTGCAACTTTTGTTGTCATCAATCAATCAATCAATCAATTAATCGACGATGGCGATGCTTTTTAATTTCCCCCCCCCCTCTCTCTTTGCAAGTTGATGAAAGACAGGCCCAGAGAGCGGGTAGCGTATGAAGTTATTGAGGTAGTTATTTGGAGGTTGCATGCATTACATGATATGATAGATTGCAGGCTCGTCCTGTCTGCTTGCCGCATCATGATTCATGACGGCTCATTGCGCCGGTGCATTGCTTGAGGAAATGGCGAAAGGGCATGGTTTGCAGTGCTTCGTACATGACAAATACAGTAGCAGTAAACTATTACCTGAGGAGTGGCAGCCAGGGGCGCATGACTGCAAAAGGAATCCATTCTCTCTTTGAAAACCTTTATCCAAGGGGGCATGATCCAGAAGTCGAGCGGGTTGTTTCGTGTTGAAGGGTCTTCTTTCAAGGAATATCCTCGCTGAGGTATTTTGTAAGAACTCAATCTGTCAAGTGAACAAAGGCTGTGTGTATTGGTTCAGTACAGAGCAAGCCAACTAACCAACCAACAAACCGACTGACTGGTTGAAAAAAAAAAAGCGCTGACTAAGGTTTCTTGGTCCCTGAGCCGTGTCCCTGAGCCGGTCCCTGGTACGGAACGTGACACAGCGTATCAAGGTTACAGAGTTAGCGACATCCAATCAAGGCCGTTTTGCAATTGTCCCGTCCAGCGCAGAGCCACAGAGATATCCGTAATCTTACCAGCCCATACACACCAATACCAGGCACCATCCCTGCGTTGCTGTCGTCGCCCTCGCCCTCGTCCTCTCTCGGCGTCTTGTCTGGCGTCTTCCCTCTCTCTCTGGCTCTTCCTCCCGCTCCCTCTCGCCCTCAGTCTCTCGCTCTGTCACTCTCTCTCTCTGTCCTCCCCCATCGTCTGCATCCTCAGATCCCTCCGCCAACCCGCGTCCTTCTCTTCCCGTCGTCTCACGCTCGTTTACTTTCCCCATCTCCCATCTCCCATCTCCCATCTCCCCTTCATTCGGTCTTTTGTGGGCTTTTGTCGACTATCGCAGTCCCTTACGATCCTTCTGCTTCTTGCTTCCGCGTCCTTGATACTATGTTTTTTTCTGGTTCCTCTCCACCTTCCTTCTTTTAATTAATCGTGCCACAGCCAAAAAGATCAGGGGGTGAGTTCCGTTTCGTTTTCCCCACTCCCCAAAAATTCATATCCCAATCATTCTTCTTCCCCTTCCATCTCCTGCATCCATCCTTCAATCAAACAAAATTCAACTCTCATCATCCCCTCTATTGCTCTTCCTCTCCTTCCTCTTCCCTTCTTGCTGTTGTTTGCTCTTGTTTTTTTTTTTTTTTTTTTTTTTCATTTTTGATTACCATACCATACATTACCGTCGAATCTCACTGTTGGCCGGGATTTTGCCGTTTGTCAGATTCACTTCGCTTCTTCGGGTATCGCTCAGGTACAACAACAACCGCGTCAATGGTGGATGACTAGGGGGGGATCATTGAATACACAGAAAAAGAAGAAAAATCGTCTATCCCCCGGAGAGCCAGAAATACAGGCGCAGATCCGTGATCTTGAGAGAAAGAGAGCGAGAGAGAGCGAAAGAGCAGGAGGGAAACACTCGTTTCCGTTGAAAGCATCAGAGCCTTCGCATGCTCTTTGCTGGCCCTCTTTCTTGTTGAGAACCCAGGACTCCAACAGTCCAGAATTGGGAATACGCTCCCATTTAATTCCATCAGCATCATCTATTTTTCGCAATTTTCCAATTTCCTCCTTCCATAACGACACTTCGAAAAAACAAAAAAAGGCCAACCCAACTCGCGTTCCCCGAAAATGAAGTCATTCATATATCACGGCTTCCTTCTGGCGGTGCTTATCGGAATAGGCTCCACTGATTCAGTCCGTGTTATCCGACAACAAAAAGACAATCAAATATTCGTGAACAAGACCATCGACAAGGGTTGCTACAAGTCGTCGAACCCCCTAGTGGATGACGGCGAATATACTTGGCAGTCGGTTGGGCACTGTCAGCAAATATGCGTAAAATCCCAGAAGCCTGTTATGGCTGTCGGCGGATTCAATTGCTTCTGTGGTGATCAGTTGCCGCGAGAGTCTGACGAGACGACTAGTGATAAGTGCAACACGCCCTGCGGTGGATGGCCTGATGATAATTGTAAGTGTCAAATCCCATCCACGACATACCATTTTTCTCCGATATCAAAGAGAAGAAAACAAAACTGACTGACTGACTATCTCAGGCGGAGGGAATAATACGTACCATGTACTCCTTACTGGCTTCATGCAGGAGAAGAACGTCCCAGTGCTTGGTGGAAAGTCATCGACGGGTAGTTCCAGTAGTACCCAAACCTCGTCCAGCACGAATAATAACGGAGGGCCAACTGTCGTTGTCACCGCCACTGGCCAACCAGGAAAAGGCCCAAACAAGGCTGGCATCGCAGCTGGCGTGGTTGTTGGCATTGTTGCACTGGGTGCCATAATCGGTGGCGGGTTCTTCTTCATGAAATACAAAAAGCGCAAGGCCGTGGAGGAGGAATATCGTCGCAATGCAACCATTAGCAGCTTCGTTTCCGGAGGCAAACCACTATCTTCTCAGCAATCATCATTGTCCGACTCTCGCCTGGATCAAGCCATGATGTCTCACCGGCGCCAGAGCAACGGCAGTATCGCTGACGACCAGGATTTCTCCAGAAGAATTTTGCAGGTATGGGAACCCTGGCTGGCTTAGCTTCGTGTTCTTTTTTTTTTTTTTTTTTTTTTGCTAACAAATTTTATCTCTTTAGGTTACTAACCCAGACGGCGGTCATTATTAATGAATCCACGAAGGAGTTGGCTCATCGATCTACCATCACTTTCATCACCAGGAAAAAGAATATCCAAGAATAGCGAAAAATTTTTGCTGCTTACATCAAATCTCGGACTTTATATATACGCCCTCATCATTTTCCTTTTCCGTGCCCGAGATACCATGTTCCCGATTTATTTGCAACCCTGATCTTGTCGCCCTTATACCTATCCACACATCTTCTCTCCTTAAAATTCCTCGCACACCTATTACTCCCTCAATCTATCTACACCCTGATTGAATCCTTACGAGATTTACCACACAAACGGTTTCCGGCGTTCTGGCATTTGAAGCGTGATGATGCGGACGAGATGTCAACATAAGCAAACCCCTCATTGCCGGGCTCTGATTTATACACCTCGCTACTCTAGAGGAGAGCAGCTATCGGCAAGTGTTATCCACCACCACTTGGTTCACGCTGCACTTGTGTTTTCATCCACTGCCGCTGCTTGTGACAAAGCAACTTGAAAATCACCGGAGGTGATGATGATGGGAAGGTTGGCACATGTACTTTCGTTTGTGTCATTTTTTTCTCTTTCCTTTTTCTGTAATTCCTATCTACATAATTCAAACAATCACGCTGTTTCATTCATATACTTGAAATATTTATACTTTTCTTTGTTCCTTACGTACGTAGTGTGCCACAAGAACAAACACACATGAATCTATCTCCCCTTGCGCCGCCACCACCACCACCACCACCACGTCACTGAATCTCCTCCCTCCCCCGTTCAGTTCTTTTTCTTCCCAATTTATTGTTTATTGTCCTGCCTACCTTCTATTGTTCCCCCCCCTTTTTTTTGTCACATTCCAAATTATCCACACAAGACGTGTGGGTTGGGTGACATTGATGTCTGTTGGAAGGGCGCCGTGGGACTTTTGTTGCTCAAGGAACCGCTGAAGGCACCCTTTCTTACTCCTTATTTCATTGAGAAGAAAACATGCATATACCTACCCCTCCTTCTCCCCTTTAATCGTTCCTTGTTTCTCTTGTTTTACCAAGTCTTTTATATGGGGCGTCTTATTTGATTTTTTATTTTTTTTGCTATATTTTTGGTTTTTGGTTTTTTTTTTTTGGTTCCTTGTCCAAACATATTTCCGCATCATGTATCCTAACCTAAACCTTTTCGTCAATCATATCTGTCAGCGATATCAGAATTGAAAGAAAAATGATAATTGCTTTTGCTTTTTGTTTATCTTTTTGCTAAAAAAAACAGTCGGAGCATCTTTTCTTGTCCACATGGCTCAAAGGGGGAGGCTCCCAGCCCACACCCACACCCCCAACACCCAACACCCAACACCCAACACCCAACAAACAGCCCTCTTGCGCTTGCGCGCAGCTCTCTTGTCGACTGATTATCAATCAATCAACCAATCCTCTTATGCCTAGCGGGGAGGGGGAAAAAGCAAAAGAAGAGTTTTGAGTTGAGTTGGGTTGAGTGATATTGCGAGAACACAGAGAGCGCTTAAGATATTCTTCCAGTGGAGGCGAGACGACTAACTTAACTAATTAACTACTTCTTATTAGGCTTTCCTATCTCATCTATCCGATCTATCTATCTATCTAGCTGTCTGCGGAGTTTGCCTGATTCATCAATCCAGTTATCCAGTCATCCAGTCATCCAGTCATCCAGTCATCCAGTCATCCAGTCATCCAGACACTCAGGCACTCAGACACTTCGCCCCCGCATTGAGAAAGGGGAAAGAAAGGGTAAACACCCTGCAGTTGCACCCCTGCCCTTTTATGTTGTTAAACAACATCCCTGGGGGGGGGGGGGGAAATGAGGAAAATGAGAAAAAATGAAAATAAACCCATTTTTAACCAGCCAACCACCCAAAAGCCCCTCCCTCCCTCCCTCCCTCACCCACTCACGATAAATTGTCATAAACCCCCCACCAAACACCCATGCACGCCGCCACGACCAAATCCAGCATCTTCAACCCCTCATCCTCGATAATCAGCTTGCCCAGCTTTGCGCTCTTGCCAAACGCGCCCCCGCCCGCCCGCTCGCGCGCCAGACTGAGATCCAGACGGCTCGCTAACTCCTCCACCTGGCTGCGGAGCCTGGCCCTAGTCGGGTGCGTGTGGCTATTGTCGCTGTGGGTGTTATTGTTATTGCCCGCGCCGCCGCTGGGCGCGTGTGCGCCGTTCTTCTCGTGCTGGTGACTCCTGTGTGGCGCGGTGAAGATGGGCAGGTTGAAACGGAGTTCCGCGGCTGTTGCTGTGGAGCCGGGCGGGGATGCGGACGCGGACGCGGACGCGGGCGGGGACGGGGGTGACGGTAGGGGCGCCGCGGCTGAGGCTTCGAGGGCTGATTGCAGTTTTTGCAGGTTCAGATGGGGCTGCGACATGTCGGCATTGGGGTTGTTGTTGTTGTTGTTGTTGCTGTTCTTGTTGGCGCCGCTGACGAGGTCTTGGAGATTTAGACCTGCGAACGAATTCTTCGCCGTGATTGGAATTGTGTGTTTGCATTTCAGACTGCGTCCGTTTATGCCGGTGATGAAGGTGCAGGTGCCGTCCCAGGGTGATTTGAAGGTGTAATATCTGCCTCGTTGTGGTTTTGAGGAGGGTAGTGACTCTTTGGGCGTGAGGATCTGGTCCGGCGACGGCAGGCTGTTAATGGAGGAGTTGCTGTGATGGCGGCCATGGCTTTGCGGGTTGGTGAGGGTGAGGTGGCGGATGAACGTCTGTGAATCGCCCGCACAGGCGTTGGTGGAGTCGCGGTGGGGAGTGGTGGGGCTTTCTGCGGAGAAACGCAATTTCTCAGCGGCGAGTTTCTTATATCCCAGCGTGTGAATTTCGATGGTTATGGTGCCATCCAGTGCCACTTCGTGGGACGACTGGGAGGTGCAATTCGTGATACCCCCGACGTTCCACTGTATGTTGTGGGTAGTATCTCTCCGTATAAGTGTCAGGTGGAAAGGGGAAGGGGGTTTCCTAGACTTTTCGCTAGGGCGTCGCCGTCCATGTTGGAAGAAATTGGGAGAACTACGTCGGTCCCTGGAAGACTGTTCGGGATTAAGAGGGGATGATCCAACATTACGATGTGGATCCTGCTCGTGCAGGATGGATGATCGTCCACCATCCCAGCTAGCTCGTCCTTGGGGTCCTCCTTGCGAGGCGGGAGCCGAGGGGAAAGTTAAATATTCCCCTTTCCCAAACGAATTCATGGGCTGTGCGCCGCCTCTCGGTTGACCATTTCCAGTCCTAGGATCGGTAGAATTCAGGGCTGACTCGGGGAAAAGGTGTTTAGCCGGATCTAGAGGTATAGGTGGTATAGGTCGCCGGGTGACGGTGGGGATCCTCTGTGCGTCTGGAAATCCATCTGGCGGTGTCCCAACTGCGCCAGGGCCCTGTGAGTGACGACACTCGTTCCCTGCGCCGGTTTGAAAGGATATGCTTGTATCGGATGACACTGGCCGCCTGGGGATTGAAGGCGGCTTTACCTCGCCACGCGGCACGGGTTTCCTCTGGAGGCGAACCGACGGGGCGACGGGAAAAGGGGGTCGATTGGCCTCCAGGGGCGTTTCCTTCAAGCATTTTTCCTTTTCGATAGCAGACAGGACAGCCTCATCCTCTGGGGTTGAGACGTGGATATAATAGAGGGCAGCCTCGATGAGAGCTGGTGAAATACTGCATTCGGTTGGTGGTTTGAGCGGGGAAAGGAAAACATCTAGACGAGAATTATTAAAATAGTTAAATGTTAATAAAAATTGGCTTTCTTTTGGTCACCGCGTAAGTGGCACACGTGTATGATAAAGTAGCTCCGGAAGTGAGTTTCATTATATGCGGTACAGGAAATTTTGGAATCGTACCTCTGCTGCCTGGGACACGGACAATATACAGTACCAACGGTTTTAGAGGAGCCTTGCACGGATTCCTGGGATAGCGAGGCGGATTGGCAGCCAAAGTGATAAGGGGGCCATAAGACTGTGCTTCCACAACATGACGAGGGGCGCCATCCATACTACCCGTGGTATGTATAGTGAGGCCGGTTGAAAGTGAATGAATAGGAGAGCTATGATATGCGACGTTTTTTCGTTTTTGTTTCTCAAAGTTTTTTTGGTCTTTCCCCTAATCCGATGCACAGGAATTTTCAGATAATAGCTGGCTTTTTATATCGTTCAGAGCAAGAGTCACAACTTCCAGCATCAGCTTCTGAGCCTGTGAGTCCGCCGGCATATATCCAAAAAGGCAAACGACGAACAAAGAGAATAAGCACTATCCTTACCGTTATTGCGAGACGGAACTGACAGAACATTTGAAGATGCCAAAGTGTCAGATGAAGACGAGGAAGAAGATCCCCGCGTCTGACATGGTGAAGTGTCTATATAAGCTGCTTATGTTCGCTTTTTTGTAGCAGCACTTCAGATACTCGATCTACAAGGGAAAAAAAAGATAATTGAAACACTTGTGAAACTGGTCTGAACAGTGTTGGAAGAAGGAAATTTCCCTCAGATTTCAAACAGGTAGAGGAAAAAGAAAGGGAGAAAGGAGCATGGTAATCTGCACAGCCAGCAGGGATTGAAGGAGAGATGAAGAATTGAGAAACGCTGAGGCGAAGTGGCCAGAAACCGGCAAGCAAGCCTCCAGCCCTGATAGGCTTTGGTGTGAGTTCAAAGACCTCTGCTGGCTCGTATTTCCCCGCCAGCCTGGGTGTGTCCTCTCGACGACGAGTTGTGGCTGTCGTTCGCTGGCTGTCCGTCGGCTGGAGGCAATATCAACAACCCCCGCCATGGAAGGTGGATAATAATTTCGCCGCGGGTTGCACGCTGGGTGGACCAGAGGAATCCTAAAATAAATAAACGCTAGAGTCTAAGCTCCTCAGCCTTGGGTGACGCATCCTGCAACAGTACCGCCACCCTCAACAGCCTACCAAACGCGCTCGGTCAACGGGTCATCCGAAGCGCCTCTTCATGTCGTCATGCTGGAGGAGCTCACCAGCCTGTTGGCGTGTTGCTGTGGGTGCTAGGCATGGGTTGCCGGCGTCCCACCACAATGGTCAGCATATATTGCATCTATGTACCCCGTATCATACTCTATACTCTGATACTCATGGTACCCATCTGGTGGTAGAGGGGACAAACATCCCAATCCAATCCCTCCAACAAACAATAACCATCCTGCAGTCAAGCCACCCCACATGTGGTTTGTACTGACTCTTGTGTGCAAAACTCGCCCAAGATACTAGTAGCGAGAACAAGATATCCGGTTGATCGCCAACACAACCAACACAACCATCCTACTTGTTATATAACAACACCATCTCTGGTGCGGTGTCTTGCTTCTTAGCAGAATTTGCACAAGGGCCTGGGGTTGTGGTTTCCGACGTAGGTACTCCATCCATCTATCTGACCCTCTCTCTCTCCAACATATCATAGTATTTAAAAACCAAGGGCCGCACTGTACTCTGCATAACGTCCCTTTGTTGGCAAACAGAGAAAAAATATCTCCGAAGCAGCACAACCTAAACGATGTGGTGGCATGTAGTACATGTCCCGTTCTCCAGCTTTTCGTAAGCTTTTGTCTCACATCATCTCATGCAAACGTGCAATCGCCATTCCAACGCCCATGCCCAATCCGAAACCTGCATTCATAATAGACCTGTGCGAGTAAGCTGAGGAGATGGGGTTTCGGAGGAGACCAAATTTTGCTGGGACCACTATAGAAAACTTAACCTAAAATCGAAAAAGATAATCACCAACAATTCTTTGGTTCCCAGAATTCTACCTCGGCTACAGTGCTACACGGGAGATGATTTGAGAGTTCTATAACATAGCATTCTCTCTCTTCCGCCCTCAAATAATCTCTCGCTATATATATAGTCCATTACCATTGCTGTTCACGGCTGATTGACACTTTATAGTTGTTTGTATATTCTATGTATTATGATGCACCTCCTGCCCTGATGAGCTGCTGAGTACTGCAGATTCTCTAGCCCACTACTGGCAAACGAGCTCAGTTCCCATGTAGCTGAGGGGATGAAGCACCCAATCCAATCCCTCCAACAGGTTCATATGTAACAGGTCTTAGAGAGAGAAGCATGCCCGTCATTCAAAGTCATAAGTATGTTCATAAACACCCAAAAACGACAAATGAAATAAGAAAAGGAAGGAAAGAAAGCAAGGGATGGCGGAAGCAGAAGAAAATTACGTCAATCGAAGAAAATATATATATAGATAACGGCATGTACGCGTAAGTAAGCCGCTCCCGGTAGTGAGGTTAGTTAAAGATGACCGAATAAGAGGAGACAAAGAAATCATCAGAACGACGGTGAATATATGCATGTTTGTATGTATGTATTGACATGCGTGAGTTTTTCACACGTGGGGGGAAACTGCGAAGAGGAATGACAAGAGGCATTTGCCGCAAGCAGCAAGGTATACCTTCCATTCCAACATTGATAGGAGGTTCGGCTTTAAGACGGTGGAGGAGACGATAGAGGAAAAAAAAAAGGCTATACAGAGGGTTTTCTGTGGGAAAAACACCGAAAAGACAAAGAAGAGAAAAACAAGGAGGTAGGACGCCTGAGCTCCAAGCCTGGTTTGGCAATTACACACAAGAATAAAAAGCAATAAAATGAACAGGTTCCGATCGCCCATATCCCCGAAAATCCAGAAATCCATCCAGAACAAACGAAAGGTGAATCAGGCCCAATTGAAACAACGTATCAGGAAACGACCGTTTCAACCCGACCTCAAACGACCGTTTCGGCCCGTTCGCCTTCGGCTATTATAGGCACGCTGAGGCCCCGGTCAGGGCTTTGCAGGACGAGTTGTTCATGTCGCCGTGCCCACAGGTAATCACTGACAGACCGGATCAATATAAACCACCCAACAACCATAAGTATATACGATACCCATTCGCTTGTCGTTATACCCGCGAAAGGTTTTGAACCCGAGTCAGCGCCTGAGTCGTAACCGGGTTGGCCCACTTTGCTCGGGTCGAAATTATGACTGTTGGGGTCTGGGGGGGTGGCGTAGCTGCCGTCGGGTTCTGATGGCCTATTTATTTCACCGCTGCCTTTCATGTAGAAGCCATATTGGACGAGAGTGAGGCCTAAGCCGGCCCTGCTGCCGTTCTTGGCCGCGTGAGTTGTGTGAAGAAGATAGGTAAGGAGGAATCCGACAAGTTGAAAAGACGTAGATATCATGCCGTTCCAGATAAACGAGAAAACAGAACCGACAGGGAGGCCATCGACATAGACTTCATCGGAGGACATGCCGGGGGCAACGATGGTTGTCTCCCAATAAGGAGGGGTGGCGTCAGCCGCGGCTTGTTCATATGTCTGAAACCTGGTTAGTAAATTACATCCTTCGCTGCTACTCAGCAATGAAAAGACCAGGAGAATTCTTAAACTTTGCAGAAAGCGCACCGGTGGTAGATCCTCGGTTTTTTCTCCACGCTCAGGCTTCGCGGCTAAATTAGCAAAAACCCCATCGTTCGTAGTCCCAGCCCCTCGTATCGTTCTGGATGAGGTAGAAATAGGTGGATTAAACGCCGCTTGCGTTACATTCCCCGCCGCCGACACGGCCTGAGGCTGGGCCCCATTTCCTCCGCTTCCGAAGTTCGTTGAGACGCTATTACCCTGAGGGCTGGTATTGCCCCTCATCAGTCTCTGTCTGTCATCGACTCCATCTTCGGCATCTGAGTCTTCATCATCATCGCCGAACGTATCCGCAAGCGTTTGATCTGCTTCTGAGTGTAACGGGTCCTGGGATAAGACACGGCGCGAGGGTGGGGAGGATGATCTGGAGTGGAATGAAGGTGGCGGAGACGAAGGCACGGGCCCGGACGGGACAGGGTATAATGTTTGTTCATCATCATCATCTACATCATGCCCATCAACCTGAAGAGAGATATATGTCGTTAGCACTAGCGAATCATCACAAACTTCGTGGTAAGATTCGATATGTTTCTGGAGTCAACCAGGGCATATTGTTGGTTAGAGAGGGAGTGTAAGGCCATACCCGCTGATACCGATGTGAGCTCATGACTGAGCCACGGGGAAGAAGACCGAATGCAATGCAGAACAGAAAAGACAGCAAAAGACCTAGGGATCGGATATATAAAACAACAATAAGGAGAAATAAATAGGAGGACGTGGAGGATGCCAGGAGATGAAGGAGGTGCTTAGGCGCCTATCTAGGTAAGATGAGACAGGAAACAGCGGAGGTAATGTGAGCAAATCACATGACGAGGTAGATGACTAAACATGCGTTCATGCCAGTCGGGGGAAATTTATATTGAAGTTTATTGCGGAATATCAACCAATTCATGGCATCATACTCCTGGCCGACTGAATACACGACAGCCCTGGGATTTATATACATGTACCTCTTTAATTCCATTTACTCAGTTGTTTAGAAAAATCCCAGCAACATTTCCATCCTAATTTTCACAGAAAACTACCATACTACCCCAGTCTTCCCTCCGTTCACTCAAACCGAGCACCAGTGAATCTTGAAGGATATATAACCAAAATACACAAGCCAACCATGTCAAACTCAGTCCGTCCCTTTCCCATCCAGTCAAATCCGCCTCCGGATTCTAAAAAGCCCCCCGCCCGCCCCCCATAAAGGAAAAAAAAAAAAAGAAAAGAAAAAGAAAAAGAACCTAACCTTCCCCACGTCCAGCTCTCCCCCAAAACACTCTCCGCCCACATAAACCGCCTTATATCCCGCTGGCCCAGCGACCCTGTCCGCCCCGCCTCCGTCTCCGTACAAACATATCTGAAAACCCGTCTTCCCACATCTTCTCCTTCCCCTTCAACAACAGCAACAGCAACAGCAACAACAACAACAACAACGGCACAAACACAACAACACCAACAGCAGCAGCAATCTCAATTCTCCACCTCCAGCATCAATGCGCTCTACTCACTGTTGGAAAATCGGTATGAGAAGCAATATCCGTTGCCGCAGAATCTGCGACATCCGCGCAGTTCCCCGACGCATTATGATGATGTGTTGAAGGAGTTTAGGGACGCACCCGGGAGGGGCTGGGTGAGGAGGATGGTAGAGAAGTTTAAGGGGGTTTTGAGGTTTCAGTAGGAAGCTTTAGTTTCGGGTACGATATGTATAATATCAAGAGGCTTTTCGGAAGGTCTTTTGGGGGATTTTATATATTGGATGTGTATTATATGGTTGGTCTCTGCTTGGTGTCTGGGATTCCCCGTTGGTATTTTTTTGTACTTCTTTTGTAATAGTATGTTTAATATGAATAGATGTATATATATGTTTCCCTCCACCCTAGGGATACTCAAAAGATACACCTGATTGATATCTAGAATTATTATCCAAGCCTGAAACATGAATTCTCATACTAAAACAACTATATTCACACCTTTACATATATAACATCTAGCTAAAACCGAAGTCTAACCCGTCAAAAAAGGAAAGGAAGGGAAAGAAAAGAAAGAAAAGAAAAGGGAGGGAAAAAAGAAGAAGTAACAACATGGATATCAATACCCTAACCCAAGAAGAACAGAATAACCCTCAATTAAACCCTTCCTTCCGCCCCATCTCACTCACAACATCGGCTGAACCACATCGGCAACCTTAAACGGTGCCTCCGTCTTCGCCTTCACCTCATCAACCGTCACGCCATCCGCAAGCTCAACCAGAGTCAGGCCGTCCGTGAAATCGACATCAAAGACACAGAGCTCGGTGATGATGCGGCTCACGCACGCTCGGCCAGTCAGTGGGAACTCGCACTGCTTGAGTATCTTGGGGTTGCCCTTCTTATCGGTGTGTTCCATGGTGACGACAACCTTGGTGGCACTGGGATTGGAGACGAGGTCCATGGCACCGCCGAAGCCCTTAATCTTGCCGGGGAGCATCCCTGTGCAGTGTGTTTTGATCTGTTAGATGCGGAAAGCAATACGTATAGGTAGTGAGGTGGGATGTGGAAGGGGGATATTGTTTGAAGATAGGGCGGGAACGTATAAACTTACAGTTGGCCAAATCACCCTTCGCACTAACTTGCATGGCACCCAGGATCGTCAAATTAACCCGTCCAGAGCGGATCATGCCAAACGATTCGTCGCTACCAAAACACGATGCACCAGGCAGAAGCGTAACGGTCTCCTTGCCCGCGTTGATCAAGTCTGGATCTTCCATGCCACGCTTCGGATACGGGCCCAGCCCGAGAATGCCATTCTCAGACTGCAGCTGTACCTCCACAGACGGGTCCACAAAACTAGGAGCGAGCATGGGCATCCCAATGCCCAGGTTCGCATACATGCCATTCTTGAACTCCTTCGCGGCGCGTCGGACAATACGCTCCCGCTTACTAGCAACATCACCTTTACCGAGCGCAGACAGATCGGCGCCCTCACCATCCTCCTTGGCAAAAGTGTATTTCTCAATCTTCTTCTCCTTCGTGCTCTGAACGACGCGCTTAACATAGATGCCTGGCAGGTGCACAGCAGCCGGGTCAATCTCGCCGACCTCGACGATATGCTCAGCCTCGACGATGGTCATCTTCGCATTGCGGCCCATAGCGCCATTGAAGTTCGCGGCTGCGAAGCGGAACTGGCAGTTACCGAGTCTATCTGCTTTCCAGGCCTTGACGAAAGCATAGTCTCCTTTGATGGCTTCCTCCATGACGTAGCTCTTGCCATCGAAGACCTTGACATCTCTTGGTGTACCGTAAGCAGCGACGGTTCCGTCCGCGTTGTGTTTCAGCGGCAGGTTGCCCGTTTGGACGACGGTTCCAAATGCCGCGGGGGTGTAGAAGGCAGGGATGCCAGCACCACCGGCACGACAGCGTTCAGCCAGAGTTCCCTGAGGCGTCAATTCGAGTTCAATCTGGCCACCGAGATACATGCGCTCGAAAGTCTTGTTTTCTCCGACGTAGCTGGCGACCATCTTCTTGATCTGTCCGCTGCCTAGGAGCAGACCCAGGCCCGCTCCATCGACGCCGGCGTTGTTGCTGACTGCGGTTAGTCCTGTGATAGACTTGTTGGCATGTACAGCGTCAATCAGGGTATCTGGGACACCGCAGAGGCCAAACCCGCCGGCAAGGAGAGTGGAATTGGATTTCATGTCCTTGATCGCTTCCGCAGCGGATGGGAGGACTTTGTTGATCTCATTTCGGCGGAGGGTGCTCGAGAAGGCACGGACGAGGAATCGTTGGTGCTAAGGGAGGCATAAGATGGTTGATATTAGTCAGGCGCAAGAAGGTTGAAGTTTAAGTATTGCCCACCGTGTGTCTATGGACATGTGCATTGGGGATGGCACAGATGAAGTACCTTTAGAGGGTTCGAGAAGTCTCGTGCAACTCGCAGATAGAACGACATTGTATGTGAAATGAAAATGTCCGCAATCCCAGCTAAACTAGATATGCTTATTATTCCTTACTCTCCTCTCCCTTCCCAATGTGTTTTAGTAGCAATTGTGAGAGAGGTCAGGTCGGCGAAGAATGCTAGTCTTTCTGTTTATTTTCCCCACTGGCCGAGCCGGAGTCTAGTATCAACATCAAAGTGGACAGCAGTGGGTCACAAGGTACCAGTGGGCGTAAGTATCGTTAACTATAGTTTGGTGGTCCAGCGTCTCTGGTCTATAAGAGGTAGCAAACAAAAGAACGAGGAAGATCAGAGCAACCAGCTAGCCTTTCTCTCGGGCCTATACTGTGGATATCTTCAAGCGGGGGCTAAAGATGTTGGATGGATGGCTGGCGTCGGCAAAGAGCTTAGCCGAGCCGGAGAGTATGCCGCCACGGCTGTTCCGGGAATTGCCGCACCCTCGTTAGCCTGATCATGTGATATTGAACTTGCATCCATGGATACTGAAGGACATTGTGTGCAAAGAGGCCATATCAGGTTCTCCCAGAGAGGAGGGTGTAGTAATTGGCAAGCTTTATATCAAAATGCAGCTGGATGGCAGTATATCATAGTTACAAGGAGCCCACAAGACTCGGGAAGCCGCTCTCAATACATCCATATCGTATCTACCAGCCCGCATACTTCTTCCTCCCGCCCCAAGACAACATATCAGAAGCAAAAACTGAAAACGCCTTCTTTCTTTTGCATCTATGGCATATTAGATATAACCGTATGAATTTCCCGTGTGAAAGCAAAATTTCTATGATTCTACCTCGACAAAAAAAGGAAAGAAGATACTCATTTCTAATGGATGGATGGGAGAACATCAATGCAGCGCAGGGAACGTTCCTGAAGGAGACAGGCTGGAAGGTGAAAGGGACTGCTGATTCTGAGGCTGAGGCTGAAATTGAAAATGGCAATGATGGAATCTTTGCTGTTGCTCTGTCGCTGCTGATACACTAGTGTGCAGAATGTTTATAAAAGGGGATAAAAAGAAGAAAAGCAAATAAAAAGAAAAAAGGGGAGAGAGAGGGAGGGAGGGGACGTCATACACTTTCACCCATAGATATCCTTTAACCAAAGAGGAAAGAAAGCGACATAAAACAAAAGAAAGAAGAAAAGAAAAGAAAAGAAAAGAAAAGAACCAAGATCTCATATAATCTGTCGTGCGCGCGTACATACCTGAAGTTCCATTCCCGTTTGCATGATGTTTAAAAGAAAATTTCTCACTGTGCACATGGCGGTTTACAAGGTAAATGCGAAGGAAAACGAAATGCTATGAAGGGAGAAATAAACATGCGTCAAAATGAATCAACATAAATTGAGGGCTTGTTGTGGAGAAAATACAACAAAAAAATCAGAAACGAATCCGGCAATCATCATATAACATATGAGATAGGGCCGGGAAAATCTCCAGATACAAAAATAGTTAGTTTCTATAGGTGAGGTGCGCGACGCGACTAGCCTGTCGCGTTGGGATCGAGAGGATTTGGGGTATCGTGAGTGTGATTTTCCCCGTCGACTTTCCGCTTGAGTCGGTTGCGGGGTTGAGAAGAAGATACAGCAATTTCAGCTTCCGTCGTGACCACTGCTCCTACCACGACACGGACGGAATGTTAGCAAACTTCTTATTCCACTTCCCCTTGAGAGTGGTTGCGGCGGCGGTGGCGGCGACAGCAGAAGCAGCAGTAGCGGTGTCTTTAGTGGTGTATTTGTTACCGTTGCCATCCACTGTCCCATTTTGGCCATTGGCACAATCCATACCTGCAGGTACATTTTCTATCTCATTGTACGCAGGGGGTTCTTCCATCTCTATCTCGCCGCTGGGCGAAGTGCTCGTTTGCGATGGTCCGGGGCCATTTGCTTGCTGACCACGCACAACCACAGACGGTGCTGGTGCTGGTGCTGGCTGTGATGGGACGCCAGTAGGACTGACATCTTCGATTTCGCGATTGACGGGTTTTACGAGTCTGTCTTTCATGCGATCGTTGACGTATATGAGGAAGTACGGTGTAGGTGGATTGGTTAAATTTTGGCTTTCGAATATCTCGGATTTGCTTTGGACTTCAGTAACCTCGCCGTCGTTGTACTTTCGCCATATATTCTTGTCATAGTCAAAAATATAAATATAATAATGACCAAACTCAACAGAGCCATGGTGCATAAAAACAGCATATAGCCGATAAGGGAGATGGCGAAGATCGGTGAATTGAGACTCAATCAACGCGATTAAATCCTTTTCTCGTGCTTCGAGGCCTGTTCTTGCATATTAGTATAATATGTTACTTGGGGAAATATAAAAGAACTAGCAGCCTTGATGTACATTTAATTTCATCCTGGACCATCTCTTGAACTGCTGTAAGACGATATAAAATAGTGTCATCGAGCTCCAGTGCTTCATCTGCCAATTCAGGATCGTCTCCTATACTCATCAGGCTTTGAATGCGCACCTTTGTCTCCGCGAAGACATCCGGTAAGCACGTCCAACTCTACTCAAGAATATCATAGTTAGCCTTGGCCAGAGTGGTAGTGAAGAATATAAAAATTCCATACCTCTGTATCAATAAGCTCAGCTTTACGCGCTCTCAGTTTGCGGAGCTCATCCTTCCAACGCCAGCATTCACGGCGCCTTTCATCCAGATTATGCTTATTACTATCCATATACCTGTCCAAGTATATCGTTTCCTTCAACGCCAGGTGATGAGTCGACTTAAACGACGCCTTCTTGACTTGGTCAAACTGAACACGTTGGACTTGGATCTGGAGAATTGGAGGCAACTTGCTGATGGTGCCGTATTGTTCCACCTCAGCACCATCTACCTCTACTTTTTGTACATCAAAGGCACCGTCGATTGCAGAATAGATGTTCTTTGATCCAGTGGCAACGTCGATCTTGATGTCAGACCAAGACTCTTCCTTGGACCGAACCCCATTATCTGCCGTAATGTAGGAAACGGTCTTGCCGTAAAATAAACTTTGAATATGAGTCAGCGTTGAAACTGTACGGTCGTTTATTGTTGTAGTGAGGTCGCAGATCAAAAACTTACTCTGTGACAACATCGAGCTGCTCTCCATCTTGATCGAATCTGATAGGTTTGACAGCGCATTGGGTCTGGAAAAGAACGTTGTTAATAACCTCCGTAACATCCTGCTGTGCCCCTAGCTCAACTTCGTCTCTAAGTTGCTGTTGGTAACTGACTACTGGCTCCTGCCGTAAGGCTATTGGTCGAGGGGGAACCGGAGGGGGTCTGCTCGGAGGGCCCATGGAGGACGGCGGGCGTATAGAATCACCTATAGTTCATCATAGACAGTTTAGCCCCCTGGACTCTGAGTGGTAGAGTCCAGACTTCCGTTTAGAGTTTGCATTACGTACCAGTAGCGGCGCTCGTATCGTTCGAATCAACTATTTCTTTCGCGTCGATAGAAGAATCCTGAGGTGCCGGCCCTACATTTTCCTTATTATCGATCGACGGTTCCTCATTATCTACTTGTGCCGTTAATGAAACAAGTGTTATATCGCTGTCCCCATCACTAGGTTCAACTTTCTGATTACTTGCACCTGCTGCCACATCTTTTGGTACTTCTGTAGTGACAGTTGTTATGGGTCCTAATGGGCCTAAAATTGGCATGCCATTTATCTCACCAAGGTTGGGCCGAGTGCTCGTGATCAAGGATTTCCTCCGGATGGCTGCTTCGTTTGAAGAGCTAATAAGAGTTAGCCGAGCAAGCTCCTGCTCAGGAATGACGGAGGAAGTAGGCGATGTTATCATTTTTTTAAACAATAATTGGAGTTCCAGGAGAACTATTATAAGATTCGGTTAGTTATCCTTAATCCAAACAGGGCCAGAATTTCCCCAAAACTTACATTTTTGGGACCTCTCAATCTCAGCAATGGAGACCTTTCGGGATCCAATCTTTTTCCTCTCGAGACTTGTCTCGTCGAGGGGCATCTTATAGTCATCAAAATGAATAACCATCTTACGGAAAGGAGTCACCGTGAAGTAAAATTGGAGCAAACTGTTCAAGTAACAGGTATTGCCGATATTTTGGAGACCGACAGGCCATTCTTCCAGTACACGGTTTGCCTGTGTCGATTCTTGGCCGAGAGTGCTGCTGATCAACGCACTTCCTTTTTCTCTGCCGATAACACCAAGAGCTCGTCTATACGCTTCAATCTGGCCCGGAGCCTCTGAGCAACAAACGGAAAATGCAGCAAGAATCGCAGCATCATCCACAGTCCGGTCAGGTATTTGAAGGAGACGGAACGCCTCTCCAACATCCATCTCCGTGGCGGCTGTTTCACCAGTAGTTAAAAAGTACTTTAGAGAATCGGAATTGCGCGCCTCGGCAATCAAGGCAATTGCCTTCCGAGCTAGCTCTTTAGTAGCTGGCTGATCATTAACCTAATTTGAGCGTACCTAGGTCAGTAATTGTATGCAACAAAATTGCTAGCACTAAAAGAGCGAAAATTACCTTTGCGGCATACATAGAAACAATAAAATCATCAGAGGTATCATTTTCTACTCCAAGGTACACCAGCGCCTGTTCTACAGTAGATAAACCTATAAAACTGTTAGTCTGGGATTCGCTCTGACTGACCCTTCATGACACATACGCTCTTCGGCCACTGATTTGATTTTCTCACTTCCTCGGCTTTCTCCAATCCTCCAAAGCTGTCGTCTCGTTTCCGTGTCGTTAGCAGTATCGCGAAGCCGAGCAAAGAAAGAGCCAATGATGTCATCATCTGTCAGGTTTCGGTTTCGATAATCCAGTTGGAAGTACTTGTATGCACGGGGGATATCATCGTCCGCGTATCGAGAACCACTACATTCCAGAGTGACCAAGTTGTTGATTTTCTCTCCATCTGTGACGCGTCTCCATTCGCCAATATGTCGCAAACATCTGAGATAATAGGGACTTCGTCCAGGATCGGTTTCAATCTGTCGGTTATACGCCTCGATAATAAGATCCGCGGACATGTCATCAGTCACTCCAAGATCCTCGTAATATCTGAAGATTTGGTTAGCGAAAAAACAACTAGTTCCGGTCGCGGGGAAGAAAAAGAAAGCAAATCTCACGGTGCCCTTCTTATCTCTGGATTGACTGTTATGGGAGGGTATGCCCTGTCGTCTACTAAAGGGTAAGCATATTGAGCTATAGCATATGGTGGCGGATACTCACAAGTCGATGACCCAAGGAGCTGATTGAACTTCCCAATGGCAGGGTCGAGGGATGTTCCCGGTTGTTGGCCTTCCTTCTCGTAGGCGGGTCTTCGGTAGATGAAAGCTAAAAGCTCACTTGACACGTTGTCAAGGAAAATATTTAGAATATTTTGATACGGGACGGGGTCGGATGTGCTAGGACGCGGAGGTTCCCAAACATCTTCCTATGCGAGCCCAAGGAGTCAAAAAGAATGAGGATTTCACTACAGCCCAGATAAGGATTCTAGAAGTTATACATACTCTCGGTTGAAATTCTAGGAATTCCAAAAGCTCATGGCAAGGCTGACCATCCACACCAAAACATACAACGAATCGTTTATTCGACTTAGATATTGACTTGCTTCTCTGGCTGTCATGCAAGGCATTTTCGATGTACGTACGAAGGTTTGTCAAGACGGTGATGGGCAATGGTCGACTGTGGCCCTCTAGTCGCTCCGGATACGCTTCCATAGCCGCATCAGTCCTGGCTTTTAGTAGCTCCGTGTTCGTCAAGAGGTCCACCCAGTGCGGTGTCAAAATCGGGGAAAGTAGCTTGAGGGAAATCGCAGCAGCGCATGTCGGGTATGAACAACGGAAGTAATGGGCTTCTAATCGTTGGCCTTTTTGGCCGAAAGGGTTTGAATCTTGGCGATTGTCGCTGTGGGAGTAAACAATGTGATGCAGTTGGCTAGGGCAGTGAGATGCTTCTGTTGTATGCGTTATCTTGATCTCTAAATGATAGCGGCAGATCAAGCACACAGCGGACACTTTGAATGGAGTCCTTAGTCCAGCCTGGAAACCTTCAGGAGGAAGCTCGGTTTGGTTCGCCTTTGTGATGTATTGGTGGGGACAAGCCTTCGGCGAGATGAGTTCCGGGTAGTTATCGGGATCGTGGAAAGGAGGCGGAAATTGTGTCAAGAGGTTGAAGGATGAGCTGGGAGGGTTTGCAGGGTCGTAAGAAAGGACATCTTGGATAAATCGGGGAGTGGTTTTCCCTGGCAGGTAAATCGAAATTCACGTTGTGTTAGCAATGGCTGCAGATATAAGAAAATAATGGGGAAAACTGTCAGCTTCTCAGGCTAATAATCATACCAGGTCCCTGGGGAAGAGACATATGCGACATTGGAGATCCCAATATAGAAACTGATAGCGTATTGCGTGAAGGGCAGCGTTGTGCTGAATCAAGCAATTGACACTACCAGAAGCTCCGCAAATGCACTCAGGATGTCCAGCATTGAGGGATCATGGGAAGCAAGGATGGCGCAGAGGTTGGCCGAGGAAGAACAAATAAGCTTCTGGCAACTATCTCTTCACAGCTATTAAACGGGATTTGCGTCAGGGGTAGAGATAGCAGCTTGGAGCCTCTGAAGAGAGGGGAGGATGCGATGTGGAAGTCGTATCTATGGTTGGCGTAGGTGGGGGAAAGCAACGAGAGAAAACCACGAAAGTAAAAGGACAAGCGGATATGCGCTGCACTGAGTTTTTGTCTACCTCCTAGGCATTTCTCCTATTCAAAGAAAAGGTAGCTCCAGCAACTCCGCCGGCGTGTCCAAATACTTTGTGATTGTAACTAGTTAGTTGTGTTTCGTTTGTCAAGATGATGCTCCAAAAGGTTTGCCAAGACCACCAGCAACTAGCCATCCCTCAAACACCCTCCACGCTTGGAGCTAACTATCTCATTGCTTTAACTCACTCCTCTCGGCAACCCAGCCTTGTCTCCTGTTTCCCTTTCCCTGCCGAAGCAATCATGTCTTCTACAGCCGAAACCTACCAACCACAAGATGCCATCTCTTCCACCATCAAGACCACACTCGTGACAGGTGCGGTCGGCCTCTTCGCCTCGTCTGTTCAGAACACCCTTCAAAAACGAAACTACGGCCCCTGGGGCGTTGTCACAAGAACAGGCGGCACAATTGCTTTATTCGGTATGAAGACTCGCTCGCGTCAATGGCAATGGCAATGAATGGATGGAATGGAATAATCTAGATAGGCGAGCATTGCTGATATTCAGCTAATTTTGTGACTGTAGCCTCGGTGGGCGGTGCGTATCAATTCGCAAGGGTAGCAGCAGCTAATTTAAGGGAGAAAGAGGACCACTGGAATGCTGCGTGGGGAGGACTTTTCGGCGGAGCAGCTATTGGATTGCGCGGTTTGCCTTGCCCTCTGTTTTCACATCCTTCAGAGTCCGCGAAATTGGCAACCAGCGCTAACATGATGTATTTATTGCAGCCCGAACATTCCCCGCAGTTCTTGGTTACGGCGTGATTGTGGCCACGGCCCTCAGTGTATTTGAGTTTACTGGAGGAAGTCTTGCTGGCAAAGGACATGCCACCGAGGAAGATGAATTTGACAGGCGGGAAAGGCTCAGGAAAAATTACCGATCCCCAATTGAGGAGACAATTGCCCAACTTGGTGAAGGCAGAGGTATGTAAATGCTTCTCTTACCAATCCGCGGCCTAAATCCCCTGTTTCTACAACGACATGAGTGCTAAACATAAATGAAACTACAGGTATCCGGGGTGAGAACTACGAGGAACGAAGACGGCAGAGGATAAAGGAGAAGTACGGCATTGACGTGCCTGCCACAGCACAGCCCGCTGGAGCATAATATCAACTTTCTTATACAAAATACTTGCATATACATTTCCTAGTCATATATATCAGCCCTTACTTCCGTTCCCCGGTCTCTTGTTTCCTTCTCTCTTCCTGTAGTATATATTGTTTGTGTCGGAACCCAAATCCATCAGAACCTTCACACCCGCTTTTCCCCCGAATTACCAGCCAACCACCAATCGTTCCCTCCTGTACCATGCCCTCAATATTACCTCCTGGCTGAACCCTGGCAGATTTTCAGCCTAGTCTCCAGTTTGACCTTTCTCATCGATAGAGAGAATGTTTCAATTTTTAGTTTCGATGTGTGAAATGAAAAGTTTTGTGATGTTTGCGCTCGAATGGGCCAAATTGGAACATGCGTCTACACATCCACACAGAAGGGGAAATGTTGTTTCCGCTTTATATGCGCGACAAACAGAATCTGCCTTCCATAATAGATGCGTCTTTGTTATACGGCTTGGACCTTTACGCAATCTCCAGTAGTTTGGGTAATCTAATTGCCTGGGGGGAGATTCCGTGCAAAGATATCACATGACAGCTGGTTGACCCCTCAGCCACAATTGCGTGGCACTCTAAGAAGATGTGGCACATCTGGGGCGAACATGCTGTGCTGCTGTTGTCATCTCAATCCTTGAAACATGTAATAGGAAATAGACACAGGATCTCCCTGCACTGCTCAAGTCCATATATATATTTCCGAAGGTGGAAAACGGAGCTGATCATAATTTGCCTTCAGGAATCAACGGGGGAATCTCAATTCTTAGTTGACAAGTATTCAGAGGTACCGGTGTATTCTACTTAGCGCCAAGTCCCGGCCGGGGTCTGTGCGTGGATACCTGCCCAGTACTTGGATCCCTTCTCTCCTCTCTCTCGACGTCATCCGAAAAGCCTCCCGCCAGCCCGATGATGTCTTGCTTGTTGCCATCAAAGCCCATGCCTCAAGGTTATTCCTGAGGCTTTGTTTCTCCCCCACGATTATGCTTCTCTCGAAGGCTCTTGCTAACCTCCCTGTTCTCGTCGTATTGGCATATTGGCATATTCTAGATCTTGCCCCAACAATCGGTCCATGCTGTCAGTTACCCAGTTCGTAACTATCCTACTCCCCGCCCACAGCGAGTATTGTGAACGGCAACTGTCAGGTCGCTAGCGACTCCCAAATTTATTAGATTTGTAGATACCGAGACTTGAACTACGCAGATTCCGCTGCTTGGTGTCCGAGGCAGAAGGAATTCTTAACAATACAAACAGCTGTGGCTTCGACCAGCACAGTGTACCCCGCCCCATGGCCGCTCGACCTCAAACTCCGTTGCGCGATGCGTACATCGCGGTTCCCAACTCTACAGAGCTCTCTCATATGAATCAGATTAACGGCTCTGCTTCTGTCTCTGCCGCTCATCCAACCTCCTACATGGCCACGCCCGGTTCGATTGTTCCCTCGGACTTCCAGGTCCGGGGAGTTCCCGTCCAGCATTCGACCCAAACACCTCAAGTATCTCGATTCCATGAAGATATGTCCAGTCGGTGTGGGTCGTCTGTTGCCGATGGTCCTCCTCATAATACGAATAACCTCCACCGCTCTGACTCACAAATGTCAGCGGCAGTATCGCTCGTGCCGTCTCGAGCGTCGGGGACCATAAAAAAGAAACCCTCATTGAGTAAAAAGGGGAGTTTGCGACGGGCCGGGAGCCGGAGGAGTAGCCGTGCAGGGAGTGTAAGGAGTATGGCTCTGGGTGAGAAAGAGAAGTACGGGATCCTGGATAGTGATGACATCAACAGTGCATTTTATATTCCAATACCTACTTCGGGGAGTCCAACGGATGTTTTGGCTGCGAGATTCCAAGGTAGGCAGTTATTAGCAATGTACCCCTGGAGGATATTGTATATATGACTCCCCTGTTTTGGCTCGGATCGAACCCCGAACTAACTATGCGACACAGCCTGGCGGAAGGTCTTAAAGGATTTAATAATGGTTTTTCGGGAAATTCAAAAATCGCACGAAATCAGATCAAAAACCCTCCTCTCGGCGTCAGATTCGATGAACAACGTCGTTTTTCCAAACACGTTTCTTGCAACAGGCGGTATTTCTGATGCTACCAAAATATTAAAAGAATATCATAGACAAGCGGTGGTAGAATCGGCGAAGGCAAAGGACGTCGAATTAGAAGTCATTAAACAACTTACTGGTCTTCGATCAGATCTGCGACAGAAAATCAAGGAGATCAAGGGCCTCTCGGGCGACTTTAAGAATTCAGTGGACAAGGAGCTAGAAGGCACTCGGAAAGCCGTGAGGAATCTACAGGAAGCTCTTGGACTGGTAGATACAGACCCAGCAGCTATTTCGGGGAAAGGAGACCCTTTCCTTGTGAAATGTGCCGTACATAGGCAGCTTGAAAAGCAGATTGATGAAGAGAATTATTTGCATCGTGTATGCGGCCCATCTTCGTTTCCCTGCCACCTTGCTACCTGTAGGTTGTGGACCCAGTTTGCTGACCCTTCTTTACAGGCGTTCTTGAACCTGGAAAACTCAGGTCGTGAGCTTGAACGCATTGTTGTCACGGAGATCCAGAAAACGTACAATATGTATGCAAATATCCTGAAGCGCGATGCAGACGCAGCATACGATGCAGCAGGTCAGCTCATTGATGGCCCAATAAGTGTTCCCCAAGATCGTGAATGGGACGCTTTTGTATCTCACAACGACCGCTTGGTCGATCCTCTGTTGCCGCTACGAGATTTTCAACATATTCATTATCCCGGAAAAAGCCATCCTGCAGCGGCAGAAGTGCGCGCTGGCATGCTTGAACGTAAGAGCAAGTATTTAAGGAGCTACACACCTGGCTGGTAAGTTCAATGCAAACACATGTTCCGGGGTTTTCTATTGATATCGCTCTGAGTTAGCGAATTCGATCACGGATACTGACTGAATATAGGTACGTGTTGTCACCCACACATTTACATGAGTACAAGTCTGCGGATCGAATCGAGTATCAAAATCCAGTCATGTCGCTATATCTACCAGAACAAAAGTTAGGTTCCCACTCTCAAAGTGATTCAGCATCCCACAAGTTCATGTTGAAAGGACGGCAAACGGGTGCGATGCATCGCGGCCATGCGTGGGTATTTCGAGCAGAATCTCACGACACTATGCTCGAATGGTACAACGACATCAAGAATCTTACCGAAAAAACCGGCGAGGATCGCAATGCGTTTGTTCGCAAACATTCCCGCAATCTGAGTGGTGGACTCTACCGGGCGGGATCTATCAGCAGCGAAGGCGTCATGGATGAGGACGAAGCAGATGAAACACCATACTCTGCAGACCGTGTGATTGCAAATCAAGCTCCTCCATCTGTGGAAACGCAATGGCAGCAGCGCCCTCAACCAGGTGGGAGATTTCCAAGTGATATCAACCTCCGCCGAAATTCTCACGCCACTTACTCCTCATCTAGAGAAAGCTCTGGAGATCCCGACTCAATAGCGCCAGCCGCAGCCTCTACCGAACAAACCAAGAACCATGTAGCTGACCTCCAGGATGGGGTCCACGATGATACCGCCGATCTCAGCCATTCTGGCGTACTCGAAGGGCAGGATAGTCACTATGTAGATTGGGTGGCGGACGAGGCAACTACAAGTGCCCCTCAGAAAATTACCTACTCATTATCACAAACAACCTCTAATCTTGATGCCTCGATCGGTTCTCGCAAACTGGCAACTTCCCCTTCCAACCTCTCCCATGACGGCAAATCAGTAGCACTATCGTCTTCCCATATCTCAGCAGATAAAGGGGCCAGACTGGGGGGAAGTACAGTGTCATCAGTTATCAACAACATACCTCACTCCAGCAATGGATTGGGGAAAGATACAGCGACAACATTAACAATTCCGACAGCCACAGGAGTGGGCACCCCAAAAACCATGAAAACAGATTCTGACCAAACTCGCCAGCTACCGACGATGGTTAGTGAATACAAATTGCCTGGCCAGTTTCCTACCGCTGGTGGTTGATGTTTGCTTGAAGGGTTAATTCTGGAGACCAAACACATATATACATATTCCATTTTATATATCGAAACACTATCTATTTCTTTGGGTAAAGCTGTCCCAGAAGATATTTTTCCCTCTTTGTTTCCTTTTCCTTGATTATCAACTATACCTTCAACATCATTCCTCCCTCCTTGTGCTTTGAGAAACCTAGCACCATTCCTTTCTCTAAGTTACACGCTCATATACTTTCACTTCTCTAGGGTTTCCCGCGTCTTACTGTTCCCTTGCGTTGGAGTATATACCATTCCAAAGCCCATCAAATCCCAACTTATTTTCCTTACTCTCTCCACTGCCCTTTCCTTACATTCTCTTCCTCTCCCTTTTTCGGTTTTATTCAGACTTTATGTGATGCATCAGATTATTTTCACAAAGCTCCTTGGAGCCCCTCTGTACTCGTTTAATCTAACCTTTTTCCTTTCAAATGCCATAGCACTCATTAGCGCCATCTGTTGCTTTTTAAAATATATATATCTGTTTCTCCCACGCTTCGAAACACTTTTTTCGAATTCAGTCCCTCTTGTTCGCTTTGGGATGACACTGTTGTCAAGACCATGGTCTAGAAATGACATATTTAAGCTCGGAAATTGAAAAGATATATCGTGTATGAAGCATGTATGAAGCACACATCTCTCTTCTTCTTTGAAATATAGAAGCGTAAAATGTAATCAACAAAATGCTATTGCAAAAACCTCTACAAAGCTAAGAAGATATTTGTTTAGATAATTCCAACCTATTATAGATATCAAGTCTTCAAGTGTTTCAAAAGCTCCAGTTTGACCTACTAAATCTTAGAATCAAGAAACACTAATGACGTCAATGTTATCAAGGTGAGACTTCAACAAAAGAAAAAGTAGACCACGATTAAAATTCAGGCACGCTCTTTTAAACTTGGACGCGGGTGGCTTCCTTTGGCTTCTACGCATGTCAACAAGAGAGCAAATGCACAAATTGATGATCAGCAGTTAGCTAGAATATTTAGTGGCTACCACTGGCCATTTTCCAAAATAAAGGCAAAATAAATTTTAAACAAAATATATATTTTTTTAAAAAATATATATTGACTTACTATGGAACTAAATTGATTAGAGTTACGGGAAGTGGGTAGGTACATAGCTCCATTAGGTTGTTGGCGGTCTGCACAGCGGTATGGAAGCTTCTCTCCAATCGAGTTTGCTCGGGAGCCATACGGTGGAAAACGTGGCCGTGATGGCGCGAGATAGTTGGCTGGAATAATAATGTGCTATTCCTTCATGTACATGTACTGTGCCTGGATGGGCCCCACCGGGGTTAGGTCACTTTATTTTTAGCTGCCGGACGTTCCTGGGTTAACCATGATGGAGAGATGATTATGTTGGGGTATTCGATGCAAGATGTTAAGATGCAATAACACCTTATTATTACTAAATTCACATAATTCAACTTAAAGTTGAAGGGTATTGATGTTTGGCTATGGTTGCAAAGACACAAATTGAGCAGCCTATGGCTTTCACATTGTTACTTGGGCTAGAATCTTTATAAATCACCTTATTTATTTTACTTTATATATATTATTCTTCTATTGCTTGTCACTGGTGAATGCTGTCACACTCAATGCAATAACACCCTTTCATCTTCACTAGCCATTGAATATTATTCATGTGTCTTTGTATGCGTGGGTAAAGACTCTAATCATGCAGCTGGGTTCATTTAGCTGCATCCTGTACAATCTCAGCTTCCATTTACCAGTGCCCGACCAAGAAGTATGTCTTGAAATAATCAATTCACAGTCCCATAATCCCTGTTAGTTTCCAGCAGTCTATGCTCTATAACACAGTTTGCATAGAAATAAAAAAAAAAGCACCCATTTGTCAAAGATATATTTCCTTTGCTGTTTGAGCTCATGGTAGGGTTTCAATGATATTGTAACATTGCACAAGTCATTTGTTTGTTTGTGAAATAGCCCAAGTTGATGCATGCAGAAGCCATGCATGCCAGCTATTTAGCTATGTCTCTGTGTGGTTTGTACTGTATGAGGCAATCACTGATGAAAGTTCATTTTTTGTCTGAAAATGGCGGGTTGACACCCTACATTGTTTCAGTAGAGCATGCATGGAGTTGAAATCGATTCCCATTTTTCTTTCCCACCTCCACCCCTCCTTGCGGTATGACGGAAGCATGTCCAGGTTGAAAAAAAAAGTATCCTCTTTTCTCCGAGATTATCTCTCCAGTGATATCGGTCTCCTGCTTCCTTTGAGTAAATGTAATAGTCCGGTAGCGGTAAGAAACCCCAGGCAGGCTCCATCCCGTGCTTTGGAAGATCAAGGACGTCTGGATGGTTCGGCGATCTCATCATATATACTCATTGTCATTGGCAAGTCATGCAGGGGGAGAAGAGAAAAGGGAGCGGATCTCACCCCCTTTCCTCCATCATGCTACCCCTGAGTTGGTCAGCAATCCCGAGGCACTGTGCAATCACCAACAGTCATCACATGGAAGAAAGAACCTGGTTGATATTGGTCGGATCACGAGGTAAATATGGGATTTTCATATTGATGCCAGCACTCCTGAAAAATCCCCCATTGAGTTAGGAAACAAACCAACAAAAGTGCTGAATGAACCACCAGTTGAAGATTGATTCTGAGTTGACCTTGTGGATTGAACCTGACCTCCAGCTGGGGACAAAGCAGCTCAGCCCTGGTTGATCGAAGTCCAGGGTCGCAAGATGCATGGTATGATTGAAGGTGACCAAACTGCTCCCGTCGCCTTCGCAACAGCCCCTTTGCGTTCAATGCATCCAAAGTAGATATGGATCTTATTATCGGCAGGTTCTAGAACATGATGCTGTGCCTGAGCATGTTGTGGAACGAAGCCAGCAAGCTGCCTTAAGTGAAAGTTTTGGCTTGTGGACAGTCAACAGAGCCTCAACCCGAATCCAGTAATTAACTTTAGCCCTAAACCCTATCCTTGTGGTCACGATTTGGATGGAATCTGCAAAACAAAAGAACTTTGCTTTTAGATGAACAATCAATTGATCTTCATTTTCTGTACGAGGATGCTTGCAAATTTGATAGAAGGGGTAGACGGTTACTTACCTATCACTGTTAGTCTCCTAGCTGAAAACCAGCTACCTCGACTCATTCCTCTGGCCCTCTTAGAGATTTATCTGATTTCTGGTTCTATTACCGCGCGATTCCTGACGTTGCATTCCGAGTCACCAGCGGTCAGACTTCCATTGCTAGGCTCGATGCTGAACCATAATCTTCACATACTATTTGTTTTTGCAAACCTATCACCCGCCGCAGATGAGGCGAGAAGGCAGTTTCTCCAGTCACGTCCTGGACCAAGTACCAAAGTGGAGCTCAGAAATTTTGCGCACTAAACGAAAAATAGGAAAACAAAAAAGCGGTGTTATTCTGAATCAACAACATCGCAAAGCTCCTCGAGATTCGAGAATAGTAGGATTAGTGTTTCGGGGTTCTTAATTAACGCGACGATCCACAGGAACCGGCCGGCCAGATCCTCTTGAGACAAAAACATTTTTTGATACAATAATCACCGTGTCCAGCCTCCCTCGCGAAGCTATCGCACTAACCTGTAAAACTGGCTGTCTTGGAAGATGAATGAATTTTCACTGATCTTCCTCATTGTTTATTTTTTGTGCGGGAAAACCTGACTGTTATGAGATATATATCTATCGTGGCTGGTCGGGTTTATTATTCGATAATCCCGGATCTCCAATGTTGGTTGGATATTCCTGCCGGAGAGCAACCTCATGCTGACGCGAAATGCTGGTGGAACAGGGCTGAACCGCCACACTCTGCCAACTGCTAATTTCTGTGGCCAATCGTTGTGGGCTGGAATGGCTCCACAGCGCCATATCTTGGCCGACACACCCCTCATGACCAGGATCGCGATGTTCTGTTTCTACTTCACTCTTGTGTTTCCTTTCGCCTTGTTCAATTCCCATCCCATCCCCGAATTCCATTTCTAATGCCAATACATATTTGATTTTGCAAATCGTATTATACATATATAACTTGACATTTGTCCTGCTTGCTTTTTTTGCGCTTGTTTTCCTCGTTTTCGTTCAAAAGATTTTCGATCATCCCTTGCCTTCTTTCTGGCGGCATTCTCGTGTGGCACCTCATCCTTTAACTGCCTTTTAACTACATATCTACCATCCAATGAAACTTCCGCGGTTGAATTTTATACGGCTCCATTGTAAAGATATCTTCCCCCTTCCGTTTCATATCGGCCGCGGGACAGAAAGGGCATCTTCTAACAGTTTGTATTTCGCCGTGTTTAGATACTTATATCTTGCTCCTGAGTGTGCTGGCCGTGATTGTCATATATCCGGCCCAAAATTTGTCCGGAATTGATGCCTTTTTCACAAGCTGCAGTGCGGCGACGACGACGGGGTTGAATACGTATGCACGCTCCATTTGCTCTGAACTCCCCTCAATTGTGTCTTTCCCCCATCTTCAACTTGGTTCCTATATTGTAAGCTAACATCCGAGGAATGAAAAAAAAAAACCCCCTCCCAAAAAAAGTGTTGATGTCAATAAAATGCGTACATTCCAACAAGTGGTGATATACGTTGTCCCCTTGATTGGCAATTTGAGTGTCATAAACCTAGTGGTAGTGCTTGTTCGCCTATACTGGTTCGAAACTCGATTCAAAGACATTGGTAAAATCTCCCAATTTCCACGGGGAGCTTCAATCAGTCCTCTGTCGCGTCCTAAGGGCCTCTGAGATACAGCATGATTTACCTATTAGACTTGTGTGCGTTCGATCACCAGTTGACTTTGCTATCCGTTATACAATTTAGTTCGATTGTCACGGCAGCGTTTGCTTGATCGACCTCGTTCCAATAGATTGCAATCGTCAGAGTCCGGAGGAAGAGACAGTATCACTTTGCGAAACAGACTCACCGCTGCGAGAATACGAGATATCAGAGTGCTTCGTCCTGAGCCAAGAATTGGGAGCAGCAAGACAGCTGCCTCTGAGTCGGAGGGCCTAAGGCTACGAGCAAGGATTCTCAGCAGAATTCCCAACAATAACGCCAACAGCGAAAGCGACAGTCGAATTGGAACCGTTCCTAATGAGAACGAAAACGAGAATGCGAAAAGTTGCACTGTTGAAATAGATGATTCAACCACTTCTACTTCTACCCCAAATCCTCCTGCTTCTCCATCGGACCCAACGCCTGTAATGGTTGATCGAACTAGCCCTTCCCTTAAGAAAAATAGTATTGAACGGAGTGCGCCGCCTGCGCATATTAGCTTCTCAGCTGAAACAAACATGGAGCCTCGTGGACGCGCACTGCGGATTCCTGGTCCACGAGAGTTTGAGAGCGGTGGGAATGAGCCCTTTCCTTTCTAATATCGGCAAACTACGTGTGTCGGCGAGGATTGCTGATATGGTACCAAATAGGACAAACGGTTCGCGAGGTTGACGACGGTAAGATTTGCAAATTCGACATTTTAACAATTTTCTCATTCTATGTGACGCATGTATATGTTTAAGCTGATAGAGAAGCTGACGAAATGACATAACTCACAAAAACTATAGATGACCTGGCGAAAAGCATAACCATCGAAGAACCGCCAATGACTGGTCCCTCGGGGGAAAATGAACGCCGACGATTGCCCACTATGGGTAGGCTGTTGTCCCACGCAGTTTCCGTCGAAAGAGCTGCTTCGAATGCTTTTATTCTCGGAAATAGTTCACGGAAGCGTTCTCGATCGAGGTCTTCTAACCCACTAAATCGATCGTCCTCGAGGGCTGATCGGGTCCCCCTCGACATGCCCTATCTCTCTTACCAACCAACAATCGGACGTAATTCGAGGTTCCTGGGTTTGACTGATGACCAGAGGGATGAGTTGGGAGGAATTGAGTATCGTAGCCTGAAACTTCTGGCGAAGATTGTGTTCAGTATGCACCACCCCTGTTATCTCTTTCTATGCTTGGAAGTTATTAATGCTTGTAATCAAAACAGGCTACTACGTATTTTGGCATGTATTCGGCGTCGTTTGCCTAATCGGTTGGATTCACAATTCAGACCGGAAGTACCGGGACTATATTCAATCTGTAGGCCAGAGCCCAACTTGGTGGTATGTCCCCGCATTGCTTCGTCAATATGAAAAATCTCCAACGAGGGTAACGAGCTAGAATTGGCTGATATGTATATTCGGGTGGCGCCTAGGGCAATTTTCTCTGGGATGACCACTTACAACAACCTTGGATTCACTCTTACCCCAGATTCGATGACCAGCTTCCGCAACGCAACCTTCCCCATCTTCATCATGACATTTCTAATGTACATCGGGAACACAGGCTACCCTTGTATGTTACGCCTCGTCATATGGCTCATGTTCAAAATCTCGCCCCGGGGTTCTGCAATCCGCGAGCCATTGAATTTTCTTCTCGACCATCCTCGTCGATGTTACACTCTACTTTTCCCATCTAGTCCTACCTGGATGTTATTCTTCAGCCTGGTATTTCTGAACTTCATCGACGTACTGCTATTCCTAGTTCTAGACCTGCATAACGAAGAAGTCCTGGCTGTTCCGTCTTCATGGAATAGGTTTCTGGCTGCGGTTTTTCAGGCAGCGTCGGCGCGCACGACAGGGACGTGCACTTTTAATGTTTCTAAGGTGCATCCGGCTGTACAGTTCATGCTTATGGGTATGCTCAAAAGCGAAAGGGTGTGGCCGTAGTTGTTGTGTCAAGCTAACATGCCGATTCAATTTTTAGTAATGATGTATATCTCTGTTTTCCCAATTGCAATTAGCGTACGAAAGTAAAAGGATACCCCCCATCCCTTCCCCACAAACTTCCCCCCCTCTTGCACCAATATCAAACTAATTACCTTCAACAGAACAAATACCTATGAAGAAAACTCCTTGGGCCTTTATGATCCACAAAGCGATGAAATCGACGAATCAAATAGCACCGCCTCCTATGTGGGTGCACATATGAAAAAACAACTTGCATTTGACCTCTGGTATGTCTTCTTCGGGATGTTTCTTCTTATGATCACCGAAGGGTCGAAACTAGCAGATAAGGCGGATCCGGTATGTTTTGCTTCGAGTTTCCCCAACTTGGTGAGCCAATATAATAACACAAAGCCATGTAGGACTTCGCAATCTTCTCGATTTTTTTCGAAGCTGTCTCGGCATAGTAAGTAAATTTTCCTAGTTCTACATCGTTTGCTAGTAATTAGTTTAGTATTGAATGCATGACCTTCGCCATCTCTTCTGCATCCCATACTATCTCCAATATGCTCACAATCTAACCTCCGCGCTACAAACTATAGCGGAAACGTCGGTCTGAGCTTAGGTCATCCATCTATCAACAGCGGCTTATCGACCAAATTCAGCGTGTTGGGAAAACTAGTCATCTGCGCTTTGATGCTTCGCGGTCGACATCGCGGATTGCCTTATGAACTTGATCGTGCAGTGAGCATCCATTTCCTCTTGAATTCCAACCCTACCCCCTTTAGGAGATAATTCACCCATCCACCTACCTCTATACATGCTTTTTTACCCCTTACCCCTTTTGTTGTCCCCCTTTTTCATTCTTCTTTCCAGCAGAAATGAAACTCTATATTCATTCTCATCATTTTTCTTCACACTCTAAATTATTTTGAAAAAAAAAAAATATGCAGATAATCCTCCCCAGCGAACGGAATCTTACGGAATCAAGTGCTACGAAGGATGGTGGTCCAGTCACCACTACACAAACCTCAACAAATGCTACTATTGGCTCCTTGTTGCGCACTCGAATTGCGGAGATCGTCTAAAAGGCGGTTTGAGAGAAATTTTGCCTCACATAGACATATATGCTAACTAGCACATTACATTACACGGCGTTCGCTTGGTTGGACGGGACTTGGACATTCGCAAGAAGTTAATTGTTATTTACTATTGTTGTTTTTTAAATAGACATGGGAAAGTGGTATGATACGATACGTACTTAACAGATTCCTTCCTCCATAGCGTGTGCTGTTTGATTGAATGATATTCTTTCAACATTGCTCTTTCTTCTTGATTCTCAGATTCTAATCATGCCACCGCTAACTCGCTCACCTGCACGATTAGCAGGCAACTTAGAGAGGTCACGTGGCTGCTATCAGAGCATGATCAGGGGCGACTCAGCAGACATGCCAACATCCGTTTTCTTTTCTTTTCTCTTCTCTCTCTTGTTGGACAAGAAGAATCCTGTCAATGGATGAACGCAATCATGGGTTAAATCAAACAATTGAATGATATAAATTTAGAAGGTCGTCTTAGGCGGGCAGTTTTACAATTTTGCAAGCAAGCGAAACAGAAGTAACTAAGATAGTAGGTAGAGCAGAAACGACACTAAGGAAATTAACAAGGAGATTCAAAAGCAAAGCACATTTTTCCCAGCTAATGAAACTCAATAAAATGACAAAACACAAGTTATGGTCAAGAGAGGGGGGGGAGGAGGAGGAAAAAAAAATACAGGAAAATCCATCATACACTCATACCTAGCAAGAAACTAGAGAGGTGATGGAGGAACCGGGAACGGCAAATTAACACCCATCCGGTATTCAAGCCCGTGAGCTGATGCTGAATCGATAACAAGTAGAAGCAGACCTGTTCCTTCTTTTGGGGAGTAAGCTGGTGAAATATTTTTATGGCAAACGATAGAGAGAAAGAAAACAAGAGGGGGAAATGATTAACGCAGTTCTTAAAATAAGATGAAACCAAAAGCAAGTCCGTCACCGAGAAGCGAGATTTTTGGTGAGGACAAGTTAACAAGCAGAAGGCTCACTACCCGATACTGCCAACATTTTACATGATTTGGTCTTGGGTAAGACCGCCTGTTGCTTCTGTGCCTTCCATGGCATCTGCGGCACCATTGTTCAAGTACTTGACAAAGGTCAGGCCTAGAGGGCGACCACCATACTGATACCCCGTGAATTTGTCTGTATATTATGTTAGCAGGCAATAATTTTTTCGACAACGCAGATAGCCTATTGAGAATGAGCAATGAATATGGATAGGCAAGACTGACTGATAGCGGTTTCTGCATTTTCAGCGGTGTCAAATTCAACTACTCCAGTTCCTCTGGAGCGTCCATTAGGCTCATACTGAATCTCGGCCTTTTCAACTTTACCAATCGTCGAAAAGAGGTCAACTAGATCCTCATTGCAGGTCGACCAAGGAAGCTGTTTGGAAACACAGTTCCTTCCGTTAGCCAAAAAGCAAAGATATAAAAATTTAAATAAACAAATACAAAAATCAAAGTAAGGACGAGAACGTACATTGCGGACATAGATAGTTGCACTCCTCTCTCCACCAGAAGTTGCAAAATCCGTGAATGGATTTGGAGGAACTGATCCTTCCACTGGGCCAGCACTGTGACCACCACCGTACCCGCCTCCAAAACCGCCTCTTCCACCACCGTACCCACCACCAAATCCACCACGGCCACCACCAAACCCGCCACGGCCGCCCATGAAGCCACCACGAGCTGGAGCTCCACCAAACCCGCCACGTCCAGCGAAGCCAGGGCCCGATCCCGCATAACGGTCTTCGCGAACTTCCAGTGTTCGACCCTGCCAATCATATCCATTGAACTGTTGGATAGCATTTCGCGCGTCATCCGCACTTTCAAATGCGACAATGCCGGAACCCTTTGGGCGGCCACTGGGATCAACATGCACATCGGCACGGACAACAGCACCGTGTTGCGCTGTAAATAGGATATTTTGTCAATGCAAAAGCACTCTACGCACACACACAAATATCACGCAATGCACAGAATTGATCAAGGCCTGCAACAGGTTTGGACTTACCAGCTTGGCGGAATAGATCCTTCAAGTCCTGCCAGCCTACATTGAATGGGAGCTAAATATAGAAAGTTAATGGGCCAAGTTTCATGAGCAGAATTGGGGGGAAAGAAGTATGAATGATGAAAAGGGTACACGGTGAGGGTAGGAAAATGTGTTAGGAGGGCAACAAACGTTGGAGACATAGATTTGTCGGCCACCACCAGTACCAGGGCCTGAGGCATAGCCTCCATAGCCTCCGCGTCCAGGGCCTCCGAAATCATTACGGGCAGGTTGGCCAGTGAAGCGGGGTTCTGCCTCACGGTCCTACAGTGATGCACAGCAGACCATGCAATGTGTCAGTTCATGAAACGAGCTGTAAAAAAGTAGAAGGTAAGGAAAGCGAAACAGTTCCTACCTCGCGAACGTAAACAAGTCTACCCATGAGAGTTTGGTTACTGAGCGTCGCTACAGCATTTTGAGCTTGCTCCCTCGATGCGTATTCCACAATCCTGCAAATTTTAATAGTTAGATCGATTTTTCCAAACACAACAAACATGAGACCCTTCTTTCCTGCTACCTCAACGAAGGATTACTTACCCGCAGCCCTACATCAACCGGATCGCCAAGCCCCAACCCGTCAATCCAACGTCCATCAAAATAACCATTAAAGAAAACCAGGAAACCAGGAAACCAGCCACAGCTACACGTTGACGCCCACCTTCGACATTCCATTGGGAAGTAGTAAAACATCGGCAAAGAGGACCTCTCCAGCTAGAACATTACGAACCAGTCCACCGCAGTTAGCTCCATTTCATTTCCAGCTGACCACGCAGTCCTTCCTTGGTCGTAAGGCTCGCTTACCCTGTCTCATAAAATCTTTAAGGTGATGCCATTTGACATCGTATGACAAATTGCCAACATAGACCCGGCGGTCTTGTTGGGAAGATTCGCGTACTGATTGCATCATTTGTTCCTTGGCAAAAGAACGATCCTCGAAAGAACGAGAAGAAGCGCCACGTCCACCGTATCCGGAGCTTGAATGTCCGCCAGTAGCACCAGCTGTACCGCTTACAGGAGTTCTGGATCGACGATCGTTGCGACGGTAGTCTTCACGACTACGGGACCGACTACGAGGAGAGTAGGAACGACGACTGCGACGTGGACTACGGGAACGACGACGTGGAGAACGAGACCTCTCGCGCTGCAAGTTGTTAGCCATCACACAGACCTTCGAAGTCAATTAAGAGAGTGAAGATCGTGCTAGTGAAGGGAGGAACAACGCGCGCACATCAAACGAGATGGAAACGAAAAAGGATGTTGAGTGGAAGTGGAGAAGTTTTCACTACAGATGGAGCAAAGGAAAGTGAAGGTTGGATGGAGAGTTAAGAGTCGTGGTGGCTGGGAGAAGGTAATTGGCTGTCGACGGGCAACCACGTGAATAATTAAGTTTGGGAGCGGGTGGGGGAACGGAAGTTGAGCAGGCGAGGAAAGGAGAACAGAAAAGGAATCCCATGCAACAGCGACAGGAGATAATTTTTGATATAGGACAATCAATGGACGATGCGGGATGGCAAGGAGGGCTGGCAAAGGCAGAAGGCAAAGATGGTGGAGAGCAGCGGAGACGAACAGAGGGTCGCAGCGGCCCTACATCAGCCTGAGCATCTCCGATCAAGCAGCCCTCTGGAAACATCTCATACAGCCTATTTCCTCTCCCACCAACAATAGAAAATTATTGTGTGCCCTGCTCATGCCTCTCTCTGACCGTGGATGGTGTCCTCGCTTTTGATGCCCGCTTCCGAATAATCCCGTGCCACAATTTATAAGGTCGAGATACGAAAAGGTTGTCCGTGATGATTGAGGGTAGGATTACAAAAAGTTGCAAATGCACTTACTTGGGCGGGTCGATAGACGTCAGCTGCACCTAGGAATGAGAGAAGGTTCCCGTGAGTTTCAAGCGTTACCAGCCAAGTGAAGAAGAAGGTTGGAAGAACGAAAAAGCAATTGAGAACAAAGTGCGTGAAAACAGAGTGCGTGAAAACAACAACGGAGGGGCTGGAGAGAATCAAAGCAAGGGATAAAATCGGATAGCGAGCAGAAAAAAAGTGCAGAGCAGGGAGAGAGGTGGCTTAGTAGTGGGCGAGGTGAAGCGGTAAACGCCCTCACTGAAGTGTACTACGGCCAGAAGCAACTCGAGACACTGGAGCCAAGCCAAGGAAGGGGTTGTATGGTTGACTCAACACAGAATGCAAGGGACCACTCTAGACGTATCAAGCATGAGGAGGGGGAGAGCGAACCTAGGGAGGGGTGAAGGGGGAGTGAAGGGATCAAGGAGGGATGTTTGTAGCATCAATGGCATGACAAGGGGACAGTACGGAGCAAAAGGACAAGAGAGCACGCTGCTTGCCGTTCTTCTGTTCACCCTTGGGAATGCAGACTGAATAACGTAATAAATATATAACGGTAAATAGGCATGTCGTTCCATACAAAAAAAAGGATTGGGAAAAGGAAGTTGAGAAAATTATATAAAAAAATAGACTAAGATATTGAAAAAAAAAAATAATAATTTTTAGAAAATTTTTTTTCTTGAGCTCAGGCGCTGCAAGCCACGGCCAGAACCAGGCAACAGTGGGATCGGGAGGAAGGCACACAAGGCATGTCGGGAAGGAAACGCGAAAAGGAAGGGTATGGCAAGCTAGTCGCGCGCAAAGGGGACGACGAGTAGAGGAGAAGAGGAAATGAGACACACGCACCCATAGCTTATAACAGAGGAGGGAGAGGGAAGAGAAGGAGGAGGAGGAAGTATATTCGAGGGTTGAGGGACCACAGCAAAGTCGATGGAGTGATTTCCCAGCGCGTCGGAAAGGGGGGAAGGGTTTCTGCGGTGATGAACGGACTGGCTTCAGCGTTGGGGAGTCGGATCAGGTATGAGATTTTAGACGGCTGCACGACGGAAAAAGGGCTGTGGAGGCGTGTTATTGGACGAAGCGAAAAGGCGACCTGAGCAGGGATGGGCTGGATAGCCGGAGACAGTGGGATCAGAGGTGGTCAGAGGGGTTGTCTGGGTGGTGGTGGTCGTGTCTGCGGAGTGGAAGCAAAGTTGAGGAGAAGGTTGCTTTTTTCTGTCCTAGCTGATTCCTGTTCGGCCAGAATATCAAAAGCTTAAAAAGGCTGTTTTTTTGCTGTTTTTGGGTGGGAATTTTTCATATTGAGCAGCCAGTTCTGTTGATAACTGGGCAACGGTTGGAGCTTGGCATACGCGGATACAGGATGATACACAGCAAAAGGTTGAGGGTCGGCACAGGGAACAGATAACAACAGCATACTACCTTTTCATTTCAAGATGAATATGCACATATATAACTATATATTCAAGAGGTGGGAAATGCGGTATGCAGTCTAGGAAGGGTTTCAGCATCGCACTCCCTACCATAGCTCAATTGCCCATTGACCTGAGCTGCAGGTCCCGTACCGTACAGTACATGCCCTACGTATCCTTGTAACCCACTTACCGCTTGTCACTAATCGAGCCTAGGATGTTGCTTAACCACACAATTTCCAGCGCTCCGATGCTATCATGATACCCCCCTCCCCGCAAGGCTCTGTTATGGACATGGTTTTACTTCAGTCTCCGCTGTCTGCGGATACAGTCACGTTGTTTTCAAATTATCGCCAAAGGAGTACCCAAAGGAATAACGACACAGGCCGTATACCCCTGCAGGACTAAATTTCTCGGCGTTCATGGGTCAACGAGGCTCATGCTGCAAATGCTCAAGACTGAGCGAGAGACAGCCACCCGATGGGAAAGTCTCTCCTCCGAAGGACCCTAAGCATCCTTTCCTCAGCCATCGCAGGCGGATGGGGAATCATTCCTCTATGCTTGAAACGTGGACTCCATCCTAATCTCGTGCCAGCCTCCTTTCCCCTTTCTTTTCTGCAGAATAGCTCCAAGATTCGAGGCGTTGGGAACTGCGTTTCGGGATTGATTTATGCAGACCTTAAGCCACACAGCCGGAGAGGGAGTTGGTCGGAAATTACCCAGGCGATGCTGGAATATAGTTTCTCGGAATCATTCCCATCCATGCTTGCGTTGGAGGGGGAGTTTACAATCCAATTGAACAGAATGATGAGCCACACCTCCAGAGGACAGCGGGAAACTTGGAGGTTCTGGTGAGACGCTAGAGCAAGAATGGGAACCATCCAGGTATGACTTTCTCAGCTCTCACTTTCTTTTCCCCCAACACATACGCAGCAGTACTTGAGGTTGCCGCAACCGTTGCGTGGAAGCATTGACGAACTGGGTTCAATGGCCCCAGATTAAAGATCCGGATCTTCTCCGGGATCAGTACACCCTAAGCTGACGGCTGCGTGAGAAACCTCAGATTCAACAAGACCGGAGAAAGTGGTTGGCTAATTCGTTCACCAATTTCTTTACACAACAAAGCAATAGGTACCAAAGAGCACCAAGCATATCCCATGTCACAGATCGTTTTGAAAATGACTGGGCTAGTCATGCAACGTAAGCCTACATAGTAGTTGAGAAAATCTTGGACAATGGGGTTGGACGACATCAACGGGATGAGTGGGGTACTAGATATGGATGTGTAATCTCCCCGGAGTTGGTTCTTCGCCTTCCAGAATAAAACCCCCGGCAGTGTTGATTAGGAAGAAGGACGAAGGAAGAACAGAAAGTGACCAGGAAGCGATGCATAGCGAACCTGTGAAAACCATCGAACGAAAATTACATTTTCCAATCAAAAGGTCCCGACCTAACAGAATTTCACTTCAAAGTTATCTCGAAAGGACCAATTGAATCGATGAGAGTGCGAATCATAAACCTAGCTAGGACAGGGCTACCTAGGATGTCAACGACACGAGGTGCGCACACCGCCGTTATTCTTATCTCACATTTGTTATGCGTCGAAGATTTTCAGATTCCCTTCTCACCTTGGCTCCCTTTAAGCCAACTAATATTATTTTACAATATTCACGATGACATTGAAGGTTTGTTTCAAACAACTGTACTTGTAAATGACGGTTCAATACACCACGCAGGTGACGTTATCTAATGGCTGGAGGAGCCCATTAACATCTGGCACTGCGGTTCCCATTTCGTTCCTCAAAGCCATCAGTATCTAATCGTCAGATGCGCCTGATGTTGACTAATGTCAATGGCAGAATTTCGAATACTCACAGGCTTTGCTCATGCAGCAAGAGGGAAATGGAAACACAAGTAATGTTCTCCTGTGCTCCTGCTTCGATGCCCCTATTGCTCTTCGTTATATTATCATATCTTACACTTTTCTACGAAGTACTTTTATTTCCTTTCCTGCCAGGCTAATGTAGCTTCCTGTTACGTTTTAACTCGTTTGGCTTCATTTAGGTACCTCGACTGAATAATGCCAAAAGACGCTCCAACCATGTGTTGCAGCTGTTGGGGCTTAGATTCTGCTAATTGGTTGTCTCTGTGGATGTTTCTGGAACTTCTATCAGTTTACCTATGCCCGACGGCTGTCCTTGCCTCGACGTTGCTTGAAGTTTAACACATGGACAATCGCTGTTGAAAAAAATTGAAAATTCCATCAGGAACGAACGTCCCATGGCGGAATACGATACTTGGACCTAAGTCCGAGACAAAAAGTTCGAACATGTTAAACTTTCTTCCATTGACCAATATCTTGCATATCAATGCATGCCCATGTACTACGTGTACTCCACTATAAAAGCTCCAAATAAGGCCGCCTTTACTTGAATATGATTAAGATATGCCGACCTTCTTCCATCAGTCCTTTTCCTAATTGTGTAGAAGCCCTAGCGAATGACCTTATGGTTAATCGATATAGGTTTACACGCAGTCTCTAGTTGTTATCCGATCACCTCATGGATAAGCCAAACTCTCATATGGGCAAAGCGAAGTCTCCACGGGATCACCAGGCCCCAAAAAGGTCTTAGCTACCTCTAGGTTTGCTTCTTGATCGCACTTATGTGCGTGCTGCTGCCTTGGAACGCTAGATAATGTTTTTAGTGCGCGGCCTAAGCCTGGTCTGCCCAAACACACCGTTGCTGTGTGCACCTGTGCAACGTCAGGCCATCACTATTCTTGTGTCGTTGCGCGAATGAAATAATCCCCTCAGGGATAAACTTGCTTTTTCGGAATGGGCATGGCTGGGCGAGTTAGAGCGCTCCTTCAGTCCCCTTATCCTTGTGCGCAAGCAGCCCCAACCACTGTCCGTCTGCGGTCGCTGACAACCCGTTAATTAAGGATGGGGGCTTAATACACAGTAATGACATGGCTGCGTTCGTCACATTGGCTGACCACACTCCAGAAAAGTAATGCCTGCCGTTGTCCATGGATCTATGAGGCAATCGTGTGTGGAGTCCTCAAATTGACAAGCAGTTATAGCCAAACCTTGCCCACTTTATGACAGCGTTTCTTCAAACCACTGAGATGGTGATTTCGTATCGACCTTCATCAACTTCAGCTGCTTGTTCCTTAGATCTGGGTTTCAAAGACTCGTCGTTTCTAAACCTGTGAAATCATGCGTTTGCCTGTGTTTTGGCTCTCACACAGGTGATAAGGAAAGACACTGCTAGTTTGCCCTGTGCGTACGTCTGGTCCCGCTGCAGAATCACAATACTTGCATTATCTGGTGTTGCATACTCTACCAACACCCGAGCAGATCAATAAATAAAATCGTCACCAGTTGGTTGTTTCTCTCGAGCTAACTATAACCGAAGTATCTGTATGGTATCTTCCCAACGGACGCAAAATACATATGAGATAAGGACGTGAGGATGCCCTTTGCATATGCTGTATTGACACGGGTTTCGATTGCAATTACCTTAGGCAAGGCTACGGCGTAGGGCCCCAAACAACGCTAAGAAATCTCACTTTGACTCTCCCATACCAGTAAGCCCTCCGTTCCATCTCTGTTCGAGATGCCGATTGTTGAATACGGGAACGTCTGGAACTCCCTACCGTTGCCTTGATGGAAATCATCATCGTTCTCTTCGTGAATTATGACTTTGTATCAACTAGCATAATTCGCCGTGGAAGAAGTGAGGAAAAAAACCAACACTTAGCCAAGGCGCTCATGCATGGAATTACTGCACGTCTCTCCATTCATCGAACACCCACTAATAAATAAATGGAGGTGATTGGCCATGGGGCAGTTCTGACTATTCAAGCCCTCACAGCCGACGGCGCAGGGGCCAGAAGGAAGAAGCAGATATTTTGCTATCCGAGAGCCTGAGGCTAATCCTGACTTTTTCAATTTCGCATTTCATTGTTCCTTTTTCCTTTACCTGGGAAACTGAAATCGTTATCCTTACGCAGGGTACCGATTTTTACAGAGTATTTATTGGGTTTGCCCTTTTTTTTTTTTTTTTTTTTTTTTTTTTTTTTTTTTTTTTGATATCTAGTGCTGAACGTTGAACAGTCGGTGGTAATGGTCTAGAAAGCTCGCGTGAGCGTGACCATTTCTCTTCTCACAAGAATTTTGTTTTTACCCTTACTTCCGAGTGTCCCCTCTGAGTCTGTTTGATTTTAAAATGCAACTAGGACTTTTTTTAGTGAGTTAGCTAAATTTGTGAAAGATGCTTCGTGCTGATCATTGTTTCAAAATGATGACTGGATTTTTCTTATTTTGATTCCCTTGCCGCAATTTTTCTTGTTCATTTTGTCCAAAAAAAACCTCAATTTTCCGCTACCAGAAGATGCATTAGGAGCCTAATATATGCTCTTACAACGAAGACAGCTTTTGGTTTCTATTATTTACTTATTTAACCTACTATTTCCACTTCGTCACCTTACTCAGTTGTTCAAATGGGTGTATCGATTACTGGCGATGGCCATGGCACTGTATACTTGCCCCGCAGGAGTGCTTGATGGATATTGCCAGAAACAAAAAAAGTACTGGAAAATATGCTTCCACTAGCACCAGATATAAGGAACCTGTGACCGCCATCAGGCATCGCAAATTAGAAGAAAAAGGGTCAAAAAACAAATCCGAAAGTGCGGTATGGACGTTCCACCTTTTGGATAAACACCATGACAGGAAAAAAGAATGTCTCTTCGCTCGACCCGACGAGGATGTCCATAACTGAGATACTACCGTACACTCAAGGGTTATGGAAAGGAAGTTTGAAATAAAAAGCGGGTATTTGTCCGCATTCAGGCTACCAACCTAGTTAGGGGGGAAAAATCTAACGGAGACTCCTTCAGTTATGCTTTTGGATTAGGGATGTGCATTCGTCATTGGACCTAGTTCACACAGAACCATCCGCTTCCCCGTCGTTAGGCTTTGAACATATATCCACACATTTTCTATCACAGCCTGAAAATAACTAGAAAGCCAAATTGGACACGCGACTTATTCCAGCAAATCGGCAACTATCTACACAAGCTTTGTCCATACGCATCCCGTTTCGAGCACTTGAACCGATGCATATATATCCTGGTTATCGTGGAACCGCCAGGGAAATGATCCAGACTCTCTCGGTTTGAATCAGGCAATACTGGGACATTCGGACCTGGAGAAATGCATTGAATTATATGATCTATTACTTGCAGCGGCTCACGATCTCCCATTTCAGGCTTCTCTTTTCTCTTCAGCAGTTGAGCTCGGGAGGTGGCAAGCGAGGAGCTGTACGTACTCTATTTTGTTCCTCACCAATACCGAAAGAACCGCTAGGTATCTAACTCAGTGTGGAGTCTGTTGCCTTCCCTCTCGAGGGAGGTCACTCCGAATAGCACGAAATGCTCAATTTTGCCATGTATGAGCTCCCCTAAAAGCGACGTAATGGAAGTCAGTGATTAGCCAACCGTTCGGTCATTGGTAAGGTGCTATCCCAAGTTGCAGCGGAAAGGGAAGCGCTAGTGTCCACTAATGTCGCGAAAAAAAAGCGAAGCTTGTATGAAAGCGTCATGGCTCACCAAGACATTTTTGACAAGATGATATTCCCTTTTTTCTCAAAGGAAGAAGAGAGTTGCACCCCAAACAGCTGGGCAGGCCAAGACTTAGTTATAGGGGATGAACCTAGATCACGAGATATCACTAGCCCTTACTAGCAAAATCTTGAACTCACACCCAAGGACTCCCGAGCATTGCTTGTTGTTCACCCAGGGCCAACATCAAATTAACATAGTGGGGGCAATTTCTGTTGAATGGCTTGTTGATATTTGATAAATAGGACTGGTTTGCTCTGGTCACTGCAATCGAGAATACTTCCATGGCGTCCCTCTTGCCCTTGTTCCGTCGTGATATACATACGCTATTACGGGTTAAGTTTACTAATTACGCCTCAACCTTATTCCAACCTGTTTCTCCACTCTATCCGATGTCGATATTTTAAAAGCGACAAGGCTTAAGTTCGGGTATATCGCCGTGGATTATTCTTAGTCATGAATGTACCCATCTAAGGAAATAATAATCAATCCCTGGGGCAAGTATAATTCAGTCGTCCCGAAACAAGAACCAAGGATTACATTTGGTCTCTTATATACGAAGATACATTCGGAGAAATTATAGCTACCAGTTGCTACTGGTCCAGTCCGCTCGGAATGCTTGCTGCAATAAATAACTACTGAGGATGCTTCCCGCTTCAGTCTCAAAAATGTGATGGAAGAAAATAAGGTGCGAGGGTCAATCCAATCATCATTTCTGTTTCTAGACGTCTAACTTTGTTCATGCTCAGCTGTCGATTTTGTTTTGAGTCAATATACAACATTAGAGTTTGATGTTAATCTGAGCGGCCACTAGATTCGCTTCCTCAGCCGCCCACAGACTCACTCAACGGCTTGAGTCAGGATTGGAATCGTTAGAGGGGTTGATCTAATATAACATACTCAAGTTTTGCTTTGGGGGCATTCCTCCATTGTGCCACATCCGCCCCACCCACGAAGATGATGAATCTCCAACCCACCGTCTTATTTCCTAATCACACACAAGGAACGAGAGATCTAACTCATGATGTAGATGTCAGCCTTTCATGTGTAGTAAAATATTGAACGCACTGCAAAGTCATTTTTCAAGGTTATTTTGGTCATCTGGGAACTACACTCCGCTTCATGAACATCCATTTTTCATGGTGAGCAGAAACAACAACTTCCTGATTGTTTCATGTTTTCTAACCGTGCAACATCAATCAGTTAGGCCGAGCCATACGCAGTACTCTGTACGAACTTGAATCGTTGGTTTTTAGGCAAATATACTAGTAGCCAAGAAACTCCGATCGCTACTAATTCCATCAATTCTACTGAGTTGCCGCAGTTGCATCGCCCTCAGCAATGCCAGATTCTCTTGTAATCAATCATTTGGCGTATGCTCCTTCAATGTAAGTAGCTAGCTGATCCATTCATCGTTTTGCGAATAGTTTGGCGTGAGCATCTACTCACATTCTGCTCTGAGATTTAAGTTCTTCACAAGCTAGCGCCACCACTTACAACAGTTGGTGGAATGCACGGTCTTTTGATACGATTTCCCTTGGAGAAGGAAATGATCGTCGTGGCCTCCACAATTCTCTATCGTACTCAGCAGGATCTAAAAATCAAAATGACTCGCCGTGGTGCCTTATCATTTTCTCCAGTTTAAATCAGCTCATTTTCAAGTCACCTTTATTTTGTATTTATATTTTCCAGGGGATATAGGTTTACTGCGTATAAATCCCGCGTCAAAGGCCAGCACATTACCGCGAAGTTTTCTAGTCTATACCACGGAGAAATTATGAGACTTTAAGTTTCGGACATTCTTGCTCTATCAAGCTAACAAACCTACGTCAATTGGATACATCCACTGCAATCTGCCAAGGATTCGAGAAACAGAACTAAAACTCGTAGCTATGAGGAAATAAGTAGCAAAATCCGGTAATTATCCGCATTGTCGGGATGAGCATACCGGACCGTATCTTCACATGTTTATATTACTAGGCCTTATATGCTAGTTTCTGCATATATATTCTCCGGCGAACGGCTTAGGATTGAATGTTTAACTCTCTGCGGCGTTTACTTTTTATGTTTCGTTATATGAAGCGAATAATTGAGGTGAATCCTATATTAGTTACCTCCGAGGATTAACCAAAACTTTTGTCTCGATGAGGCAAGGCAAGTGGTGAACAAGTTTACATGCATACATGGAGTAGATCTGTCGCAGTTGCAACCCAGAAATAGAAATCCGGGCAGAGGCTTCTTTCTTGCATCTGACATCCATCCTTTGTGGATAGACTCGTACTGTTGTTGCTTAGTGCTTTGCAAGCTTGGATCTTCTTGTGACCATAGCGTATAAAATAATCCAGTGATGAAATACTTAGACCCTTATACCACTCCATCCATTTCCCTTCTAATAACTAGGTAATGTACTCGTATCCTACGCTATTTGTTTTGATCGTTTGCTACCACCTTCCCAATAAACCCTAGTGGCTTGAGTCAGCACTTGCACGGCTAGAACAACATCCAGGATAGACAAAGACGTGTTCTCCTCAACATCCTCCCCAACTGTTATCTGAACCACGGAAAATAAATCCTAGGGCAGGGTATGGACGGCAGTACCAACCGAAGGAAATACACAATCCATTGTCTATCCCATCGTCTTGACTACCTCTTCTGTGGGTTTTCTTCTTATCTTCCCTTCCCTCGCCACATAAACTTGTTCAAGACCGTCCCTTTAACCCAAAAAGGAAGGTCATAAAAGACGTTTTTTTTCTAATGGCTGGTGGGCTAGATTGTTTCATAGCCGAAATTTTGAATTTTTACTCTCTAGTGGGGCTGATGAAATTGCTGGTGGTTAATGTATTTAGGGCGAACTGACATGGCAGTTGCTGGCAGCAATCCACTGTAAAAGGATGAGTGAGTGCAAAGCCGTCATGTTGCTTGAGCAAAAAGAGGGAAGTGTAGTATAGGATATTAATCAACTTACGATCCTAGGAATATGCGGGGCCGAGAAAACATGGCAGGGGCAGTGACGCAAGAAATGGGAATATCAGCTTGTCTAACGTCCCGTTCTTCAACTAATGCCTGCTAGTAGTTCTGATCCTCGACGGACATATTCGCATCTGACAGATATAAATTTCGGAGTTCACGCACCATTACTGAAGCCTTCCTTGAACACATCAATGTTACATTTTCGAAATTCTTACTCTTATATATTTACTGCCTCCGGGGAATTTACGCTCAAAGGGTCCACATTAATTAATCCACAGGCCCTGAAAGAAAAGCAAGAACTGCATTTTTCCATGGGCTGCCTCCTTCAAATACATCCCCCTGGTATCCTATTTCACTGATGTCCCATGTTTAGTATTATATCTGGACGCCTTGAAAAACTTTGATAGCCATCCATCATGACCCACACAATACTCTCCAAATCAATTCACATCCATCGGCACCAGCAACATGTCAAATGGTCCAAACAAATCTCTCCAACTCAAACCATTAATTCGGGTGACATAGTCCACTTCGACGCCATGGATGGAAGCAATGGTCAGATAACCAAGACTTCCACGGAGAGCGCACTGAGCACTTTCGACATTGCGCTTGCTGACCCCGCCGTGGGTCCTGTCTTTGTCAGAGGCGCGGAGCCAGGAGATGTCCTGGAGGTCGAGATTCTCGACCTGAAAACCACGGATTGGGGCTGGACTGCAATATTTCCTAACTTCGGCCTACTATCGGATGAGTTTCCCAACGGGGTGCTGAAGATCTGGCACTTGGACCCTGATCAGCCATACGCGCTTTTCAAAGAAGGCATCCAGATCCCCAAAAGGCCTTTCTTGGGTATTATGGGCGTTGCTCCTGGCGCGGACGGAGAATTTTCCATGATCCCGCCACTGAATACGGGTGGAAATATCGACTGCCGGTATCTCACCGTGGGTTCCAAACTGTACCTCCCCGTCCAAACGCCAGGTGCATTATTCAGCTGTGGCGATGGGCATATAGCACAGGGCGATGGAGAGGTTTGCGGCACCGCAATTGAAACTCCCCTAAAAGCTAGTCTGCGACTCTCAATCCTCAAGAACCAGCCATGGATCACGGCGCCGCAGTTCCAAACTCCCCCGCGAACGGGGGGTACACACGACGCCGATGAGACTCTGCAGGTGGATAAGGGAGAGTATGCGACTATGGGGATTGATACAGACCTGCTCGAGGCGGCAAGGAAGGCGACTCGAAATCTCATCGAGTGGCTAGTCAGGACTAAGGAGTTAACACCGGAAGAAGCATATATGCTGGCAAGCGTGGCAGGGAACCTCAAAATTGTCGAGATTGTGGATATGCCGAACTACGCTGTCGCGATGTCTCTTCCTTTAAACATCTTTGTATAGAGTGTACATGTTGATGTATTTGATAAAATCAACTTGATGATTCTGAGCGTCTGCTTTCATACCATCGCCGCTTTTCCTGGAAAGGATTTACTACTAGTATTTTATTTTAACGACAATGAAAAGAATAAGCTGATATGATTCCGGGTTCTAGTTGAACGTGGTTAGAAATTTTTGATTCTCCATTTCTACCCATGTCCAACCTTTTTCTAACCACGCTCAACTCGGGTCCATATATGACTCAACATGAATAATGCGTGGAACGAACGTTAGTTTGTATAGTGAAATAAATCATTCTTCCTTACCTGCCTATTTAGGTAACTGAGAATCCTCCTGTCGAGTACGAGATTTTATTTTTTCCCCCCCCTCTCCCCAGGACAATCCCCACTTCTCGGCTGTTACCGTCTCGTTCTCGATATCGATTGTAACCCGCATATGATATATTTCAATTGCGCCGCTAATCGGGCTAATTGCAACCGAGGTGCAATCTTGGGCACGCAATCTTGAATAACGCCATCGTTTTCCGCAAAGCGAGCAGAAAAAATAACGTCCACCGATGTAAACGTCAAGTGCAGAAACAAATCGCGAATAGAAAGCGTTTGCCACAGGGCACGTGAAAATTTCTTTCTTTCTTTCTTTCTTTTCTTTTATTTATATGCCGAATTGTATGTGTTTGTAGAGCGCTTCGAATACATCCTATAAGGAACATTCCGGTGTAGACATTTGTCCCAGAGGAGACAAACGATTAACAAAAGACGAGCATAGAGAACCAAGGAAAAGAATAAAAGTATATATAGCTGTACTCTTATAGATGTAGATAAGGCTTTTCCAGAGAAGTTGATGAAAAAATTGGTAAACGGGTTAGAAAAAGAACTACTCGGTGTCACTCTATTTTATCCACATACGCAACAGGACCATCGTAGACTTTCCGTCCATGAATCAAATATTGAAGCCCGGCGAAAATCACGACAACCCCAAACACGAGAACTGACCAATTCATACTGACGGCCGTGGGATAGTTATTGTTCGGGAAGAATGTGAACACAATCGCGAAGCTAAGGTACAAGAATGAGATAATATTCACGGGAAGTCCGCAGGCGCCTAGGCTGAAGCGTGCTGGCGGTATCTCCTTCCACTGCAATCTGCGGTAGATAAAGCAACCGATACAGACGAGGTACGACATGAAAAGCGACGCGATTGTGAGGGAGGCGATCGCGTTAAATGCTTCCGTTGAGCCGATATTGATGAGCGAAAGTAGAATCGTTATAACCGTTGAGGCTAGAATGGAGTTAACGGGGACCTTGGATTTTGGGTGCACACGGGCGAAGAATTGAGAGAACGGAAGCGCGTTATCACGGGCAAACGCAAAGGTTTGTCGTGACACTGTAGCTAAAACACTGATGGCGGCGCATGCCTCCATAACGACCAGGAGGCTGCCTAGGCTGGTGGTTGCGGCCTTGGAACCTGTCGCGTTCAAGAAGGCGGTAATGAACGAAAATCCGGATTCGGCTTTAATGACCTCGTGCAGATCTCCCATGGTGAAGAGGTAGGTGATAAGCATGATGAAGCCAAGGGAGCCATTTATAAGGGCAGTGGAAATCATGCACCATGGTACAACCTTTGAAGCATCTTTGATTTCCTCAGCTGAAGCAATTTGTTAGCTCGTTTGATTCTATACAAGTTTGTTCAGGAGCAAGGGGAGGAATTTACCAATATGGGTAGCGGCATCGGGGCCTTGGAGACAGCCATACGAAAATCAAATCAGTATATACTGCGGCAACACGTCCAATTCAAACATATTTTCTAGGCTTACCAAGAAATGAGAAGATGGGGCTTATTTGACCGACAAGGCAGGCCAACCCTAAAGTAGGCCATCCAGCTGTATTTGTGAATTGAGTAAAAACGTCTTTCGTCGGTGTTCGTTCCGCCATCACCCACAATGGTATCATTGTCGCAAAAAAACCGAATACGTGGAGAATAAGAATCAATCCTTCCAAACTGGGGAGATGACTCGCCATGTGCGTGTTGATGAACGTGGTTGCAAGAGCAATAGCAGCAGTAAAGAGCGTACCGTGCCATCTCTCTGCAGCATATCCGGGTTGGTTCAACTGTATCAGGCTCTGCATGAGTGTTCCGCAGAGGAAGCATACGCTGGCGAAGGCAGCCTGCCATCCCAAGACCGAGAGCCAGCCTATGAATACCCCCCCGATTAGTATACAGAGTTGGAATGTCACTCGTCGTCAAACTTACCAGTCGCATAACTGAGAAACTTTTGATATGATCTTCCACCAAACTCACTGGCCCAATGGTATTGGCCGCCAGATGTAGGAGAACTAAACATCAAAAACTTGTTGGTATTGTAAGTTGCAAAATATGGGGAAATCGCTCAGGCAAGGAACCTACATCGAGGCCATTTCAGCCATAGATGCTACAGACGTGAAAAATCCGATAAAGGACCCGATATAAATGTACACAGATCCCGCCAGGCCACCATTACTCAGCCCGAGAGTCGAAGTCCTGGGTATAATATATCAGCACACGGATGCTTTTCGAACGAGAATTCGGGAACTCAAAACATTCGAGGAACTCGTACAAAAGAATGGACTCCCATGTCGCCATAAGCGTGCACGTAAACCCAAGCGTCGACAAAAACCGGAAGTTTCTCTGTGCGAAATGTTAACCAAGGGTTCCTCATGTATACGCGCTGGGAAATTGTTCCATGAAATAATATGAATATGTTTTTGCAAAGTATAGCACGAAGAACTCGCCTTGAATTGCTGGTCTTTTCCAAGACGAGCCATGTCGGCCTGGTCCTGATTCGTCGCTTCATCCGCGGAGCTCATGCTAACTCCCACCCTGGCTTTATTATTTTCGAATATTTGGCTTTCCATGATGCGCCCACGTCTCTCATCCAAAGCTTCCTTTCCTTATTTATTGTTTTATATAGATGGGGACGGAATACGCCAAGCGTCAAAGGAACAACCTAACGGTGACCACGTCTATCGCAGGCGCAAACGCAACGTTCTAAACAAGAGCAAGCGACGTTGGTGGTCAGTCTTTCCTGCAGAAATGAACGTGGTGGATCAAGGAAAGTGAAAGCTTTGGTCAAAACCGTATCCAAAAATACTCATTTTTCATTGCAGCTCTCGCCGAAGAGAGGGGGAAGAGAGGAATAAATATCGACAACAAAAAGGAAAGCTGGGGAAGAACTACACAACGTTCTCCAGTGGCGACCCGCTCATGCAGAACGACCTGACGCTGCTACTCCCTTGAACCCTGCACAAAGTGGCTACCCGGGGCATGGATTTGCTCTGGTGACTGGGAATATTTGGTGAACATTCGAAACTCATTTACGTAGGAATATAGATCCCTTCTCGGTTCTGATGTATGCCTATTCAAGAAGGAGGATAAGGTCAACCGCGTCCTCCAGAAAGTTGGATGCTCAGTTAGTGCTCCAGCATCCAGCCTTAATACAAGTGGGTTTCAGTGAGGGAACGAGTTCGTCGTCTGTATGTTTAGCGTGCCATCCATGGATAAGATGGAAACGCTCCGTGGAGCAAATATTTCGCTAGCTGCTCCAGGCGATGGCAGGCATGTCAAGAAGTTGTGCTCCTTGCCAACCAACCAAATGCGCAGAGGCGGCAAAGCAAAAAGGGGCTGGTGCAGATCGAGAGTTGAGTCCCAATCCCACGCCAAGCGCCGAACCATTCAGCGCAGCCAGACCATATGTTGGCTCGGTGGCCGAAACTTAATCGCCCCGGATTCTAGAAGGGGACCAAACGCCGATGATTTGCCAAGTTGCTCAATGCTCAGGGTGTCTCGGGCGTCTGGGCTGTCTCATCCTTCTCCTGGAAAGTACTACGGCGTAAGTTAGGAGTTGTGCGGGGTTGGGCGGTGATGTGATATGCCAATGAAAATAATTACCATACCATTCACGTCCCCATAAGTCCCCTCAGGCCTGAGCTTCATGCCGTGGCGCTATTAGCCCCGGCACTACATCCAGGCTGAATCCTCGGTTGGAAGCGCTCACGCAGAAGAGAGATTGGTCGGGCCGAAGCGATCTAAGGTCGATGGGGAAGGTCCTCGACACTGGAGAGCCCTTCGGTACTCTGGACCAAGCATACGGACAGGAATTCCGGTTACTGGCGGAAGGCGCTGCGATCAGAGGGGACAGCGTTGTATCTACAAAGCCTAAAGTTCCAAGCACAAGAAAGACTTAAACAGGAATTCACAGAGTGGAGATAGAGTTTAATCTCGCAGGACACAAACCACCACGGAGCACCAGCAGGCATAGCTGTGTAGAAGGCAATCTGTACCGATCTTTGTTCTGATGTGTCGAGTGGCAATAGAGCAATAGACTTTACAGAGAGTACCTGGCTTCGTGTTTATTTAACCACAAACCTCCTGATTGATATATTGTTTCCTCCAATAAGATCATAGACCCACCGCGCTTTCAATGGAATATGCCAGGCCCCTGACCAATTTCAACCCAACCACCTGGGCATCTTGATTTAGCCCCAATAGGTATACTCTTGCAGAATGGTTTTACAGATGCCCAAAGAAGAAGAGCGCGCTAAAGCTGAATTATCATGTGAGAGTCAGAGATATGCCGCGTCTGCTGCATCGTGTTGCCGCGGCGAGATTCACTGAGCAAAGCAGTGTGATCTTCAGGTCCATGGTCCCAACAGAAAAACCTGGTGTGTTTTCAGTTTCCCTTTCCAATTGATGGAGTAAATAAATAAATCATATACACGCTATCTCCCGCGACTGAAACGGATGGTGGGGGTGGAGCGGAGAGGGCAGTCCGAAATGCTCGAAAAATTCCTCTTGTTTGCCAGAGATCTGGATGTTGCGCTGAAACGACTTGTATAAGGTTTCATTCCAACTTTGGTAGCGAAGAACCCTCAATCCCCACGTGGTGGTGGTACCTTGGCCCTTTCTCAGGAGAATAGTGGAGTCGCTTAAAGTCCCTGGCGTTATGAGTTATGTTCAACCCTAGCCGTCCACCTTCGATCCGGTCCGAAATCGAACAACGAGAAACCCTAGCTCGGGCCTCCGAAATACAAATCGCACAGTTCAAAGTTTTATATCAATCAGCGCGCATTTCTGAAATGCAAGCCATGGTGGTTTGAAGGTTTTTTTGGCAAAATTTCGCCATATATGATGCAAATCCAGACTAGCTTGATGATGTTCTTTGCATGACTCGCTAGGACAGTAGTAGTTTGTTTTCATGCAAGTTAGCTCGATTTTAGTATCAGCAAGGGTATGCAACTTGAACCTGATAACCACCTGAAGAAAGCGGGATTCCTACGCAGTATGTATCGCCATAAATAATGAATCAACGGCATCAATCAGCTCCTAGGTGGAGAAAATAAACGGACGGTCCGAGATAAAAAGGATTTCCCGTGCGACAAGCCGAAGGGACGATGTGCGATGGAAAAAATATCACGTGTCGGTTGTACTGTACATTACTTTGGAACTTTCTGGTTGGCTGACTATCCCCCAATCCTTTTACCCCACTTCCAGCGAAATATAAACCAATGAGACCCCAATAAACAGCAGACTTCAAACTGAGAAAGGTAGTGATAGCTGGTATGACTTGGCACAAGCTCCGATCTGGGGTGATGGGTGCCGATGTGGAGCACCGGGCGGGGGTTTTCCGTCCGACTTTCAGCAAAGTTGCACATCTCCAAGCATCCTGCAACAGCCCGTTCAAAAGTCCTTTGATGCTTCGATTTCCATAATAATGAAGTGTGTGCATCTTTCCCCCCCCGTAATATGCCCAGAATGCCACGAGCGAGCATCTGGGGGACTATCACCTGAAATTCGGGATTGTACTTTCTTGTCTGTTCATTGTAGCTGGCTGGAGCTAGCGTTTGCTGGTGGCAACTCCCCTGTCTTGCTTATTTAGTAAAGTGCAAGACCCTGAATTTGAATGCCTCTTGGACGACACACCATAGTTCCATTCACAATCGATGGCGTCAGACACTTGGGGCCCTCATCATATCACCGACAATGATCGTGGTCCTTTGGTCACGATCATTGCGAGTCTAATGATGGTGTACATGGTATTTTGTTTCCTTGCAAGAATACTCACGCGAACCACAATCAATGGGCCATTTGGTTCTGACGATTGGGTCATCACAGCCGGCACGGTGAGCAATCATATTTCATATTTTCAAGCTTCTCACTCTTTTGTCGCCACCCGTTTGGTATCGGTCGATGATAAGAAGTAACTGATATGATGTTGGCTTTTTTGAGGTCAGGCAGTCGCAATTATACATTCGAGCGCCAAATTGGTAGAAGTTCGTGATGGCTTTGGAAAGCGGCTATCGGATTTGGAAGACCAAGATATTCTCAACATTCAAAAGGTAACGAGTCTTATACAGCAGTACAGGTTCGAATTGCGCTTTCTGATCCATTCAATTTAGGCTGCGTACGCCGGCGATATATTTTACGTCCTTGGGTTGATGTTGTCGAAAGCCGGCACATTTATGCTCATCGCCCGCCTCACAAAATATACAAGGCTTGCTAGTGTGGCATATGCGGGTTTCATCCTGACAATTGTATGGGGTGTTGCAGTAGCTTTGGCAGTCTGCTTTAGATGCAAGGTCCCAAGTCCTTGGACTCAAATGGATTTGAGATGCTTCCAAGCGGTACGTTGTTCTTCGATAATGAATCCGTGTTGGCTCGAAATCGTTAACCCAAGCTTAGTATCCCACCTGGGTTGGCGTTGAAACTTCCGGGATTGGAGTGGAACTCCTGCTGGCACTGCTTCCAGCGTATATTGCCTGGGGTTTACACGTGCAATTGAAATCGAAATTAGTGCTTTTTTTGGCTTTTTCATTCCGGCTCCCGTGAGTATTTTGGCCGGTGGAACAGGCATATTTGATAACTCCAGGGGGTAGTAATGCTAATTTTGATGAAGTGTGATCATAGTTGCTGCATTGCGCATTTTCTATCTCCGAAAACAAAACATGTTGGGTGACCCGTTTTTCTATGGGGTAGACCCCTCTGTTTGCATGGAGATCGAACTGCATTATGGCCTCATCGCTGCGACGATCGCATGTCTCAAGCCATTCGTTAAGTCATTCAACACGGGATATTTGGGTCGCCTAGAAATCATTCCGGATGCTTTCAGAGACACAATACCTTTACAGAATTATAAGCCCCCGACAATGTCGGGGGGGAGGGATAACCCGTCCATTGGGGAAGGTGGCGCTCTTTCCATAGAAACGACATCGGGGAACATAGAAACTATAACTGACACCAGAAGTATGTAATTAGCAATAAATATCACGGATAAACCTCTTTTCACACGGACAATTCCTTGATGTCTTGTGCCATTTCGGGCACATAGGTATAAATGGATGCCTGTGACGAAGCCACTGGATATATACATATTTTGACCAGATAAAGCGGTAAATATTGCTTCAGCGTCACAGCAACGGAATTAAGGGACTTTGAGATTTATCTCTTCACTCCTCAATTTTTAGCAAGGTCGACGGCAAATAGATGAGCTCCCGGTGGTGGGAAGAAGTTGCCAAGCGCGGTTGATGGAGGGTGCTGGTGGTACGCGACATCGACACTGCATTGCACCGGAGCCTTGTTTCCGAATGCATCTTTAACACAATCGATTAGGGTGAGGACTGGGGTTAGCTAGAGTGTTAGAACATGAGAAAAGTGGGAAAAAAGACCGCCGACACTCGATGAAAAGGGGAAGGTAACGAATATTTTAGTGGGGGGATGCTGAGGCTCAAAAATTTGCCAAGAACCCCGGAGCCCTGAACCTCCGTGCGGAATCCGATAATGAGTTACGGGCTCACCTACAACTAAACGGTTACCTGGTTCAAGTTCTCAACCACGGTGCTGGGCTGAATTTCGAGATTAATTGAACTGGATAGATGATCTACAGAATCCCTATGCAGTGTAAATTCCCATTTACCTTGAGTGGTGCGGGTAGCTAGGCTCTTCAAACCACATCTTCAATCGCTCGCTCCTACATCCTACGACTTCAATGACGCAGTCAATTCCCCTCGGGCACTGTCCTGCTTTCCGTTCGTTAATCTCTAAACCCACGAATATCAGATCTTTCTCTTCTCGATCAATTCCTTGCGTTTCTCTGCAGCGACGAACTGCCCTCGTGGCGCACTCCGCGCACTATTGCCGCTACAGATATTTTCATTCCTGCGAAAACCCTCGACGCCTTCCGAACATCTCTATCCCTTTTTCCCGTTTCTACCATTCTGATTTCCACCCTACCCCAGAGCCGCCAGCGGACACATACACTCCTGAACAATCCGCAATTCTCTCTGCGGCCGTAAACCATATTCCTGAGGTTGGATTTACAACCCGTTCGCTTACCCTGGGGGCTCGAGATGCAGGATACTTGGACGTGTCATTGCAGCTATTTCCGGATGGCGGAGAGATGAACCTGATAACATACTGGTTGAGAAGTCGAAGGGGTATGTTAAGGCAGAAAACTAAGAGCGGAGAGCTTTTTGGCATGTCTGGAGCCGGAGAAATTGGCGGATTAAGCGTGGAGGAGAAGGTACTGATATTGATATTGGAAAGATTAAAGATGAACGAGGAGATAATTGAGCATTGGCAGGATGTGAGTGTTTTCTTCATAGTCTCTACACTTCTGCTACTCTGCAAATTTTGATGCCACTACATTGGTGTGTTTTGACTAACATGACGACCAAAAACAGGCGCTAGCAACCATGTCTTTACCCTTTAATCTTGCTCCGTCAATCTCCGAGCTATCTGCGCTCTCCTCTGACATCCTCTATCTGGCCAACGACCACTCCGTGGACTCCTCATGGTACACAAAGCGACTCTCTGTCGCGACTGTTTACGCCAGCGCCGACGTATTTATGACAGAAGATACCTCCCCCGGATTCTCTGCAACCAAGGAATTTGTTGAGCGGCAACTCAGCGATGTCAACCTTGTTACGAGGACTCTGAGCGACGCTAAGCGGTACTTGGGGTTTGTTGCAGGTAGTGTTGTTGGAGTGGGCAGGAGTTGGGGAATGAAAATATGATAGGCCTATATAGAGATGTATTCTTGTAACTGAGTGGGGAAGGGCGGTGGATAAATGTGGTGTTAAAGTTCGCGGAAAGATGTATAGTTAATTTTGATGTAGGATAAGAGCGTTATTCGGAGCTTCTCAGCAGGAACTTTCATTCTTGTTGCTTTGTACTGTACGTTGGAGACAACAGAGGTAACAGAGAACGGCGGGGTTCAACAAGGGATCTCAGGACCGCTACTGGGGCCTTTTGTATACTTCATTTACAGAGGGACGAAATAACCAAGGCGGAGAACGTTAGTTATTCGGTTGAGTGAAGAATTTCCGTCTCGTTGCGGGTAAAATTTATGGTTTCTCTACTAATGGATATAACCACGAAGGAAAGGCAAATAAATTGGCGCAACTGCAACACTAAAAGGCTTAAATGCAATCGGCGGAGAAGGACTCAACCCCACTTTCTGACTACTCTGCATCGTCATCGATACATGGCATGAAGTTCCCGCGGCGTTTATGGAGATGTGAATATTCCGTACTTGCCGACCCCTTGATATCCACTGGTAACTTCCTATGCATCTTTTCTGTTATTTTCGATTTATGACCTTCAAATCTGCGCAGTTTCTTGACTTTGGAGAACAAGCCCTCGAACTGGCCTCTGATGCCGATGAACTCCTTGTACGCGCGATATGTGAGGTCGGAAGTCCATGGAGCTCCACTGACAAGAGCAGTCTTCTCCGAAGTTCTGCTCAGCAGCCGCTTCCTTTTATTTTGATCCGCTATCTCATTAAGCAGTTCCATTGTCCGGGAAGATATTGTAGCTCCATTATCTTCCATCTCCTTCAAAAGAATATTCACAAGCGGAAGGTCATTGTGGACACGCCAATGGTAGGATATTAATTCGTTAAAAATCTCTGTGTCTGACGCGAGCAGGCGGGCGATGCGCCCACGAGCTTTGATAGCAGCATGCATCTGTATTGTTATTTCCGACATAGGAAAATGAGTGTGAAGTAGCCGGAGAGCATAGAGGAGTGTTGCGGGAAAAGTGTGCAAAACAAAAGGCTTCCGCGGGATACCGACGGGGATATCCAGAGGGTCGCTGAATCGCGAATCGTGGAGGCTGGGTGCTTCTGATGCCATTTCGGTTTTCATGTGACACTTTCGAGATAGGCGCCTATCCAATCGGCTGGGGCGTTTTGTTATAGCCTCATTATGGGGCATGGTAGCAGTTATGACTTCATCTTCAACAGAGAAAAGTTTCAGCATTGCGAATATGCGCTCTTCGCACACCCTCCAGATTCCGATGTCGCCCCTGCCGCTTGATATACAGGCGTCCAGCTCTGTAGTGATTTGCTTGATCGCCCGGTTTCCCAGTTCCTTAGCGAGTTTACCAGGCCCGAATGCCCCCATGCCAGATACTAGTTCATCCTTATCACCAGCCGCAAACCCATATACTTTCCCTTGATATCGAAGAGTTTGTTCTCCAACTTTATTGCGATCTGGCACGTCAACCTCATGCCAATTTTCTGGGATGTCTTCCGGTCTCCGATTTGCTTTCTCAAAAGGAATATAGATCGCTTTTTCTAATGGTGTCTCTCCGATTGTTTGTACGCCGAGAGACTCTTTGGCGCTGTCACCCGGCACGGTCGTTTCTTGCCAAGTTTTAGGCTTAGCTTGTCTACTAGCAGACATTCTCGCGAGAGGCACAGATTTGCCGGACCTAGCATTTGGCATCTTGATCTGTGACCCATAATCACTGTCGCGCGCAAAGGCCTTACGAGCCCTGTCAGGGGATTCATCGACTGGGTCCGACTGATCAAAACGACGACTGTCTTCCAATGCCACCCTAGCTTTTCGTATCTCCGGTTTCCCTCTCGCGTTCTTCTGGGCAGGTGGCACCATACCGGCCAATACATCACCGTCCGAACAGGAAAACATCGAGGATCGCTTTACTTGAGCTCGCACCTCCGAAAAACGAGAACCTGTAAGCGAGACATCGAGTTTGGAATCCGAAGAGGATTTCAAAGTATCGATAGCCGAAGAAAGCAGGTCCCAATCTCGCTCTTTCTCACTGCTATTTCCAGAGTTAGACTGTGAAGGAAGATCGGTGAACTGATTGGGGGAAGCGTTCCGCGATGAGTTGTCCGTTGAACTAGGAGCGGACCATTTGTCAAGCTCTGGGAGAACGCATTCGCCATTAGGATGCTTAAATTGAACGGTGCGTGACTGATATAATCTCCTGGAAGCGGGACAGGAAGAGGGCTGTGAAAACAGGAGCGGCAACGATTTATAACGCAGCGCTGGTCGCAGCGCTGGTCCCATCATAGCCCGAGTGTGATACAGAAACGAAAGTAAAATGCCATCGTTCTGATACGCCCCGAATCCCCGACGTAGGTTACCAACCATGGCAATAGATCCGAATCTGCCGCAACTAATCAATCTCTTCTTGTTCCCTTGTGAGCTTCTGTCGAAATTGAACAACGTCCGCGGTTGCCGTTACCACGTGGAAATTTACGCTATTCCTAAAAAAGAATAAATGGCTTTGATCATGTGATGTCGCGACTTCCGACGCGATTGAATTGAACTGGGAGCCAAAAATCCCGGCGTCGCAAATCAGCCACCCAACATTGAGGGAAGTGGTGTCTGCAACAAGGTCTGATAAAACCACTGAGACCGCTGTTCGACTCCTTCCTCATATTCTTCTTCCTGTAATGCCCGTCACCATGCCTCATACAGATTCCGTCCCAGAGCTATCCGATTTCGAGAAACAGCGCGCAGCCAATATCGCAGAGCGCGATGCGCTTTTGAAAAAACTTACTCAGGAAGCTCAATCCTCTGGATTATTTACCAAAGGACCTTCTACTAAATCCTCCAGGCTATCCACACAGTCGACTAAGAAGAAATCGACTCCACGCATCAAGAAGGAGAATGAGACTCCCGTCCCACGAAGAACCTCATCACGACTTGCTGGATTGACGGCTGATAGCGAGATTGCAAAACGAAAAGCTGAGGAGCAATATGAAGCTCAAAAGGCTGTTGTGCAGGCAAAAAGAATGCGGGTTTCCGGGGATCTTAATGTAGGAGATATAATTGTTGGAGGCCAGAAATGGAATGGGTCATTGTTGTTTGGGGGGGAGGATGCAGCTCCACCACGTTATGTGCGGACCTTTGGCGAGGAAGATATCAAAAAAACGACAGATAAGGAGCTGAAATCCTTGAGGGAAAGGATGAGTGGCTTGAATCTTTGGGAGCCATGGGAGCCAAATCGTGAGTGTGTTGCCGTCAGTGGAATATTACCATTTAGCCCAAAGATATTAACAATGACACGACACAGGGTTGAAAATAACACCGGAAAGAATATATTCAATGGCCTTTCATCCTACTGAGACTAAACCTTTAGTATTCGCCGGTGATAAGCTAGGCAACTTGGGCATTTTTGATGCTTCACAAACGCGCCCTGTTGCGGTGAAAACTGAAGGCGACGAAGACGAAGACGAAGATGATCCTGATCCCGAAATCACGATCATAAAGCCTCACGCCAGGGTTATTAGCGCTATGTGCTTGCACCCTTCTACCCCATCCAAACTTTACACAGCCAGCTACGACGGTTCCATTCGAGCCTTGGATCTTGAGAAATCCGTCACCACCGAAGCCTACGCACCAGCCTCGAAGTCAGACGAAGAAGCAGTGTCCAGCATAGACATGGCGCCTGGCGACCCACACCTTCTATACTTTACGACACTCGAGGGCTTTTTTTTCCGGCACGACACGCGAATGTCGGGAAACGGGCATCCATTTTACGATAAAAACATGAAGAGGAGTAGTACAGACATCTTTCAGCTGTCAGAGAAGAAAATCGGTGGATTCTCCCTCTGTCCCTCACAGCCACACCTTTTTGCAACTGCCAGCTTAGACCGCTTCATGCGTCTATGGGATATTCGGCATCTGTCCAGGAAGAGCCCTGTCCCGATTGGCGAGCATGAGAGTAAGTTGTCCGTCTCGCATGCGGCGTTCAACAGTGCGGGCCAGGTCGCTACCACTTCGTACGATAATACTGTTAAAATCCACGATTTCGGAACCAAGGGTTTCCGTTCATGGAAACCAGGACATACGTTAAGCGATGATGACATGAACCCTACCACGACCCTCAGACATAACTGTCAGACCGGACGATGGGTTACCATGTAAGTTACACTCCCTTGTCATATTTCACTCGAGATGTTGAATTTTCTTCAAACTAGCATGTTATTCTTTCTCCAATACTCTCTTGAAGTTATGTAACATGCAACAACTCTATCCACAGACTAACTCTAATTCTCTCCAGTCTCAAACCACAATGGCAAGCCTCTCCACAATCAAGCAGCATACAACGCTTTTGCGTCGGAAATATGAACCGTTTCGTAGACATCTACTCCGCCGCAGGTGACCAATTGGCCCAGCTCGGGGGTGAAGGGCTAATAACTGCTGTCCCTGCAGTTGCCGTATTCCACCCAACTATGGACTGGGTTGTGGGTGGTACTGCGAGTGGCAAAGTTTGCCTGTGGATGTAAGATGAATGAAGGGGAACGAGGATGTCCAGGCAGCAGAGCGCGGAAGTAGAACACCAGAAAAAGGCAAAGGAATATGCCATCCTTCGGTTTATTTTTTGCAATATCTTGAGGTTATCTCTAGTTGATTCATATCTATGTCGCCACATGTCTCATTTAAATCTAGCATAAACCAAACGGACAAAGTCAAATACAAAGCTCGAATAAATTTACACATAAATATTTTTGTCATATGGCGTAAGTGTGTATTGTATGTTCATCCCGAGGCAAAGCTGCCACCAAACACCACAATGGGCGATTTCCCGTTCCTGCGAAATCTCATTTAATCAGCAATAGGTCCAATCCAAATCAGCCCAGGGAGAAACCATTCCTTTCATCTCGAGTTTCGTCACTAAATCTCCGCTTCTTGATAGGGACAAGTATAGGTCCTGACTCAAGTATATCAGAGGAAAGGTCTGCTGCCCTTTTGGGGTTGTCCAAATTTAAATACAAATCATTCCTATCTGATAAGCCACAAGGAGTTGCGGTGTTGCCAGGGTTTGCTGTTACTGATTCCGATCGAGAACTCCAGGCTGTTAGGGTTGAAGTGGCAGTACTCTTGTTTCGCTGAATATCAGAGGCACAGTCAAGTGGGATTGGGGTTGGGGTTGGGGTTGGTGTTGGTGTTGCAGTGCTGTTATCAAAATCATTTTCATTAGGAGTTTTCGATTGTAAAATGGGAAATTCCCACAGCGGAATCGTTTGCAGTGCCGCTTCCGTTTTGGGACCCGAGGTTTCTTCTTCAGGATTTTCGACGGATTCCGCGGCCGGATCGCTGATGGGCTTGCTATATTCCTCCTTGAGCTTTTCTAGAACAACCTGAATGTTATGAGACACTTGGATATCATTCCTGGGCGCTGTTTTGCGAATGTTCTCAAGAACTGCGTTTCTCACAACCAAGCCTAAAGCCAAAGCAACTTGTCTGGCGACGCTATTACCTACAACTTTCCATTGCTGAGCTGGTGAGCCTACCAAAACCTCATTGTCTGGGAAGCCTTGGGCTCTTCGAGCTTCCATCACACTCATCACTCTATCCTCTTCCCAGTGAAGCCATCTCCCTGTGAACTTGCAAAATGGGGATGGGAATGTGGTAACAGTTGGCATTAACAAATGCGGATGCACCCGACTCCATGCTCTTTGGCAGTTGCGTTGGCGCGCATTGTCTTCTTCCGGGGAAAAGAATCCCCTAGCTACCGCGTCACGTAATCCTTGAAGCCTTGGAGCCTTCGGTATACTGTTGATTAAATGTTGATTGGAAATAGACTCAAACCGTACAGGCCGATGGTCAGGGTGGCTAATGGGAGTTATTCTTGCCCTCCCGATTTTTGGGAGATCCTTTACGGATTCGGAAATTGGCAAGAAGTCAAAAACAGGGACTTCCCAATGTCTCTTTCCAAAAGGGAGGCCATTGGGAGCTTCACCTAAGGACTTTTGCGTTGTCTTCGGCGGATGAGAATGAGTGAGAGGAGGATGTGCAGGTAGTTGTAGTCCAGGTGCAGCAATGACTATGAAAAGTCTGGACCGGCTCTGCGGAGCTCCAAAGCTCCAAGCGTCCAAATTAAGAATTCTAACTTGGTAGCCCATACCAACAAATGTGCATAACAGTTGACATAATGGGCTTCTCTCATGTGTCCGATTTGACATAGCTATCACATTCTCCAAGATTGCGTACTGCGGTCGGTAGAAATCGACGTATGAAGCCACAGATGCTATCATGGATGAGTTTTGCATGGATACTGCGCTTTCTTTGCGGCCATTCACACTAGAGTACCCCTGACAGGGACTCCCGGCTGAAATAAACCCCACATCGCCTAGCTTGGCAACCAAATTACTAGCTTTGGCTTCTCCCTGCAAGGCTTGGAGGAGGAAATCATTGACAGAGCCGAGGAATAAGTGTATCTTTTCCGGATTATCATGATTCGCCCGATATGTAAGCATGGGAACATGGCTCCATTCCACCGCCCATTTATTTTCAATTGCACCCCCTTCTTGGAGGCCCCTATCAAAACTCCCTCCGCCACTAAATATGTTGAGTGCCCGAAGTTTGCGAAAACCGGTGTCCTCAGAATAATTAGGACCTTCTTTGAATCCCACTGGTGGATGTTGTAAAGAAACAAGCTCAGGTCCGTTTTCAGAGTTGATCTCCTGCGCAGTGATATAAAAGGCATCGCCAGTTCCGTCTCGGCTATACGGCACTGGAATAGAACCATCCCGTTTTTGCTCCTCAGTATAGAACCTGACCTGGCACAGTCTTTCAATCTGATCTACATCAATACTTCGAGTCCGATTGGTATAGACAAGCTCATTCGGGCGACAACTAGTATCGTTGTAATCTCGTCCACGGCGGGGAAGTACTCGCACATTCACTAATCCAGATTCGCAGAATTCCAAAATTTCCACTGGCTCGAGATATACTTGATCGGAGTTTGATTTATTCGAGCTTTCAACAAGGACGGTATCGCCAATTGAGAACTCCGGTTTTGATGTGGGTTTTCGACATTGGCAATTGAAATGCTCTTCTTTTAGAGAAGTGAAAGATTCATCCTCCGAGAAATATGTCTGTCGAATGAAAAACTTTGCCCCTTCCTCCGCTTGACAGGAATAAAAAGTCACATTGACCTTTTCAACAATCTCAGAAGTATCAATGACACTATCGTGACAGTTGCAATGATCGGACAAAAAGAGTTCATTTGCATGAGGGTACGTCATATCTGCGCACACAGTCTCGGAAGGCCGATACAGCCAAATTAGACTTAATCTCGGTGAGCGCTTCTCACGGGGATGCACATCCTGAACCACAGCATACCACAAGTCTTCCGTGCCCTTCCAACGCGTCTGATGATCCCTTCGGATGGCAATGACATCCTTTGGACGAACCGCTACAGCCCCATCGAGACCAACAGCACATTCCGAGGCCATCTTCTTCACTTCGTTTCCTTTCCGTAGAAAGCCAAGCTCTTGCAGCCGTGACTTGTGATTTGCTGATACCTGAGGATCAAGCTCCACGGAAGTAAGGCAATTTGCCCACACCATGTTTTTGAAACATTTATATACGTATGGCGTGACAACAGTCCGCTTTGCTTTTTGCGGTTGCATTTGGAGAACATGGTCGTCCTGAGTAACACCAAGCTCAGCCCAAAGTGGATGAGAGCAGTAAGTAGGGTCCAAATCCCATGCTTGCTTCTCGAGAAAATTGGAGTAGGAATTGATAGCGTGTCTAAAGTCGAGACTTTTGTATTCAGCCATCCATTGTACAAAAGACGGATCCGGCCCGTGCAGGTCCTTAAGCCAGGAGGAAAAGTCGTTTTTAAAGTGGCGTAACGTGACATTCTCATGATGTTGGAGGTAGTCAATGAAAAACTTTGCAAGATTAGCAAGCCAGCAAAATGATTGATGGTAGTCTTTATATTCTACGGCGGGCGTGCCCAATTGATACCATAGGTCTCCGAGCGATGTAGATGCGCCGTAAATCGACTGGATCCACATATCTTTCCCGACATGATGCTGCTCGATGTCTCCATATCCTCCAATTGACACAAAGCGGAATGGCACTTTTTCCAGGTACAGTCCCTGGCTCCCCGGCACTTTCAGCACCCCATCAAAGAAAAATTTGACAGTCTGCTTTCCAAACCTTCCAGCCACCTGATCGAGTGAAACCATGCCATAGGGGGCCGGCGAGTCCTCGGGCGACGCGTAGATCACGAAGTCATCCAATTGAAGACTAATAAATTCGCTCTCCTCATAAGTCTGCTTATCGATTCCTGACTCATTGATCAACGTCTCTACTGCTTGACTTTCAGTAGACTTCGGTTGAGTCGATTGATGACCGTGGTAGGATGACTGTGGATATGTCAGTGGTGGTAGCGAAATACCAGCCAATTCCTCGATCGGGCTGCCATGACCTTTGGCAGTTTCAGAGAGCTGAGTTGTTTGTTCGAAATTCAGTTCCTGTTGCTGTTGGGAGACGATATCTAGATCTAGATCTATTTTAAGATCTTCTGAACCCGTCGAATCAACCATTTCATCATATCATAGGATGAAGAACACGGCTAAAAAATACATATTAGTTTTGCGCCGTCGATCCCTCTTTCTGCTCCGGACAAAGACACATCACACATCACGTACATGCTGGGTTGGAGGAATTGACGGATGTGCGATCAGAAGAAAAAGAGAGGAACAAAGATAGACGGTAAAATGGACCATTGCGGGCTCAATGACCTCGAGATTTGGAAAAAGGAAAGTTCTCTCAACGAAGTGGTTGTGCCGCGTCGCCCTCGCGTTTTATCAACCAAACGGTAATACGGGGGTGTGTTATCGCCATGAACCAATCAGCTGCGTAGTATAACCAACCAACTAGCTTAGAGATGGCTTAGTCATTCCATTATCTGCCAATCCGCTGCTAAGTTATGATTAGTTAGTGTGTAGTATAGTGACCCCTGAGGATTTGACCATTCTTTTGATCCTATAACTAGGAAGCATTTGGTTATTTTTGACTGTTCTGGAGGAGAAATGGACGGTTTCTAATCATTCTACAAGAGAATTCGAGTTATTCTGGAACCACTCCGCCACTCCCACGCTGAATGCTACAGAGTTCGACCCAGGAACAAACTCAATCTCGTGGAAAGGCCACAAAATCACTCAGCCTGTTCCGCACCGCTCACCCACTGAATACTTAACACATCCACACACACTTGCGTATGCCTGTTTTCCCGACCTTTGCTGTACTCAAAATACTTTACACAATTTACGCAGCAATAAATTAAAAAAAAATAACAGACAAATATTAGAGAAAAGAAAAAGAAGAAGAAAAAGAAGAAAGCTGCGGGTACAAAGAATGGATGCTGAGAAGAGTTGACGGGAAGGGCCTGAGAGGGGAGAGGAAAGAACTAAAAATCCTCTGGACAAAAATGCATGAAGACGTTTTGAATAAGACTCTGAAAAATAAGTGTATGTTGGGTCGACATGGAACCAAGCCGTAGCAAAAGTGTTGTATGTTTCCTTGGTAGCTCTGTATACAAAAAAGAATATGCTAAGTTGGAGACTAATAATAGTTGCCTGGATATCATTGAAATATATAGATAAGAAAGAATAGAATAGGTAGGTAGCCCCCGCGCCCAGATTAGCATGGAAATACTGTGGCTGAAAGAAGCCTTTACAAGTTCTTTGCGATCAGTGCATGAGAGCATGCAAGGCTCGGAAAGGAATATATGGACGGGAAGTATCGGGAATCTTGTTTTGCATGCAGAAGAGACATGACAAGAAAGCATTACTTTCTTGGGAGGTTCAATAATGTAAGAAGAATGAGAGATAAGGTAGAGTTGGGGAAGGAGTTAAAAATGTGGTTTGAGGGGGACTGCTTAAAAATGATACAGCTCTGGACAAAACCCTCACAAAAAAGATCCAAGACAAAGTGAAAATTTTGCAGACAGTGTTAGATAATATGAGAAAACAAATAAACATCCCATTAATTCATAAATGCATTCGACAGACACAGGGATAAAGGAAAGACAAAAAAAATGAACAGATATGAAATTGCAAGAAGTGGATAAGGCAATACGCTTTCTGCATGGCTGTTCCCGTTTTGAATGTATTGTTGATATGGTATTTTAGGTCATCATCGAAGTCAAAATTCATTTCGTGGTCCAACATCCCCTCCTGTTTCTTTCGACCGCGTTCCCGGTCCTACGCATACAGGCTCCTTGTCCTTACCCTTATTCCTTCGAGAGAAAGTTTCGAAAAGCCGGTATTTGCTCGCGGCATCCCTTGACACACTAGCTTGCCTTCCCTTGGCCGTATCGGTATACTCGAGAGAATAAGTTGAGGAGTTTTTCGAACTGTCCGCACTCTCTCGTGGTTCATATTTCTGCAAAGAGGACGAGAAAGGGAGTCGTCCATGTTCCCAAGTAGCTGATGCGGAACTCGAAGGGGTATCATCGTCAGCTTCATCACCTGCGCTGACATCTGTCGACCTGTGTGGGAAGGAAGGCCGTGGAAAGTAGCCCATCGAGTTCCGATTGCTACCAGCAAAAGTTGAACCCGCACTGCCGACTATTGTTTCCATGCTGGGCGTGTTTGCCTTACTAGAGCTCTCCTCGTAGAACGTTGAGGATTTTTCCATCTGCTCAACCAACTCCTCCCATCTCAATTCCAGATTGCCGCTTGGTCGTTCCGCCTGCTCTGCTCTGTTCAAACAATCCTTGGTTCGTTGGTGAAGCGCGACGCACAGTTCATGGAATTTGATGAGGTTCGCATCGACGTCTGGAAGCTCGCTGAAATTAGTTGGCACTAAATCAAGCCATAATCTCACCAGCAATGCAAAGCTTCTGGCATGATCGATGAGAAATGGCAAACTAGGGAAACCCTCGCGTGAGGTAGGCGGAAGACGGCCTAGGATCTGGATAGGTGTCGCATAGGAAGGGTTGACAATCTGCGTCGGGCGCTCGGCTGGTATGGAGCAGATCGAATCTACAAATTCTTTGAACTCGACTCGGTGAGATATAAGAAATTTGTTCATTGGCTCCATCCAAGGTTCTTTGTTGCCAAAGGTCGTCAGGTTTGCTAATCCTTGCAGCGCTTTGGCGACGAGAGTGAGTGTGCGTTGAGCACGCGGGCGGGGATGTTCTAGTGATAGTATGTTAGCAGCTGGCACACATAGAAAAGTCTTTTTAAGCGCTGTAACCATCACAAACCTTTGAGCAGTCCAAATAATTTAGGGTTTAAAATCGCTGGGCAAAAGAAGCGTAGGAAAAGAAAACCGGAAACGCTACTATAGGTAACTGATCGGAGGAAATCGCCATAACGGTCTTCTGCGCAAGCTCTGATATGTCGGAAGATATGTCTCAGCTCGGCAGGACATCGCGCCGAGGAAGCGGCAATGGACGTCCACACACTGCTAGTAAGGATGATAAGATTCCTCCAATTCCGTTCTAGATCTTCAGGTCGCTGTACTCGGTTGGGATCGATTTCACAATCCGGATCGCTCTCGTCGATATCTCTAAGCTTGGAGCCGATTGTTTCCTCAAGATATTCCTGTCCTAGACGGCGCATATGTAAATCCAACGCTTTCGTTAAAAGTGAATTGCCTCTGAAAAGCAGGTTTGCTTCGACCGTGGCTGATCTACCTAGGTCACGCACTAGGACCTCCCTTTCCTGTCCAGATTCATAGGAGTCGTTTGAGTGAATTCGACTGGTGTATCTTAGACGACTAGCCGAGGACTCTTTGTGAATGCCATCAATTTCATCCTCCACCAACGCCATTATCCACTCCCCAGCTTGGCCTGAGACCTGGAATATGTCTAACAGGGTTTCTGATAGCGGTCGTAGTTCCGCAGGGATAACCTGCGCAAGCTGTATAGTAAGCCCATTAGGGAATGAATGCAGTAGCTCTGACATCGCCGCATAGTCTTGAGACACCAAAACGACAGTTTCCTCAAGTTGGACCTTCATCAGCATTTCTCCGGCCTGTTGCTCATTTTCATCAAGTATGGGCCACCACTTTTCCACCCCCGCTGCATCTAGCTCATCCAAGCGCAAGTCGATTTTACCGTACGTAGCGTCATGCGAAGCAACCTCAACATCCCCAACCGTCATTGGATTGACTTCCCCTTGGTTGAGCGAATAGGGACCATGGGTTACAAGCGTCCACTCCTTTTGCGTAGGGGTAAGCGATTTCACAATAACTGACGCGCTGGACAGGACGGGTGGCAGATCGTGGAAGCTAAAGTCTTCTCGCCAAAACGGCGTCGAGGTAGTAGCTTTTATGGCGGTTTTCGCTCGTATCTCCCCATCAAGCAAGACCTCAGCATAATACTCCCCAGCCGCCGGATTTTGCTTCTGAGTTTTTCCTATTGTCGCTTGGGTTTTCATGATCTTTTTATTTTTCGGGGTATCACTGTCGTCTTTAAGTGGTGCAGTCATCTTTGCCTCGATCACCCGCACTGATAAAAGTCGTTCAATGCGGAACATGTCGTTCAAGAAAGTTGGGTGGGGTGTAGAGGTCTGACTTCGAGGGTCTTCATTTGATGGGAATTGTTCGGGGCCGTATAATTCTGGAATGGTAAAGGCTCGAAACAACACAAACCAAACTTCAAAGAGAACTCGAGTCTCGAAAGAGAGGTATATCGGTCGTGTGGTAACTTCTGCACCTGAATGGGCGGTGTACTGTGGGTAGATAGCAATGCAGAACTCGTCTTCAAGAACGGAAGGGTCTAACTGTTGAATAGCGCAGCGGGAAAGCTGAGAGAGCTGAATAAAATGTATGGGGGTAATGTCCGACTCTGGGAAAATCTTGACATGGCCGTTTTCTTGTAAAGAGCAGCTCACCCTTCGCCATGAAGGAGATAATGCTCTCTGCTGCTTGAATGTTGATACCCTCGCTGCAGACGTGGGTAGATGCACTCCAGCCGCGCTAGGCTTATCCCAGAGAAGCATTTTTCCAACCTTAATAATCGCAGCATCCTTCTGCACTGTACTTTCGGAGTTCCTTCGACGGTCTATGAAACGGCGTTCGCCAATAGTCACAGTTTGCGGTTTGGTCATCTTATCCCGTACACCTTTTGGACGTATGGGCTGCCAGCAGAGCAGTGCTGCCAGCCAAGAATCGAACGTTTCGTTCACATGGGGCCGTAGCTGAATACCTAGAGTAGAAGAATGCGTTGAGACGGAAAGATAAGAACTCTGGGTTTCTGTGTCGTACAGCGTCCGAACATGACAACCGCGGAGATCCGGTATCAATGTCTTCGCAAGCGCTGGCTCGCCCTTAGCCTGGTAAATTAAGCTCCCAGTCGCGACATTGATAGCACAGTATCCAGAAGTCCAAGAAGCAGTGACAGAAGTGCGGAAATACAGTATGCCGTGCATTCGACCGCAAGTTGTTTTCATCAATTGGAGGATCTTCGAGGAATCTGTATTTAGAAACGGCGACCCTAGCGCAACATCAATGCGAGAAGCACTAGACATTAATGCTTGTCCTCCTGGGGGCGGCTTAATTAATTTCTGCTGCCGTTGGGTGGGAGACTGTATAATAGAAGGATAGCCAATGGACCCTACCGAATCCTCTGGGGATTTGGTACTTGAAGGGGAAGTAGTATTGAGGGAGCCTAATCTAGTCCGTGTTCTTGAGAGGAAATTGGGGGACACCTCACTTCTCTGATCTTCCAGGGTGGTTGTCTTCGACCTCAACCTTCGACTCCTCTGCTCCGCTGGGGTTTCGTCCTCCTCGCCGGTAGAATAGAACGGGGTAAACTCACGCCTCGCTTCCGAAGGTTTGCTGCGAATAGTTGTGCGGGGCGATACGGCTGTGCTCGGTGGAAGGTATTCAGTATCGGAGGCGAGGGAATTGCTTGCTTGGTCTTGCGGAGGATCGGGGGTTACCGTTCGGATTGTGGAGTCTTGAAAATTGTCAGGATACACAATCCCATGACGATCCTTGGAAGAGGATTTTTTACTGGGTCTTCGTTCCACCGGACGACTATGACTCTCCTGGCGAGCAGAGTTCCGCTTGAACCCATTGCGACGCTCTGAATCCATATTTCCTGTGTTCCTCAACTACGCACCAACGGTCCGCACAAACCTATCGGGGATCAGAAGGCATATACGAGCCGGGCGGTCGGGTTGGGGAAGGGCGAAAAAAAAAAGGGCGCTGCCGTGAGAATGGTGTACAGACGATCGGCCAAGTCTACTACCAGAGGTGCAGGTCATGCAAGCGTCAATATAACAGTGATTATGAAAGAGATATATCAAAAAGCGCAGATGGCTCCTTATTTCACCCATAGACAAGGGAGTTTTTCGAGTGACGAACCGATTCGTGGCACATCGGTCTAGCTGACGGCGAGTTTCGTCGTAGAATATGAGGGTTAGACGTCGAGAGCTCGGCCGCCAAATAGATTCGATCGAGTGTTCTTGGAAGTCTGGAAATCTCCAAATGGAGTTACAGGAACAGCTGGTCATCACCGTTCATCGTTAGGGTCGCCACGAACAGGATGCAGGATGGTGATGGGCGAGAAGCAGCAGGAAGGCAAACCCCAAAGGTACAATGAGGGCAAGAGACCACAAACTTGGAGATACAGCGTTTCTAGCGAGCCAGCGGGATCCAGGAAGAGAGAAAAAAATATCGATCCAACCAACCTTGATCAATGTTACCGGAATTGCCGACCAACCAACCAGGTTGCGCCCCGAGCAAAGGGCAACAACGTACCGGGGATATGGTAAGCAGGCAACGGTCAAGTAACGGTGATAAGAATATAGATCGGGGAGGAATCTGAAGGAGCTAAGAAAGGTTGATTTGAGGGGGCGGTAGCAGGTATTAGTTATAGGTAGTTATAACGGAAAGGGAGAAACAGAGAGGGAAAAAGAGAGCGATATATCCAAAACACCCTGGGCACACACGGAGACACACGCACACACCACTGGCACCGGAGCGCATGAGTGAGCGGGCAGCGCAGTTATGCCACGGGCAGACCACCAATCGCCATAGACAGAGCAGGCCGGTGGTGCTGGTGGTGCTGGCAGCGAAGTTGGGTGGTGATGGAATGGCTGAAGAGAAGTGGTGGTTGGGTTTGGCTGCTGGCGATCAACCAGGGCTGCGCTCTTCCCAATCCAGGCGCTGGGGGAATGGGCACACACGGACATACACCACGAGAGAAGTTAGGGAACGCTCAGCTTACAGCGACGGCAGACTGCAGAATGCAGACCGCAGACCGCAGACCGCAGATGAATCGGAATCGGAGAGTTTGGGGCTACCGACCGAACACATCCATGGATGCACTGTTGACAATTTGTGACGTCCATTCATTGCCTTGACAAGAGGGCGGTGGATACTCGAAGAGACTATTTACACCACCAATTTGTATTAAATATTACGCCAGCAAACGCTGGCGCTGTTGGTGCCTTGCCTTCTCCCCTCACTTCTCTCCTTGTCTGTTCAGACACCTTCTTGTGGACGTCCTCACTAGGACAGATCCATTGCCCTACTAGTAGGCTAACTACACGCCCCACGTTGGCTTCAAGGATATACTGCGTACTTGCCTCGTTATAAGCAAGCAATTGGCTGGAGGGTGGAAGGCCGAGCTGATATCCTCTTTCTCCCTCGGATTTTCTCCGGCGCATGCACAAACAGGTGGAAGAAAGGTCTAAAATCAGATCATCACACAGGAGGAAAAATGCCGAATTGGTGCAAAAGTGGCATGGATACAGGAACAACGGACTCAGGTCAGCGGAAATGAGCTTCCTAGCGAGTGCACTCCGGGCAGAAGTGCGGCGTTTGGGGGTTTATTATTATCGTTTCTGGGAGAGAATAATGAGCCAAAACTAATTTTCTTGATGCTGGTTCTCCGGGTCCCTGGTCCGTTTCTTTCTAACCCTGTCTATTCCCTACCGATTCCGATGGGTGCGGCAGCATTAACTAACCATTAATATTAGTTATTAACTAAATACTGGCATCAGTTCCAACTTCCTATCGTCAAAAATGTTTGCGATATGGATCTCCACTCGCTCCTTAATAAATAACTGGCGGCCATATTTTGTTCAACGTCAGTCAGCACATCTCTCCCCGGCCGGGGGCTGGGGGCTGTGGACTAAGCTCAGATAATTGGGGGCCACTTTTCCTTTTTCTTTTTCCTCTCCGTTTTTTCTTTTCCTGGGGGAAGATTTTTCAACCAACCCGACGAGCCAAAATCCAGCGGGTCAGATGACTCCGACCACACAATCGTTGACAAAGTTCGATGTAAGTCATGTTTTGTCTCGCAGCGAAGTTCCACCATACGTTTCCAGAACACGCCGCCCAGGCTTCTTCGAGTTGGGGGCGAGGGGCTCTGTGAGCTATTATTGGCTCCCCGCTCTCCTCAGGCGGCAGGCGTTATGTCATCGCTAGGTCCGCACCCAAATACTAGTATTTTCGCGATCCACTCCACGGGCCATCGGGATTGATCAAACCAATTATTTAACATCCAGCAAAGGAAAGATTTGGTATATCGATTTGATGCCTTGCGCGTGGTCAATTAGCTTGCGTTGTCATGCCTGGCAGGGTGTTTTTTTTTTTTGGGTCACTACTACAGGTATCCGAACCGTTCACCACACATTAGAGAACAAAGCCCTTATCAAGGCTTTCCCGCTTCCCGTGAGACTTGGCCCGCGATATTCCAGACAAAGGAAACCCCACCAGCTGGCAACTGAGTTCGCACGTCAAACTCAAACCTACAGCCCCGTATTTGACAGGGCTCTCCTCCGTAGTACGTATTGGCAGAAACGATACTACGTAGCACGCATGTCTGAGTAGCTTGATGATGTTTCTTTTTTCCTCACTGAACACCAAGTGCTAACCCTACAGCTAGCCCATTTTCCAGATTCTTGCTCTCAAGGCGAGACGGTAGGGCGCAATTAAAGGAATGGTGCGAACAGTTAATAATCGGCGGCTTTCACGGCCCACTTGCAAATATATTGTCAAACCTTGACTAGATTGATGCTTGTTGTAAAATGCAACGTTGATTAATTAGAATAAAAATTTTTAAAATTAAAAAAAGTAAAAAATAAAAATAATAAAAAAATACAAGTTCAAAAGAAGGAGGAAATTAAATCACTGAGTAGATATATATACTCGAAGGAAATTGCTTCAGATGATAACAATCTAGAGTACCACAAATCAACGTCCTGAGGAAAGTACAGACCCTTCCTTACCTACACGGACATAAAAGCATTCTAGATCACAGCATATGCTCTATTCAAATGCTCTTGACTTCATAAATCCATGGATTTTGTAGCAGGCTTTGGGAATGATGCTCCTCTGCATGGGATGGCCAATGTATTTATTTATCTTAACCAGAATGAGCACCCGCAGGTTGGTTTATCATAAGCTCTGCTTGCAAGCTAAGCAAGAGAAACATGAATACCTTCATGGTAATGATAAATGATGATAACAACAATAATAATAGCTAGCTGCTTGAATAAATACCTTTTAATGGTCTGGTCTAGATCATTCATTCCTTTGGTACAGTTTCCTTCAACTGCAGCAGATTGTAATTTTCTGTCATGGACAAGAAGCAGCATGATTTACTGGTGCATCACCCCCACAAGACCACCTTTGTTGAATGCTGACCATCGCTGTCACCCATTTTACAATAACTCATCATTAATCACATTTTTTATGTTTTTTAAATTGGTAGATGATTCAGAGGACCCTGGGCAATACTCCGAGAAGGTCATTGAATATAATATCAGATTGTGTGGGATTTATAGATAAATCTTGAAAATGGGGCTGAAAGTCTTTGGTAGGGTTGGCACGGGTGTTACAGCGATGGCCAGCACCCACAAAGGTGGTCTTGTGGGGGTGGTGCGCGAGTATTGAGAATCCATCTGTAAGAGAGCCGCTGTGATCGCTATTTGGCCCAGAGGAGGGGATTAGTCGTGGTAATTGATTTTCCTATTCCTATAACATAGTCTCAGTAACACACCTGCTTTTAAAGTCGGGAAGATGGCATCCTAGTGTTACCAATCTGAAATTCGTGCCCTTCGAAAGTGGCCTTCACAAATGAAAGCCCACCCCAGAGCCGCAAGGAGGTATTTCGAAACAACTGGGGGTTCCAAGCAATCGGGAGGTAAGGCTGATAGTCAACTAGTAAATGCCTGCTGGTCCATGCAGGTGGGTTGAGGGGGTTTCTCGGAACCAGTTTTGAGGCTCGGCTAACTTTGAATCGATTCGTGAAGATTAAGGTTATTTCAACACCATTAATCGCACGTTTGTTTCGCATAGCTTTTCGAATTCATCTTGGATAACGACGGGTATGGTGAACATTTGAGTAGCAGATTAGGTTACCTCCGTTAGACCACTATGAGAGTTCAAGCTCCTGTCTCTTATACTACCGGATCGTGAGTACGGAATCGGACAAAAGCCGATGAATCATAAATGTGTTGCCCGAGTGGAGTTTATGCAATGGGAAGATGGGGAAATGTATGGAAAAGCTAAGAGGCCCTATGAATTCGCGAGCGCTCTGGTCAACCTTAAAGAATATCAGGTCGAAGTAATTCTGAGGCAGTAAAAGTAGCGTGAACGACTTTCGACTTCTGCGTAGATTGTCACCCCCACCATGCCCTATGTGGAGAGTCTATAATTTCATTTCTTGAATGAGATTATTTCAGTGGGAGTGCCTTGCGGTTTTGAGCTCCGCCTCCAAAGTATTTCTCCATTTCGTCGACATCCATCATGGAGTATAGATGATGAACAAAGTGAATATCTGCTCCAAGCTTTATGTAGCAAATTACATGTGCACTGCGTATTTGATACTAAATATGAAAAAAAAAAAAAAAAAAAAAACGAGGTCTTATTTCTTTTACTACGCGGATGGGCATCTGACGCGCTAGGGGTCACATGTTCCAAGCCCAAATTCCCAGGCAATTCATATGTCATCGGCCGGGTCTCCTGCCCCGAGACCTCATCATCGACCTCGTTTAGCTTAACATACTCTTCAGCAAGGCCACCAACTATATATAACATGACCTTGATATTGTCGTTGTCGTAGTCATGGTTCGAATATTGCCCTTCTATCGCCAACTGTCTGCGTTGGTGCCACTCGAGTCGTTTGATCATGACCTCGAACCTCATTTCCCGCTTCCTTCCCGCCAACAGTACTACCTCGCCCTCCATCTATGAAACCATACAGCAGCACGACGAGAATTCAGACTCTGATCTTGAGGAACGGGCGGGGATGGCGCTTGATGAGGAAAATCTTGGAGGCCCGTACGAAGACTACGAGCTAGAGGAAGCGTTAGCAACGGCCACAGACACCCACTCCACTACCCAAAGCACACCATTATTTCTTCACCGGAATCCCCGAGAGACTCCTCAAGGTTTCCTGGGAAGTCCCAAAACTCCTCGTAAATCTGACCGCCATAAATGGCGCTTGTCACCTCCCAGACCGGTGGAAGACGATAGAGATGACGATGACGTTCCTGCTTCGTTGCTGGTGGAAGGGGATGACGATGACGTTGGCCCACAAGACCTCGCTCCCCCGCCTCCCCATGCTCCTCCCAGCCGGAATATCCACGATAATGATGAGCCTCTTCTGGGACCATCGACGCGAGAGACTCGAAACCACTGGGATAGGGTGAAAACACATCAGCCAATACATCCTATACCCCCTAGGATAGTTCCCGTTCCCACTCAAGCTGGTGGCCAACGTCGTGGAGGTCTAGCATTTGTTGACCCAAAAGAAAAAGCTATGTGGAGATGGGCAAATGTGGAGAATTTGGATAACTTCCTGGCAGATGTTTATGATTACTTTTTAGGGAATGGGATAAAATCCATCCTCTTGAGCCGGGTTTTGAACCTTTTGTGAGTAAGCATTTTCTTTTCATCTCATGTAGTCCTATATCCGGATGAACTGAAGTAGCTAACAGTGGGACAGGACCCTAGCGTTCGTAGTCGGTTTTACAGTCTTCCTTACCAACTGCATTGATTATGGACGGGTACCCCATGGTAAGACCATGTCGGATATAGTCGTACCCCAGTGCGTCCGGAAGATGTCCGCTTCCTCGACCTTCCTCCTCTGGCTGTTTTCCATTTTCTGGATTTATCAAGCTGTTCGATACGTTCTAGATCTACGACGACTCTATCACTTGCACGATTTTTACCACTATCTCCTAGGTATATCGGATACAGATATTCAAACAATATCATGGCAAGAAATCGTGAGTCGACTGATGGCGCTACGCGATTCAAATCCGTCAACCGCAGGAGCTGTGTCTGCAAAACATAGGAAATTTTTGGGTAGCCAATCAAAGCAACGAATGGACGCCCATGACATCGCCAACCGTTTGATGAGAAAGGACAATTATCTTATTGCGCTTTTCAATAAAGATATCTTGGATCTGACCCTTCCGATTCCGTTTCTCAGAAACCGTCAACTTTTCTCACGGACTCTAGAATGGAATCTCCACTTTTGTATTTTGGATTATGTGTTCAATGATCAGGGTCAGGTCAGAACCTTATTTCTCAAGGACACCCATCGGAAGGCTTTAAGTGACGGATTAAGAAGACGATTTCTGATTAGTGGACTTTTAAATATATTTATTGCCCCTTTTTTTCTCATCTACTTTATGATGCATTATTTCTTCCGCTATTTCAACGAATATCAAAAAAATCCTTCCCAAATTGGCTCCCGCCAATATACCCCTTTGGCGGAGTGGAAATTTCGTGAATTCAACGAGCTGCAACACCTATTTCAACGACGAATCAACATGTCATACCCATTTGCGACCCGATACATTGACCAGTTCCCGAAAGACAAGACCGTCCAGATATCACGCTTTGTAGGTTTTATTGCCGGTGCATTGGCATCAGTTCTTGCGCTGGCTTCTGTTGTCGATCCGGAGCTTTTCCTTGGTTTCGAAATAACCCATGATCGAACTGTACTCTTCTATCTCGGTGTGCTGGGCACAGTGTGGGCAGTCGCACGAGGAATCGTACCGGAAGAGACCCTAGTCTTCGATCCTGAATTTGCGTTACGAGAGGTGATAGACTTCACTCATTACCAACCAGCGCATTGGCAGGGAAAACTGCATAGTGACGAAGTAAGAACGGAGTTTGCAATGCTGTACCAAATGAAAGTGCTCATTTTCCTGGAAGAACTTCTCAGCATGATCTTCATTCCATTTGTGTTGTGGTTCAGCCTGCCAAAGTGCAGTGACCGCCTGATCGACTTTTTCCGCGAATTCACGGTACATGTGGATGGACTTGGTTATGTGTGTTCATTTGCTGTGTTCGACTTTAAGAAGGGCACCAACGTCATCCCTCAAAATCAGGATGCCCAACAAGGGCCTTCCCATGATGCTGGTCAAACGGATCTTCGAAATGATTATTTCTCGACAAAAGATGGAAAAATGTTAGCATCATACTATGGCTTTCTTGATAACTACGCCAACAATCCGCGACCGGGGGCTCCGTATATCCACGCTCCATATAGACGGCGTTTTCACCCCCCACCTGCATTCCCTGCTCTGGCGTCCCCGCCTCTGATGCCTGACATAGGAACCGGCCGGCAAGGCCGATGGGATGCATCACAACGTTCTATCACCCGACAAAACATGACCCATGCTGGTGGGTATTCCGTAACACCACGAACACCTCGGTTTGTTACCACAGCTGCAGCTGGAGCGCACAACTCGCCACTCCCTTCAGTCCTTCTAGATCCACACCACCAACCATCGGCGTCTGGCTTCCGTTCCTTCAACCGAAACGTTGCACAGTCCAGGTACCGCCCATCGCGCCAGACGCATCCCATAAATGATACAATTCGAGATGAAGATGAACCATCGACTACTAGTCAGATAATCCCGCACCTTAACAAACAGCCCTCTCATATTACAACGGAATCTAGCGGTGCTGATGATAGCCGTATGGAAGAGTCATGGCGGATGAATCTCGCTGATGGTGACGGTGAAACTGATGAAGAAGCTGAGAATGTCCAAGATGTAATTGGAGGCGCGGGCGTTCTTGGGTTGATTCATCAGTTCCAGAAAGTCAGCAATGACGGACGCAGTGGCGGTGGAGTCGGCATTTGAGCAGCCGACTTTTGTTCTCTTCTTTGAAGAGAGCATGCAGCCCAGGAGTTCTCTGGGTTAAAGCTATTGCATTTCATCAGCTTCCAGTGTCGTCTTGATCATTTTTATTTGTATACCCCAACTTTCTAACGTCCACAATTTATCCCTCCTGCCATCCAACTTCGCCCGGTCTGAATTATGTTACAGTTATCCTGTGTCCCCCTTGTACACGAATACTCTTTCTGTTATTTTAAATATGGACAGCGTTGGTGTTGGTGTTTGTTTTCTTAATTTCATACAACCCGATCGGTATATTCATACAATAACCAAAGCAAGAGGGGGTGAGTGTGTTGGAGTACTGCTCAAATATTGGAGATATATACATTGATAAACATAAACCTACATAGGTTTGGCTATGGACACCTGGTTTAAGAAATTATAATCGATATAGCTTATTTGGAAAGCATATTTATATAGCGATTTGCTATGAGATATCATACATGGACTGTTGCCTAAGTCTCTCTTCAAGAAGGGTTAACAGGTGGATCATGTCGTACTATGTGAGGACAATTAAGCTCTTTGTAATCTGTACTTGGAAAGTATTTGGCGATAGTAGCACCAAAAGCATTCAAAGCTTCAAGTTTCCTTGATATCTCTCTCTCCTTTCCTATTCTCTAACGAGTAATTCCAAATCTACACTATTACCTTTAAACCGAAGGGAATCCTTCATACAATAACATGGGGGTGTCCCGGTAATTATTTCAAGCCACTTGTGCTGCATATCGACAGCACAGTATCGGCCTTTGTTCTTGGCGGCCGAACAAGGCCCGGCCTGGACTGGAGCACGACAATCCTATGTACGCAGTAGACAACCTACTTGCAAAAGCTCCTAGTGTTTTTATTTCTCGGCCTCACGTCAATTGCTGTGTGAACGCCCATACTGTACGGAGTACTGTGCACTGGACTGGCTGGCCGCCAAGAAGCTCTCAAGCTAGACCAATCAGAGGCCGCATCGGATATTTTACTCCTCCTATTCTCATAATATACAAGCTATTAATTCAAGGATTGCAAAGAAAGCCCTTCCAACTCTCCAAGGCCACCTCGTGTGAGTATTTAGCACGCCTTTCCTGCAAATAATTGGCTGCCAGGAGGAAGTTGTTCTTTTCCATCCCTATTCGATGGTAAGAGTTCAACGGCGGAAACGCAGGACGACCACACGCTCCGCCTCCCTAATCGAATAACATCCTCTAGCTCCTTCTTTTCATTATGCCTCGTTTCCGCCGATACAGAGTATTTGTAGTTTTCGCCGTCATCAGCGTTGTCTCCTTCGTTCATTTCTCCCGGATCCTCTATGGGTCTACGCCCTCAACTTTCTCCAACGAATCTACACGGATACAAAAGCAGAAACCTCTTCCACCACCTCTGCCAGCTCCTCCGCGTCCTATTGCAGAACCCCCTCGTTCCACACCGCTAGCTGGGAATCTGGAAGACCATGGCTTCGCACCAGAATCTACAACAGCGGTTCCTACATCTAACCCTACACCAGCGGCTACTCAAGTAGCGAACCCGCCGCCAGGTCAATCGCCCGTTCCTCACTCACCACAGCAAGAATCAACCAAATCAGATCCGCAGACGGAACCAATTTCCCCTCTGCATGAGGAAGATGAGCTTCAATCTCCTGGTCAAGGGAGGGTGGAAGTTGATGGCTTCAACAAGACCAAAATCCGGTGGGAAAAACAGCCCGAGCATTACCCTGTTCCACCGGAAAACCTCATTCGGCTCCCTAAAGGGGCCCCGAAGACACTGCCCAAAATCCAATTCGAATTTCCAGAAGAATCACCAGCAGCCAAAGCTGATCGCGAGGCGAAGCTTGCCGTAATCAAGGCGTCCTTCAACCATTCCTGGACGGGGTATAAAGCGGAAGCATGGGGTCACGATGAGCTGCGTCCTGTTTCTGGTGGATATCGAGATCCATTCTCGGGATGGGGCGCCACGTTGGTGGATGCCTTGGATACGCTTTGGATCATGGGCATGGAAGCTGAGTTTGAAGAGGCCGTAGAAGCGGTCAAGAAGATTGATTTTGCTACTAGCCCAAGGCGGGATATCCCTCTCTTTGAGACGGTGATTCGCTACCTAGGGGGCCTCATTGGAGCCTATGACATCTCGGGCGGTAAATATCAGATTCTACTCGATAAAGCTGTCGAACTTGCAGAGATACTGATGGGTGCATTCGATACTCCTAATCGAATGCCCGTTACCTACTATCTTTGGAGGCCGTAAGTTGACCATGTTTCGTCTCTTTTTAACCTTTTTTGAAGAATTCTGTCTCTGATGCTGAATTTTTCTGTAGGAGAATGGCGTCACGAAAAAAGCGTGCAAACTCTAGAACCGTAACCGCGGAAATTGGGTCCCTGGCAGTTGAATTTACTCGTCTGGCACAGATTACAGAGGAAGCTAAATACTATGATGCGGTTGCACGAATTACCAACGAGCTTGAAAAGTTCCAGGAGAAGACGAAAATACCCGGGATTTGGCCTACACATCTAGACGCCTCCGGTTGCAAAAGGGTTGAGCTACCTGTAGATCAGACTACGGACATGCCTACTCGTGCGTCGCCTCCTATAATCCCTGAAAATAGGTTGCCAGAGAGACAAATCCAGAAGCGGGACGAAATTGATCCTCTTTTGGTCGATGCAGAGCCTGCAAACTACGACGTCAACCCTGATTCGCAACTTCTGCCACCTTCTCCGGTGAAAGCAAGTTCCGATGACGATCGCTTAGCTGAAAGCACACACATAGTCGAATATGGTTGCGAAGACCAAGGGTTTACATCCCCACCCCGTTCACGATCGGATAGATTTACCATTGGCGGTCTTGTAGACTCAGTCTACGAGTACTTACCCAAACAGTACGCTCTGTTGGGTGGTCTCAATGACCAGTACCAAGCCATGCACGAGAGGGCTATGAATGCGGTCAAGAAATATCTTCTATTCAGACCAATGTTACCGGATGCCAGGGACGTTCTTTTCATTGCGTCTGCTACTACGTCAGAGCCTGTAACTGAAAAGGGTGATTTAAAACATGCATACGAAGGCACTCACTTGGCCTGTTTTGCTGGTGGCTTGTTTGCTATAGGTGCAAAGCTCTTCGGGATTGAAGACGACCTGGCCATTGCTACTAAACTGACTAATGGCTGTGTATGGGCATACGGATCTACCACAACCGGTATCATGCCAGAAGTTTTTGAGATGCTGCCTTGTGAATCTCTGGAACCATGCGAATGGAACAAAACCAGATACTATGATGCTTTAGACCCGTATTTTGCAGAGAGAAAATCGTATCATGACCAAACGGTTGCGGAGCATGAACGACAATTACCGGACCCAGTGCAACCCTGGCACAGTGACGCCAATTCGACTCCTGTCCCTACGATGCGGCAATCCGCTCCATCACAGGCTGCTATAACACCCACTGTTTCACTTGCATCGACTGCCAGCCCGTCCCCTCTGAATGAGGGAGATATCCCCGATTTCCTCTCCCATGAAGAATTTGCCCAATTAACTATTCAGGAAGAGCGTCTACCTCCCGGAATGTCCACCATCCCGGCAGCTAGATACATTCTTCGCCCGGAGGCGATCGAGTCGGTGTTCATCATGTATCGCATTACAGGAGATGATTCCTGGAGGCAGAAAGGATGGAAGATGTTCCAAGCCATTGAAGCTGCGACTAGAACGGAGCTTGCGAATTCGGCCATTAAGGATGTCACGAGCAGGGTTCCTATCCCCCTAAATGAGATGGAGTCATTTTGGCTTGCGGAAACACTAAAATATACTTACTTGCTATTCAGTGATCCAAAACTTGTTAGTTTGGATGAATATATTCTGTAAGTCGATGTCGCCTTCGTTTGCTATTTCTTCCCCCTCCCCTCCTTTTTGCTTTTTTTTTTTCCAAGCGTTGCTAATCTTTCGTTTGTCTTCTTATAGGAATACCGAGGCACATCCACTCAAACGTCCATTGCATTGAATTCATAGTCACGAAATGCTTAAATAACGCGATTTTCAGTCCTTTATGAAGGTGTGTATATATATGTGTGTCCCGGCCTTACTTTCGTATATCGTATTATGAGAGGGCGCATACCCTCATCCCGGTTTTCTTTCCTTTGCTTTTATTTCTACGAGTTTTAACACTTTCCTTCTTCCCTAATTCACCACTTGTGTGTTAAATACTTTTGGTTTGTATTTTCTTGGATGTCACTTTTTGGGTTAGTGTTATATTTAATCTTTGGGATCACACAGCGTATTTAACAACATGCTAGCTATGTATAAATGACATGCAGTTAGAACATTAGCGACTGTATCTTTTTATAAATTCCCACGTGTTTGATCCCTGTAGCGATGCCATCATCATTACTGGATATATCTAGTCACAGCTTGTGCCGAAGGTTGGCCCTACCGGCACCGTATTGCCAATACCGAAATAAACCTTACCATATAATACACTGCGGAGCGGCGCCAACCAGGCTGTGACCGGGCGAAACAGTTCCCGTATCAACAATACCAGCCTGCCACGGAATCTTCCCCATATCCTCATCCATCAACTCCGCCTCCAAGCTTTCTTTCATTGCATCTCAACCGCCTCCACGAAAACACGCCTCCCAATCCTATACGGCTCACGCATTATCCAGTCACTCTTTCCAATCCCGTGTCCACTTTATTTAGTCTGCTCTATTTGACTTTTCCTTTTGTTGCCTTTGTTGCTGCTGCTGCTGCTGTTTTTTTTTGCCCCTCCGTTTTGACGACGGTGCTGGGAACAAGCACACCGAAAAAGTCGCCGTTGCGGCTTGTGGGAAGGATAAACGAGGGCGTTGTTTACTCGAGGCAAAAACACTTATAATAAACAATTTATTTACCCACGGCCGCGAAAGCAATGACAGAGTCTAAGGATGGAACTCGAAGCGTCGCACAATACTCTGGAGGATGCGGAGTCATTTTGGGATGGTTAGTTTCGGTGCAAGATCCTTCTTCCCCTCCTCTTTTTGGCTTCTGCCCGTGTGCAACTGTGGTGTCGGGGGTAGCGCCGTTGTTGCGAATGTTGGCGCCGCGAGCGGATATGTCTGCTCTTGCATGTGCTGGTTTGCTTGGTCCTAGCATATATCTATATATATATATATGGGGACTAGCTGGAGCAACTGGCTTTCCTTTGTTCTCGGCTTGAGCTGCGGGAAGCTTTGGTTGCGGCTATATATATGCTTTCACAGTTTGCAGGCTATCTTTCTATCCGAGCAAAGCTAACTCGTTAACTTCTTTTTTTATTTTGCGTTCTAGAATTCGATGCCATTTTCCAGATGCCATGCGACTCTCACGCTGCGATCGATAATGTGCTCCGTGCTTATTTGGAATTAACGACCCAGTATAAAGGTGTGTTTGTGTCCTTGTATCGTACGTGCACATTTCTCCATACGAATGGTTGTTTATCTTATAAGGGCACTAGTGGAAGAAATATGATATTTTCTGTCATATGATGATCTATCCGGGTTTGTCAACACGAGCTTAATTTGTTCTTGTCCATGAGCAGATACTCTCCTTTCTTCTGAATATGATATCTCCCACTGCGCAGAGAGGTTACTGGCCTCGGAGTTCTTCGTCACAAATGCGGATTATATACGGAGACAGATCATATACTGCTTGTTACAGGTCTGAGCTGACTTCTCTCCTTTTCCCTCTTTTCTTCTGATATCGGTATATTTGTGACTGACGAAATTGTGGCTGTTCCATGTGTCTTCAGGACGATGCCCCAGACGTCCTCTACGTAACCGCTTCGTTTCTCCTTTTCGATGGCCGACAAAATGAGCACATGTTTGAGATGATGAATAAAGAGGGGGCATTTGTGCGCTTGCTAGAGCTAATTCAGTCTTCGGAGCATCTTGATGGCGACGGTGGAGCTGGACTACACCGGTTGTTAATGAACCTAATGTATGAAATGTGTAGGATCCAAAGGATTAAAATCGGCGATTTAGGTGAGTGAGAGGCTGGGAGAAATGTTCAGATAAACCCCTCGAATTTGAGTAGCGTCCCCACAGCGTCTCTCAATATTTTCCCTCTCTGGACATGCGTCCTTCTCTTTGTTAGAACCCTGTGGATAATTATGCAGTACCACTAATTTGTGACACAGTACTTGTGGATGATGATTTTGTGAAGCATTTGTTTGAGATTATCGAAGAGCTTTCGGGCGACGTCGACGATCCTTACCATTATCCTGTGATTAAAATTCTAGTAAGATCACTCTCCCTAGTTCCATCCGAATTGAGCCTGTTCATAATTCAATGCTGATACATGCCCTTATTTGTAGTTGGTTCTCAACGAACAATTTATGGTCTCAGCTCATGACCCGCTACCTGAACGATCATCATCAGTCCCTCTCACCAACAAGGTCATCAAGGTCCTTTCGATGTTCGGTTCTGCTTATAAAACATTTGGAGAAAACATAATCCTTCTCCTTAATCGCGAAAGTACGCAAATGACAGACCCCCCTTTTCTCCCGTTCTTCTCTCTAACGCCAGTCCATAGGCGAAACTTCTCTTCAACTACTTACCTTAAAATTGCTCTACCTTCTCTTTACCACGCCGCCAACTTATGAATATTTCTACACTAATGACCTTCGAGTACTCGTTGACATCTTAATTCGAAACCTTTTGGACCTCCCGGAGGACGCTACTGCACTTCGTCATACATACCTGCGTGTTCTCTATCCGTTATTAGCTCATACCCAACTCAGGCATCCACCTCATTATAAACGAGATGAGCTCAGAAAGCTCCTGGGAATTCTTGTTAGAGGCCAATTTTCTTTTGATTCGGAGGAACATGAAAGGATCCTTCATTTCGACGACGTCGATGATACAACGAAACGGTTGGTGTTGCGATGTGGCCAGGTAGACTGGCTTGCCGATCCTGAGATCTGTAAACAGAAACCTAAGTCGGAAATTAATACGGAAGCGCCGGTAGAAAAATGTATAGAAGAATCAATTTCACCCGTCACTACTCCGTCCACCTCTCCAGAGCCAAGTTCTCCTCACAGCCTCACCGGGCGCCGTTCCTCGCAATCAGCGTCATCGCCTCCAAAAACGAGCCCTGCGAGAGCACTTGGTATGAACCTCGAAACTGCTCGTTCTTCGGAAGGCAGCGTTGTTGAGGTTGCAGTCCACAAAGAGAAGCCTGGTGTCAAGGTTCCCAGTCGGAAGGACATTTCGAAAGCTCCACCCGCACCGCCACCACTCCCGAAACAAAAGCCAGAACCCCCCAAGGCTAGACGTTGGCGTGGGCGTCGTGAGCAGCAGGAAGAAGACGAGCCTACAGGACAAAAGACTGCGGATGGAGTGAGCACTGCTGTACGTGAAAGGAAAGGTTCAGTTAGCATCAAAGACTCTGGATCCGTAACCCCCACGACTTTACCAACCGACTCATCGAAACATACATCCGCTGGTATATCGACAACCCAATCAGCCCTCCACGAGCCCCCGGTTCCTGCAATAATCGTCCCCAAATCACGCACCCCAAATCCCTCCTCGAGTCCTCATGCCCCTGCTGTTCCCCCACCACGCAGATCCTCACACTCCGTCCCTCCAAAATGCCGTGCCAGCCAGCATGCCATTCATCATCGCCTCCGTCAGCCACCCCCTCTGCCCCAACATCACCACCCTTACAGCTCTCAAAAACTGAATCCACCTTCCGAGTCACCTTGCTCAAGCCATTTCTCATCCTCTCCGGCAAGCCCGTCGTTGTCTCCCTCGAGTTGCCACGTCACATCCCAAAAGCCAGAACCACCAAAAGCCCGACGATGGCGAGGCAAGAAGTCCCAGCAGGTAGTTGACGGAAAGGCGGCCGGCGGCCCCGTTCCTCTTACCGGGAACACAATCACAAATAACAATGATTATAGTGAGAATAATGAGAAGTGCAGCGAAGTCAGCGACCATGAGCGGCGAGTGGTGGTGGCTACGTTGCTTGAAACGACGCTTACGTGTGCTCATGATACCACAAGCGTTGAGTCTGTTACAATTATAGAGGATGAAGTGGGCAGGCTGAAGGTGCAGGAAGGAGGTTAACTACCCTAAAGGTATTCCTTATTTTGCCTTTTTTCGCCTTTTAGACTTTCTGGATGGATTCTTGATTGCATGCCAAAGGTTTTAATTTATTAAGGGTGATTTCCCCTCCCTTGCCCTGCCCGTGGGATTACTTTTTTTTTTCTTTAACTTCATCCAGGGAAATTTCTTGGATTTATTATTATTAATTTTTTTTTAATTATGCTCTCCCCTTCTTTGTAGTTTCTACCACTTAGTGGGGGGGGGCACGAAATTCGGCATTTCGCTGCGACGGGCGAGCCGGACGCATTCGAGGAAGTGCTCTTTGGGGGACTGGGGGGATGGAGATGAATTCGACTGAACGCCGCATGCCCACGGCGTTTTTCTGGGGGCGGAAGATGGTTATGCGCCCGGGTGCCGAAGGGGAGGTAGAGGACGGGGCATGGCGGAAGGCTTTCATGCCTTCGTAGGCTTGTTGGCCGTAGTTTAGACCTGGGGCCATGCCGTGGATTGGGATGTAAGGGGATTTGACGAAGCGTGGTGCGCTCCATTGAGGGTTGGAGGAGTGGGAGAAGTGGGATTCGACATGGCCGTTGACTGTTGG